ACTTGCATGTGTATAGGTCCTGTTTGTACATGTGTTCATGTGTGTAATACGACTTATGTGTGCTACGTAAACTCTATGTACAGAGTAAAGAGCTGCATTTCCCCTGGGGGTTAATACAAGTATGTCTTCTCTTATAAATGAGCTATAGTAACCGCAACTTTCTAAAGATACTAATGAGTTCACTTCAACAGAGTGTGGTCCTTATTACAGATCTTTGAGAATCAGATTTGTATCTAATTAAAATATGAGCAACTATCAAAGAAGCACCGTGGCGTTGTTCACTTGGAAGGTTAGTTGGGATGCATTTGACCCTTTGCAGGTGATTTGTGACACTGTGTCTTTTTGTTTTATTCGTGCAAGTTTAGCGCAAAAGCTGCACAATCCCGATTGCCCCGGAACTCTGGGGCCCATTATCCCAATATTTCAACAATCATCCCAACTCTCATTTTCTGCAACTGGCTTTTCCCTCATTCTGCCTTTGAATGTGGCTGTTCATAACCATTTCAACACCCCTAATTCAGTGGTAACAGATTACTGCAATACGTCACATGTGGTAGTGGAGTTACAGTCTTGATTTATGTCCACTGTAAATGACTTTGCCTGTCAAAACCATGGCCAAAACACTACATGTGTCAGAAAGAGCAGTGGCTGAACTGCAAACGACTTTGCTCTCTCATTAAATGCTTATTTGTTCCCTGACATTGATGCAGGACTTGAAATCAGATCTAAGCGCACCCACTTTGCTCCAGCATCTGATAAATGCTGTGTACCAGTGGGCTTTCCAAATGTAGCTCCAGGAGTCACTGACCATTTAGTGATAGGCTAATCTTAAAGCAAATCTGTGCACGCCGTCCTTTGTTACCTGATAAGAAACAATATAATTAACTTGAAACTCGAGGCTCTTAAACTAAAGCACAATAGAGTCACGAGGAGGTTATACCTTGAGGTTTATTTTTTAAGAATTACAATTTCTGTCACACATAATTGCTTGTTAATTGTGTGACTTATATTGCAACAGTTTATTCTAAAGGGGAATAAATGATGTACAAATTCTGATAAGCTGTAATACTGGCGCACACCAACCAGGCTTTAGTCGTCTAATTTTACACCTTTTCATCCTTTTATCCTTGCTGTGCTGTGGTGTGGTGAATAATAGTGTGTCGGACTTGTGATAAACTAAATGCAGTGTTCTTAGGTTGTGCTTCCAAAAGGCTTATCCGACAAGAATATAAACTGGATGAAAACAAACTTAATTACCATGCAGTGTGGGGGATGTTTGAAGCTGCAAACAAAAAAACCTCTGTCTTTCATTTTCACATCTTCAGCTAACGGGAAACAGAGTTTATCTTTTGAGAGCGCTTTGTTGGATGTGGCAGAGCAGTAGAGCTAATTTATGGGTCACTATAAACTTCCATCACCAAAGACTGTGGCTGATAGCAGTGCCCGCCTGCAGCAGATATGAGTTATAGAAGCAGACCCTCTAAATCATAAGCGCCAAACATATGGGACAGAGGAGAAAACGCAGCAGAAAATCATACAGAGGGAACAAATGCACGTAAAGTGTTCACATTAACATTTGTTTTTTCCATGAACGATTATTTAAAGGCTTTGCTCACATTTCCCGCCGCCTTTGTTAAAACCTGACCATGCCGCCAATAATACATCTGTCTTAAACAGCATCACTGCCTGCAGTAATTACAACAGTGGAATCACTCTGGGGCTGCGCCGGGTGAAAAGACAATATAACAGGACGATAGTTTAAGGTAATTAGCGGCGGCCATTAAAAGCATCATTTACATTACTAACAAGATACGGTACATTTGATCTAAACCACAGCGTGAATACAGAAAAACCCACCACAGGGGTAAGTGGGGGGGAGAGTCAGATTACTGGAGTTATGGATCAAATACTTGTTCTGTTAACTCCTTGTTTTCACCTGAATGCACCGCTGGATGCAAGTAGATGTTGAAATAACACTTACCTGTCATTGTAAGAGCCTTTTTGTTGTATTTTTCATTATAAATAAATAAAAACACACCCATCTGCTTTCCATTGGAGGCCAAGAAGTGAGGAATTGAGTCTTCAGTCATATTGTGAACGTTTAAAGCATTGTATTCATCATTTGGTGACCTTCTGAGCACAGGTGTTATTAATAGCCTTAATTATTGGCATGGCTTAACATCGACATCATTAATGTTATTGATTACACCTGTGCTTTCCCTACTATAAATTGTCTTGAAAAATATCTATTACAGCACCTAATTTATGTAAATTAAAACATGGTCTAATCCCAGGTGCCTTTTTTTCCCCATTATAGAAGTTTAAGAATCTAAGAGTAAGTAGATGGGGATCATAAATCTGATTAAATTGTAATTCCATTATAAAAATAAATCAAGGTTCATTGGTGAAGTACGACCTTCTCTTTTGAGCAGCGAAAGACCCTGCTCATGAATGACTGAAAAGTGTTGAGGAGAATTGGCTTAGTTTAGTTCAAATGATACTCCTGTCTGTAATATTGCCAGAGATAAGACAGGGGTTTTGACCAGGGTCCACAGACAATTATGACCAGATTACTTACAAAATATGAATTCTAATGCACATTTTGGAGTTATAATAAAAAAAAAATCCATTTTGAGGCAGACCTTTGGACATTTATCTATGGATGAACATTCAGACATTAGAGATAATGATTTCCTCAGCCACTGTAGGCCAAATCAAATCGGAAAGTATGTGCAATATGTCCCCGTGTTCCCATTTGATCGGGAGTTATTACTCTCCCTCTTCACCCCGACTTCAAATCTCCAGCGTCCCCCTGTGGAATTGCCCCTCAAAGTTTAAAAACCTTCTGGTCCAAAAGCTCCCAACAGTGGATATGATGCTGAAACAATTCTCAGTTTCTCTTTTGATTAACAGATTCTGCTCACAAATTTGTTTCAGCCTTGTATTCAAATGCTCAATGTTGTGCCATCTGTGGTATCAATTAACAAACACAACAAAACTGCACTGTGTACAGCAGGACTGTGTTTGAGATGGGGTCAGTCTTTCAGTTGTTTACACCATTGGCCACCGTTAGTCATTGCATACAACACACATACACACATTTTAGTTCTGCAATGTTTGGCAAACATTTTCTATCACATATTGACTATGTTCAATTACTCCTCTGCTAAATGGTAGGTTTACTGCACATACATTCCAACTCCATGACAGTTTCATTGCAAAATGTGTATTATGGTAGCTACCGAAATGGGGCTAACGCAAAATATATTGGGCACCGAGCAACCTCATTTCAACTCTAGGTGGCAGGGACAATGATTTTACCCTGGGCAACTACGGGGAATTACTCATGTTATTGTTGTGTGTCTGAAGGAATGGATGTGTATTGGTGATTATAGTGTAAATAGAGAAAGAGCTTGTGAGAAAACTGATTTAGAGACGGGAACACAGAAAGAGAGTCAAATCTAAAATTATCTTTACTCATCCTTTAGTGCAGACGAAAACAGGAAGAATCTGGTTGAACAACCATATCTTTCAACCTTTCCATCTGATATCAAAGCTATTCAACCAAAACATAATCCATTCAATATAGCATGAAAAAGGTCACCAAAAGAGAATATGCAAAGGGCTGATTTGCGGGGGAAATAAAAACTGAATCCGCCTTCACAATCTTTCAAAAAGTGTGTCTCTGTCTGTCTTTCAGCTAAAAGAATGAAAACAAATATACTAAAACATTATCTATTTAAAAAGCCATATATTTTTAATTAGTTCCTCATTTAAAAGCAGTAACTATGTCCCAGTGGTTCCTCTAACACTGAATAGTCCGGCTGCCTTCGAGGGCTTGTAACAATAAAAGAAGCCGTAATTAGTCTTGCAGAGTTTCACTGCAGCGTTTTAGTGTCCCGTGTTGGCCACTAAAGCTCTCCAATGAGTTTTTGGACTTTTATTCTTTGGCCTGGAAGGGTGTAAAGCCTTTTCCTGCAGTTTTATTGGAGGAAGCTGCAGACATTTTTCGGTGGGAAACGCGACAAATTGGTACGTTTTTAATGCAACCTATTAGCTTTTAGTTACTAAATATGATATGTAAAAACCAACTGGGACAAATTAACAATGATGGCGACAATGGTGAAGAAGGCTTCCAATGAGGCCACAGTAGTATGTAATAGATGAGGTTGGAGGTGTCGGGTATTTAAATACTGTCGACTGCGTTCAATTGCATATTCATTTAGTCAATGTTTGCAGAATTGTGCTGATTCAATGTTGATTAGTCAAGGCCTGCTGTGTCATTGCTTTGGTTATCACTCATTGAGGCATGACAGCAAAGTACGAATGAAAGGTAAACAATAAGAAATAATGGAAAGAAAAGACATAATAGGAAAAGGAATGGGGAAAAAACGAAGAAAAAGGTGCAACGGTCTAGACAAATTGAACACATTATTTGCAGCAGATGTTTTGATGTGCAACACTCTGAGTAAGCAGTGAGTGACCACATAATGCAGAGTTAATACTTTTTATAAAATGTGCTTTGGCAATACTGTGATTTGATACGGCCATGGCAATAAAGCTTCTTTGAATTGAATTGAATTAAGTCCGTTCATCAAGTAGCTGATCAATGAGTGCAGCGTCAGCCTGAAGAAAAAGGGAAGATAAAAGAAAAGCCGAGCCACAAACACCCCTGACCCCTGATTACAGCTCTGGATAAACATTAATGAATGGCCTTTTCAAAGCCACTGAGCAGAACGGAGAAAAACGCAGCGTATTGACCAATGTGCACACGGCCTTGGACACGAAGATTTGGAGTACACGAGTGACACAGGGAATATAAAATACACAGCCTTGGACAAAATTAAATGAACGTGGATTTAAAGCTGTGGGGGAAAAGCATTTAGATGGAAGTGGAAGAATCTCTCAAGGAAAATGACAGAAGGAGAAACGCTGAATATAAACAAACACACACAACAATACAAAAGCATACAGTTTGACGGATACAGACGGACACTGACCTGCGAGCACGGCCTTGGCGGAGGGTTCAGCCAGGTCCAGGGCGGACTTGCCGTCGGTGTTGCGGATGTTGGGGTCGGCTCCATGCTGCAGCAACACTGTACAACAACAGGGCAGACACAGACAGTAGCTGAGCTCCTGGACTGACATGCAAACTCCCCGACACACAACTCCTCCTAGTCCTCCTCCTCCTCCTGAGGCTGCTCCATAAACTGCTCTTCCTGGACCTCCTCCTTTTTCTCCCACTTGCTCCTCTGCATGTCCTGCTTCACATGTCTCTCCTCCTCCTCCTCCCCCCCCCGGCTGCTCCACCTCTGTTGCTAGCGCCGCTCTCCGGGCTGCCCCTGGCCGCCCCTGCCCTGCGAGCCATGCTGCTGATGTAAACAGACATGCCACAACAAGAGCAGCGGAAGCTACGCTACAGCAGCGCCGGATAAACAGCGGACCGTACAAAAAGCTGCTACGTGACCAGCTACAAAACACATCGCACTTCCACGGAGAAGCGGGGGAAGGCTATACTGAGAGGAAAACAGAGGGAGAGGCGAGGGGCTACGGCTGATCGAGGAAGAAGAAGCAGAGCTGAGGAGGGCAGGCAGTGCGAGTGGAGAGACTCTCGCCTCCCCGACTGACTGAGCGATGCAGCGGAGAGCAAGATGAGAGAGGAGAGGGAAGGGGAGGGGAGGGAGAAAGAGAGTCAGGGAGGATGGAAGAGCTAGAGGACAAAAAGAGGAGAGGGAGAGCAAAACAAAACAAGAGTGTGATAGAGAGGAGAGAAAGGGCAGTGAATAGTGAAAACAAGAGAAAATAAGAAATGTTAAAAGGTGACGAAAGAAGAGATGAGAGGAGAGATTAAAGAAGGAGAAAGGAAAGGGAGAGGAAGGAACAAGGAGAGGAAGGGAAAGGAAAGAATAGAAGATGACAGGAGATGAGAAGGGAAATGGGTGGAGAGGATGAAACGAAAGAAGAGTAGAGAAAAAAGGCAGAAGAGGAGAGGGCAGAGTCATGCGAGTGCTGAACAGGTATGAGCTGAATAACAAACTCTGCCTCGCTCAGTTTTTTTGTAAATTAGCTCTTTTGAGGGCGCTAGTGTCAACACTCACTGCATCTTCTCTCTGTCATGGCCCACTGTGATTGCTGAGCAGTTCCCAGTGCACACGCCCTTTGATTTGGGTACCTCACACTACCCAGCAGAGAAGAGGAGGATAAGCAAGGCGTGTGTGTGTGTGTGTGTGTGTGTGTGTGTGTGTGTGTGTGTGTGTGTGTGTGTGTGTGTGTGTGTGTGTGTGTGTAATGCTGTGTGTGTAAGTATGTGCACGTGCATGCTCATGTGTGTGCCTCTTCCCCAGCACTGACGCAGACCTTAGTCACCCACTCGCTCACCCCTCAGCAAAAAAAATATTTTAGTGCTGTACCAAATCTCACACACACACACACACACACAGTGAGCACATACACACCGATATAGGTACGTTCGTAGAGAGGCATTTAGAGAAATGACAGTCTGACACACATATATACGGGTTAGAATAGTTCATAAATCCAGTCTGAAGCCGATTCATTTTCAGCTGTCAACCTCTAATCGTCAGCCTTCAGTTTGGTCCCTAATGGGCACAGCTTGTCAGTAATACCTGCACACGCCCTCTCTGAACAACCTAAATCCCCTTTTTGGACAGGATTAGTTTTCAGGACAATGTCAGATTTGCAACAGTTATCTCATGACTGTCTGAAAATGACCAAATGCTCAGTAACTAACAAGTATGACATCCTCATACAGCAAGAGAGACACCTTTTCTCAGCCTGTTTAATCTGAGGTTAGATGTGTTTAGTGCCTTTTGCCAGTTTTACACAAGCAAGCATTTAAGCTAAAAGCTGCAGGCAAGTAGGTGGGCGAATGTCAAACCTCCACCTCCAAGAAATATTTTTTGCCTGAGCTATAACGGTTAGAAAAGTAAAACAAAGAGCAGAAATGCAACCCTACTAAATGAATCCATGAAACGTCTACAACTGACAGGCGTCTACACCTAATATCACATAATATGATAAGGCTACAAATCGATCAATAGAAATAATGGACAATGATTTTGATACCCGACACATTTCTTTTTGTTATTTATCCAGGGAAAAGCAACGACTGCTCTCGGCATCGGAGTAGTACATTCATTACCTTACGGTTTGTTTTGCCGGATTTGTGATAATTGGTGGAAGGATGTAGCATTGGCAAAGATAGAACCCATTACACTTTGGGTCGTCAGTTGTAAAACTGTCAGTCTGACTCCTGTGGTCCTGAGCTGCCTGTCCCTACTTTGCCCTTCTACACACCTGTTCTGAATCAGCCTCGTTAGTCTTCCCTGCTCCCAGTGTTTTTCTCCAGCCAATAAGCACCCTGATGCTTCTCCTGCCTAATCACCTCATTCCCCTCATCTGAGTTTATCCCTCCACCTGCACTCCATGATCCCGACAGTCTAAACTATTTGAAAGCTTATTCTTTCCCAACATGTTTTCCTGTATCTCCATTGAAAACGTTGTAGTAGTGATACTGATACGATGGTGGTGAACCTCCAATGCTCCTAAAAATGGCTACTAGAAGCGTATCTTAGGTCCTATATCTTGTGTCATGCAGGGTTAAAAAAACATGTACATCAAAAAAAAGTTACTCTATTACCAAGGTTGAAACTAAATGTTGCTGTTGGGTCCAGTGTACCCTTTGCTTAAGGAGTTAAAAAAAGGACGCATTGAACCACAATTCCTTAGCATTTGGAGAAGTCAACTAATACTTAATACATTTTGAAAGGGAAAAATACAATGAAGACCTTAGACTGGAGAACGATAAATTGCACATTTCACAGATAATATTTAATCCAACAAATAAGGGCAATCATTAAAATAAATCGTTGGTATAGTATAGTATTAGTTTTATTTGTCCCCGAGGGGAAAATGGGTTGCAGCACATCACAAAGGCATTTCAAAAGATAAGACAATATGTCACTGACAACAACATAGACACAGATTAAAACAAACAGATATAAGAAAACTAGATATCAGCAGACATGACAAGGGGCCTATAGGCCCTCATTTGCGAAATAGGGGGGACAGGGCCAGACCAGCTGGGTAAACAGTGCGTCCTAGCCATCATTTATTTAGGAGTTTGATGGCTTGTGGGACGAAAGACAGCCGAGATCTGTTCTTTTTTAACAGAGGGGGGCGATATCTCCGCCCGGATGGCAACAGTTCAAAGTCAAGAGGGTGCCTCAGGTCACTCACAATATTGTGTGCCAATTTTAAAACTCTGTCTTTGTATAAGCATTCTATATTAGCAAATTAGATTCCTGTCAATTTACTGGACAATGTTATGGCCCTCCTGACTGACTTTCTCTGTGCCTCAGTTGCGTTGCTGAACCAGCATATAATGCCGAAGGAGAGCACACTTTCGATAAAAGCATGATAGATATGAGTATCTTATTGAACTCAAATGCAACTGTCTTAACCTGCCACACAACAGATATCTAAGTTCATTTGAAACCCATGGACAAGGCATCTCAAATTCAAATCAATTGAAGCAAATAAATTCATGAATTCAAAATAAATGTCATTCAGGAAAGGGTGGAAATTCAGTTGTCTATGATCACAACAACAACAACTAGTCAAATGGAGCTGAGGCGTTGGAATTGAGGACACAGTTAAACGGACTACTAAAATGATTTTCACGGAGGCGGTGGGTTCTTAAACTCCCCTCTCCAGCCAATCAGGTGGCTGCTTTCGGATTTCCAAGATCTTCTTATCCCAAGTTTGTTGATGAGATTTTGAAGGGATGAGGTAATGAGAGATTAATTTCCTACTCAAGTTGTCTGAGCACCAAAGAAGAGGACAGAGCATCCTTCATGCTGAGCTGAAGTTACAGTCGAATCAGACTCTTGTTCTGCTGCCAAATCTCTAACCTGGCAGGATGACAGGCTTCCAAAACTCTGTCCAATAAACAAGCCGCTAGAGGTCATGTGCTTTTTGTTTACATGCATTGGTATGCCTGTAACTGTGCAGTCAAGGGACACCGTACTAAACGTGAAAAAAGTAGGTTGTTCCTTTTCCGATTAACATTAAACAAGAAAAATGCTTTAACGGAACTTAAATAGTGTTTTGGACAAAAAAACTAAATGTGTGATTTTGAAAGCCCATCTAAATGGTTTAACTTGTTTTTTTATTTTATAGTACACCATAAAATAAACTGTGTGCCTCACAGCAAAATAACCCAAGGAGGATATTAAGTCTTATCTATATTTTGTCGTTTTTTTACGGTTGGATGGTAATGCAGAAAAGATGCCCTCCTGCTGCTGCAGTGAAAAACTCTCGCATCCAAGACTTGAGAAAAATGATAGAAGTATTTTTCAGTTCATGCCAGAGGGACGCTAAATGCGTTTCTTCAGAAAGGGAGTAGTGAAGGTGCCAGCTTTCCCAAATTGGTGATGTAACCTGAAAACATTTGCTTTTTGAACCGGTTGCGATTTATCATCGTTTTGCTTCACAAAATGTGTTTGGCTGTGTAATTCAGAGGGAGGCAGCGCTCCGACATGACAGCGCTTGGTCATGCTTACTGCCGGGTTTACAGGAGCAGTGCATGACGACAGTTGGAGATGTCCTGAGCTCCAGAATGGCACCATAACATTGTTGTATCATGCAACCAAACAGTGACACAGTTAGTGGAGTGTTTGGATAAGTAGTCAACATTCTCTGAAGCCTGCTGAATGCAATTTCAAGAGGATGAGTATAATCCAAGGGCATTGTGGTACTTTTTATCCTTAGTCCCCTTACTAGATCCACCAAACTTTCTTAAAATCACAAAAGTGATGTAGTAACTTGCTCCTTTTTGGCCTGATGACGGCCAATCTTACATAAGAAACGAAAAGTTTGTGAGTTTCGATCATAAGGATATATTCAACACCTATACAATTGCTATACAGCCTGCCTTTTGTGCTCCATTTGTGGGAAGGATTTATCATGAAAGTAGCAAGAAGAAGGGCTTAACACTTCAAATGCTTAAAGAAATCAGGACAAACTTTAGCGTTGTCATTAGAGGACACAAAACACATTGAAAGTATTCATACAGCCCCAAACGACATGTCATTAGAGAAGTGCTATTAAAACACAATCTTGCTATGGCATTGCCAAAATGACAAAAAGAACATTAAATATACAAACAAATGTCATATAATTTCCATATCAAATTAATTTAGACTTTAGTTTAGGCATTAACATTCTAAATCCAAACGAGGGTTTACCCCCTGTGCAGAGAAGCTATCTGTACACACAAGCAATCAAACAACCATTACTGAGTTTAGTTTGTAGCTAAAAAAGACGATTCAAAGTAAAGCAGGGTTCCCTTTGCCTCTTCTAGCAGCACACAGCTGGTTTAGGTGCCTCTCAGCACAAGGACAGAGAACTTCTAAGAGAAAATAAGATATTGGAGCAACACTGGAGGATTTGCAGCTTTTAATTTTCTAGTCTGTTTGCATAATTAATGGAAGCAATTAATCAGTATACTCCAATCCCTTTTGTTTCCCGGGCCCAATCCCAATTTCCACACTAACGGCTGTCCCTGCTGTCAATTCGTCAAGTGCTTTAGGGCCGTCGTGCTGACTTTCTGAGCCCTAATTGCGGGCTTTCTGTAATTCGGCAGCTCTGCAGACTTTGTCTTAAGGTATTACCCACAAGTCATAGCGTCGTGTCAGGAGGGGGAACAAAAATCAATGATACGTAAAAAACATGAAATCAGAATGGAGGGTTAAGAGATTATACACAGCTAGATTATTCTTTAACCATTTTTAGTTCAACCAAAGCAGTTATCTGCAATAACCTCTCATCACCTCGCAAAGAAAGAACCTGGAAGACGTTCAAAGGCAGGCAGTTGAACAATCTAAAAGTCCCAAATCCACTATAAGTGTCATCAAGGTAATGTGAAATGTCCCCTCACAGTGCTGTCCCATTTCACTTAATACCATCTGGAGCCCGATTGACGTCATTTATGTCCCCGAGGGTTCACGGTTTAGGGCCTTAGGGGGGGGGACATTGAGATTGGGCCAACGAATGTAAGAATTGGTGAATGTGCAAAACTTAGAACAAACGTTTTCGTGGGAATCAGTCCGTGCCCACTGAGAGGTTTCAAAAATCTGTTACAGAGATAAAAGCAAACCAACTGAGAGATGCAGTTTTGCACACAGCCGTTCAATCAGGCGTCCTGAATCACAGCATTGCGTGCTATCATTCTGATGTATTTTCTTTGTTTTCTATAGATGGTGGTGTTTCTGTTCTTCATAGGTATGTATCCTTTTTTCTAACGTGGCTTTAATTAATAGCTTTACTGTCAAGCCAAACAAAAAGGATCATGTTTCCTCAATTTCAGTGGCATTCCCATGTATTGGTGTGAGCCATCCATGAGAATAGGATGCTGTTTGTCCACACAGCCCTCCGCCGCCATGCAGTCATTCAGGGCCCAGACACACTGCTGCAGCTTATCGTGGACATAAAAATGACTAGAGCAACTTTTCCTCCTTTCCTCCAGACTGAAGCCGGCAGCAAGGTGACGCCGACTATCATCGCAGTGATTACTACCCGCACTGAGCAATGCTTTTCCATTAAGATCATAAAGAGATTATCTTACAACTGATTGCCCAGACGGTTTGCAAGCAAGAGCGTATCTCGTCTACTTCGGAATTTTCCTCAGGGATCAGTGATAAAGCCTTTCAAATGTCCAATTCACCTTTTAAATATAGCTGCTGCTGCTAATGTCCATTCTGAACTGAGCCTGTGGTGTTGTTTCACTTTTAAAATGAAAAAACTATGTTGGTGGGAGCTCATATATTGTAAGACAAAGAAATTCATGTGTAGGCTAAAATATAGGAAAACACAGTAATTGCAGTTCGCCGCGTAATTGCTGCTTTATGTTAAATGGGAAATATTAATAACATGCACTCGGGTGATTTATTATAAAATGACTGTGATTATACAGAACACCAGGTTGTGACTTTGGAGTTGCAGAGGAGGAGGGATATAAAACAGAGGGCACACACAAACATTACTCTGAAAAAGCAATAAGGGATTTAATATCTATAAACTCACCACAGCAATTCCACCGCAAATAATAGAACATATTTAGCAAAGTCCCAGAACAACCACTGAATTGTATTGCACCCAAAGGAACAATGCAACTGTGGGAACCGTTGTGGCAACACTGCTGAATGTGTTCTGTTTCTGCTCTGCTCACAGCTAATTCAGTCTTACTGGTTCTTAAAATGTTTTTCACGAGACAATTTATCATCGACATACCACGCATAGCATAACGTAATCACCCCTAGCAAACCAGTTAACACTCACTTTTGTTCCTTTATCCCACAATATTTGCAGTGTGAGTCTCGTGCTTACCTATACAGACGTCTATCTTGCCCTTGATGGAAGCTTCATGGAGTGGCGTGTAGTTCCAGTTGTCTCGAGCGTTGGGGTCGGCCCCCTGACACAGCAGCAAGGACACCACCTGAAGAAACATACAGAACATCAGCATATACTCTTTATTTAGTAAATCACCAAATCCCAGATGCTTTCTCTCCATGGTATTTGTTCACGACTCAGGCAGGTGAGAAGGTTTAATCACGATAAGCTAGGGCTGTATTAGCGATAACTGCTCAGTTACCCTAACATTGTGGGGTTCATTCACTTTTTTTTCGGGGAGCAATTTGGCCTTTATTCACACATTCAGGATAGAAAGTAAAGGGGATCAGAGATAGGGGTGTACTTTAAAGGGGCCCTATAATGCTCATTTTCCGGTTTCATCGTTATTTTTTGTGCCTCTACTGTGACTTTAATGTTCAAAAAGGTCTATATTTTTCTCATACTGCTTGTTCTGCAGCACCTCTTTTCACCCTCTGTCTGAAACCAGAGCCCAGTCTGCTCTGATTGGTTAGCTGGCCAGCTCTGATTTTATTGGTTAACTGCTTAGAGATGTCGTACAACAGATCACGTACAATGTGTTGGAGCGCTAGCCAACAGACGATGGGAGTGTTACATAGTGATGCCATTATGTTACGAAAGATAACAAAAGAGTCCAATCGAGGCGTTTGTTGTGTGTGGGGGGAGAAACTTTTTACTTTGCAGACCATTTACATGCACCAAAAACGATAGAACATACCAAAGGAGAGGGAAAAACCCATAAAGCATAATAGGCCCCTTTAGGCAAAGAGCTAAAGGTTGAAACCTGGCCGCTGCTAATAACTGAACCTTAGAACAAAGAACATTGGCTCTAACCTGCTTCAAATGATATCATCCCATTAAATGACTCAATGTTCTGAGCATTGGGTATGGGGCACGTTACAGTTACCTTTCAAAATGACTTATCTATTTACATGGTTCCTCACCAACACAAATACAAGTGTGTAGTTTCAACTTGTATTAAAAAATTATCGGGGTTCAGTTTCTGCTCTGATTTAACACCAAGGCGGCTGTCAAACTCAGAATACATCTTGCTCTTACTTGTGTAATAAGATGGCCAGATACTTGTTTCTTCACAAGCACTGCTTTTTTTCTCACTTGAAGGGTTTAATCTTCATTTTATGAAAGATTCAACAACTCTAGCAACTGTGTATTTGCTGTGCGAATGCTTTCAGTTGGACAGCGTTGACTCTCATCACACAGCTGCATTAGCACAGCGCTTTCTCTGACAAGGTTGTAAAGTGCTCTCAAAGAACGCTCTAAAAGCCTCTGAAACTATCCAAACTGTAAACATCACACTAATCACCGTGGGTAATGGCCATGAGGGCAAAAATCATTAGCACATATTCAAAAGCATCACCATGCCTCCTCGGCAGAATATCAAAGCAGCAATGACAGTGAATGTTCATATTTTCTCAAAGTCATTTTCAAGGCTGACTGTGCACATCATAATTTAGAATAATCTTCTGCTCTCATAAAAATAGTGATTGCAGTTTACTCCTACAGCCATTTCAGATTTTACCACTTCACAGAATGTTGTGCCCTTACTTCTTTTTATCGCCAGCAATGAATTACATTCTATGAAAGTATAAACTGTCCTTTATTCCAAGCAGGATAATGGAAGAGTGGTTTTCCACCTCTTGTGTGCCCTCATGGGGGGTCACACTCCCTCAGACTGCTCATATGGATGTGTGCATCTTCAGCATGCTTGCTTTCCCAGATTAAAGAGTTTTTATAAAACAGCACAAGCATAATCAAGGTGTAGGAAATGTAAGGGTAAAACTCTATCTGAATTAAGAAAAAATAAGTAATTACCAAGCGGCAAACTCTGGGGAATAGCCGGGACGCCAATACGGAAGTGCCACACACTGCAGTTCATATATTGGCCGATAGGCGATGGCTGCAGAAAGGAGCAATTTCCATAGACCCCCATGTTAAAATGCCCAACTTTACAGCAGAAAAAAACATGTTTCTACCCCTGGCTCCATACATTTTATTATCGATATAGTTAGATTCCACCTTCATGATTATGGATCTGTGAGTGAATTGTTTTCTAACACGACCCTTTTATTTCTATTAGGTCTTAAAGTGTTTGCATAAATTAGGGCGTGGTCATATTGAGTGACGGCTCTGTCAAGTGACTGCTTCTGCTAGATTCTTGTCTCTCTGCTTGCTGCTCCGTGAAGCTAGCTACAGGGACTCTGCCTGCTCAGTTCATCCAGGAAACACAACTTGAAGCCGGCCGTGGTTGTTTGTTCTTCATGCTTATATATCGGACTATTGTGACTCGCTCTGCGGTTAAAACAGACGGTGCATGAATGCGGTTTTGCGGTAAGTGAAATTCTAGTGCTTTATTTATGTGTTAATGATTTTAATCAGCTACGTAATGAATGTTAAGGCTTGGGTTAGCGAGTGGTAGCTACATCGGTGCTAACGATGCTAATCGTAACCTCCAAGTTAAAATAATATAGACTGTATATATAAAGGTTAGAACGAAATAGAAAAAGTGTTAAGCGTTAAGTGGGATAATACTGTAGAACAAACGGCTTCTGTTTGAGGTTGATAAAATAAGGTCATCCTTGTAACTTAGAGAGATATTTTATTATGTAGGTAGGAACTGTATGCATCGCTAAGGTTAATTTAAATTGGCTATGCTCAAGTATGTAGACAAGCTAATGTCGAAGTAGTGTATGTGAAATCAACCTCACAATAAGATGTGTGTATATTACAATTATTAATGTCATATTTCAAGATGATTACTTAGATATTACAATATGGTTGGTTGAGCTGGAGCATGATTGAGCTTACACGTTATTGTCACAGTCATCTGAAGAACGAACCCAAACCTTGTTGTTTTTATTAATTGCATTACCAAATGGGTATCAAATAAACAGTAAGCATTGGTAACACAACTTCCAAAGTTACAGTAAAATAAAAAGGACCCTGACTCGGACAATACAACATGTTCAACAGAAGATAATCAGTTATATTGTTTGTACACATGGTACATTACATATACATCTGTTTGTTTAAGGTGTCCAGGTGATGCAGATAGGCTGGACCAGAGAGTGAGAGACAGAACTGGACTCCTCACAGCAGTGAACTTCAGCACAGGTACAAAGACTCTATTTTTCATACTGTACAAAGAATCAAGAAAGATATTGGTTTAAATGAACTTGAATACACTTGATATACACTGACAGTGTGAGAAAACGTTTTTAGAGAGTACTTGTCCATGGACAAGTGAGTTTGGCAATTTACTTGTCCGAATACAGTTTTCACTTGTCCAGAATGGACAAAAATTTGGGGCCACTGGAATCTTCTTCTTCGCCATCGTATTTTACATTTTCCCACGGTTTTTACGACACCGCTAAATTAAGTGAGCGGTAAGATTTTACTGCATCACACATAGGGTTGGGTATCGTTTGGATTTTAACGATTCCGGTTCTGCTTTTCGATTCCGGTTATTTTCGGTTCTCGATTCCGGTTCTTTGAGAGGGTAAAAATAAGTCCCATGACAAACTGGGAGAAAAATATATTTATTAAAACATTAAGTCAAATCTGTATTCCTATTTACAAAACACTTCATACTGTTGAATTTCTTACGGTTATTGAATACAATTATATAAAAATAATCTCTGCATTGTTTAGTTAGTTCTAAGTGGTGCAGTTTGAGAATGTACAATTGGCCCAGTCTCCTCTGATGTTATACTGCAACCTGCCTGTGAGACAGAGTCCAACCACACATGTCCAACACATAGGACATAACCAAATAATAATAATAATAATAATGACACATTAGATGTATAGCCTATAGGCCTAGCGCTTTTCTACAACTCAAAGACGCTTGCTTTACTTCATAAAGGAAATGGTGGTCAATATTAACAACATAGGAGTTAAAACGCTTAATAACCTTCATTATGTGTTAGAGAAAGAACATAAGAAAGTTTGACAAAGATGAGGCTGTTAAACGGGCAGCGGATCCGCTGTGTGTAGAAAGAGAGAGAGAGACGCTGAGCTGCACGGCTGCACCATGCAGCGATCAGCTGATACGGAGCATAGAGAGAGCTGCAGTCCGCGGGGCTCGGGGCTCGTTCTCGCCTCCTGTCCTCACAACTCTTATTAATCCCTGTACCGGACAATTGTTATTTTTTCCTACTCGGAACCGAGTTTTGCTTCCCAACCTTGCCATAGTGCTACACTTCTCACCACGCTCCGCTCCGCTCCGCCCCCGTCTAACAGTACAGAAAGCGGCGATATGCATTTCCTTAGGAATCGACAAGCAGAACCGAAACTAACACTTCTAAACGAACAATGGCGGACACGTACAATTTGCGAATGAGTTCTGCCTTTTGTAAACTGAATGTATCAATCATTTGTCAATAAATCAGGCCGAAAAACGTCACTTGTCCGCCGGACAAGTCAATTGAAAGATCTACTTGTCCGATATTGTAAATAACACGTCCCGGACGGTGGGACGTGTACTTTTTCGCACACTGACTGATATACATTCCATTAAACAATACTAAATACTAGATCACCTACACATCAGTTAAGTTGAGGTTTTTTTCCATGCAAAAAGTCACATTTAGATATTTAGCAATATGACTTTGTCAGCTTTCGAATGTAATGTATTGAAGGCAAAGATATTTAACACATAGTGATAACTGCTACTATGTATCTCTCAATATTGTCTGTAAAAAAACGTGGTAAAAGTTATTCTTTCAGTGAGACAACAGAGCAAGCTTCTACAGTTGCACTACGTTTTGATAACAGTTAAATATTATTTTGATAATAACATATATTTCAATGTTGATCAACTTCATACTGTTCATTCATAATCTGATTGTCTTTGTAGCTCACTGTTGAAATAAAAAAAAATATTACAATTACAAAATAATTATATCTACAGCCCCTAAACACACAAACACACCGCTTTCATAAATAACACACTTGTTCTGCAATAATATGTTTTATGTTTCCTGTAATTTTTGTTAGGAAAGGATATGCCTGAAAGACACGACATGTTCTCCTTCTCTGAGGGTCAAGAAGAACATCCAAGAGGAACATTAAAAGCTGATGTTATGAGATTTTAAGACCAGTACAGGACATTCACTAAGAAACTACTTTTATTGTGAAAACAGTCAGCTGATCGAATGCAGCTATTTCCACATCTACACTCCATCAGCTGATTATTTCTATTTGCCTCGCTTTATGAGCTTCACATCACCTGTGCCTTGTACTGCAGAGTTTGCAATGTCACAAATAAATGGGGCCAATCTTCAGTCAGATGTGAATGTGTAATCTAACATTTTCAGTAAGAATAATTGACGAAAGGAGTGCAAATACAATTTATTGAAATGTGAACCAAAAGTTAATCAAACATGTTTTAAATAAAAAGCACATATGGACAGAAGGTGTAAACCTATTAAATGTATAAGTAAACACATTTAGTCAAATAAAGTGATAGACTAGGCCTGTGCAGTTGGTATCAGCTGTGCCCAGCATGGGCTCCTCCATCAGGCCTGGTCCTCCTCCATCAGGCCTGGTCCTCCTCGCAGAGGAAAGACCCTCAGTCCTCTCCAAACCAACAGACAGGACGTCCATCACACGGAGGTTTCTCCCTGAAGTCTCTGCAGCTCTCTGGACACCAGGCTGTCTCAATCCGTCCACACTGAATATGAGAGGGGAAAAATGAAAATAATAAATGCTTTAGACAATAAGAAATATAAAGTTGACTGTTGAGTTGCTCAGTTTTTTTAGATTGTCAATACTATTACTGTATAACTAATATCTCAGGTTAAGAGGCACATTCAAATAAAGATTGGTCTTTAAATACATTTTGTCTTTTGAATTGTTTGTCTAAAGTCAAGGATCTAGAACTGGTACTTGGTTTTAATGATACAGTCTGGTTATTATGCTGTTTGGAGGAGGCCTCACAGGTAAGAGCACTAACTAGCTACCATCACATGTACCTTAGCTTGACTTAAATGTATTAAACGTATAATTAAGTGATATCAAAATATAAATAACTAATGTCATGCAAACATTAATATTTGCTTGATTCCAGTGTTGAATTTAGCACAATTGCATACAAACGTTAAGGGATTTTAAGATTCTGAAGTATTATGCTAAAAGCTCAATAACTTAGATTATTATTTATAGTTTTGCTGAATAGTTTCATGTCCGCTTACCTTAGAAACGTAAAATGCCACGGCAGTGTGCAGATGGGGAGCATGTTAGCTTAGCTTGGTAGCTTCAGCTAGCTCTGGAACTTCCAGCTTGGAGGCAGCAGGTCCCGCCTCGGCTCCGCCTCTTTGCCCTTATTTGGAGCAGGCGGGAGTTGAACTCTGACGTCACTGTCGAGCCGTTAGTGGCCGACTCCGCCTACTAAGGGCTTCTCGGCAACTCTGCAGAATCCTATGGGTGACGTCACGGACCCTACGTCCATTTATATATACAGTCTATGGTAATTACACATAAAATGATATTGAAGTGACTGTTATTTTGTTTATATTGATGGTTGTGTTTTTATCTTAATGTGTGTATATTAGGGGTGTAACGGTACACGTACCCGTACCGAAATTATTCGGTACGGGCCCTTCGGTTCGGTACAGGTGTGTACCGAAGTGTACCGAACGAATATAACGTTAAACGTAAAAAATTGAGAACGTGAACAACTTTTTGGAAGTAATCTCAGGTGCTGCGTCGCAGCATTCAGAGTAATTTGGTCACATTGGGTTCAACGCGTCATAGAGCGAGCAAGTCATTTCATTGGATGAGAGGCATACTATGAGAGCTGGTCAGAGGGATGCGTTCAAATGTAGTCAGTAATTTGAGGAACTGTCGAAAATGAATGGCGAACGCAGATAAAGTTGAGCTCGAAAATCCTCCAGCATCATTGAAGTCTCCGGTTTGGGAACATTTTGGTTTCGCAGTTACGTACAAGGATGACGGACAAAGACAGGTGGACCGAACCAAAGCTGTTTGTCGGCATTGTTCAACTAAAATTGGTTACGCGGCTGGCAATACATCAAACTTGCACACTCTTGAAAAGGCATCACCCCGAACGTGAATATCACCGGTACCAAAAGAAAAAAGACTGAAGTGCAAACCCAACTCCCGCTAGCATTTAAGCCTCCACCACTCGCAAAAAGATCAGACCGAGCCAAAGCTATTACAAACGCCAAATATCCTTATGTTGCCATGTTAGCAAAGCGCTACCTGGCTGTATCTGCTACCTCTGTCCCTAGCGAGAGGGTGTTCTCCACAGCAGGAGACATTGTTAGTGCCAGCAGATCTGCCCTTTCGGCAAGCAATGTGGACAAGTTAATTTTTCTTTAAAAAAACATGAAAATACAATGACAAGCAAGTCATAATGTCAAACTGGCTGCTTAGGTACTAGTACAGTACAGTTCAAATACAGATTATTTCAGTTCATCGAAAAGCTGCACCTTAATGTTTATTTTATTATATTTTGTATTTATTTGAGTGAATATTCACAGTTTAATAATAATTAAAAACCCAAAACTAATAGTTTATGTTTTGTGAGTACTAGTAGCCTACAGTAAAGTTCAAATACAGATTATTTCAGTTAATCGAAATGCTGCACCTTAATGTTTATTTTATTATATTTTGTATTTATTTGAGTGAATACATTATTCACAGTTTAATAATAATAAAAAAAATATATATATATATGTTTTGTTCTGTGAAAAAAAATTCTGCTGTACCGAAAACGTACCGAACCGAACTGTGACCAAAAAACCGAGGTACGTACCGAACCGAAATGTTTGTGAACCGTTACACCCCTAGTGTATATGTATAAATGTGTCAGAATACCCATTCTAGCCATGCCTCATATCCCTTTATTTCACTTCCTGTTTCAAAAGTGCTGATTTGGGGTATAAAGGTTAAATAAAAAAAAGAATTCATAAAAAAAGGAGGGGGCTGAGCTCATGAGGGAGATTCTACCGGCAAATATTGCGGTGAGGAAACGCCATATCATCGATTATCAAGGATTATTTCTGAAACAGTATGGAGCTCAAAGGCTTTCTCTCTTGCCGGTGATACCACAAGGTGAGTTCCTTTTTATTTCCTGCTTCTTCACACACATGCTCTCTCCAGTACAGGTTAGCTCTGAGTGTTAGCGATGCTAATGTAAACATGCACCAACCATATTACGTCCAAAACAGTCGATCATTGTTTCTGATAGCAACGTTTCTGATTGGGCTGTGGGTGTAAAGCCAGCCTACATTTCCGATATTACGTCATATCGGACGCAAATCTGGATCAGCTCCGTTGTAGCCCCGTTTTTAGAGATTTGGGTACGGAGGAAAAGAGAGATGGTTTTATTTTCTGACGCTGCGTGAGTTCCCTGACACACCGGGGACACATATTTATGTATAAAAGACATCAAAAAGTGCATTTTGCATGATAGGTCCCCTTTAAAGTCAAATCTAAAAGGTTTTCTCTCCCATGATTATGATTTATAAACAGACTTTCTTTCTAAGTTCCTTAAAAGATCTAATATCTAAAATATTTGGGTGTATTTATTTTTATTTATGCATTTTACATCATATACCTTTACTTGTATATTTGTATAGTGCATTTATTTTGTGCAGACTGCTGATAGATGTGTATATAACTGACTATTTGAAATCTGGTTAGACCTTCTTAATGTCGTTAAACTCTGCTTGCATTATGTAATGACAATAAAGTAATCTAATCTAATTTGAGGTAAAAAAAAAATTGCCAGGTGATGTTTTCTTTCCGTATTTTCATCTGAGATAAAGGGGGGAGCACTGTTGAAATACTAGTTATCAATGGGTTTCTGTGTAAAGTCTCACCTCAGAATGGCCGAATGAGCAGGCGTTGTGAAGCGGGATCAGACCCCCATCGTCCCGAGCGTGCACATTGGCGCCCATCTGAAGCAGGTGGTCGACCACATCCCTCCGCCCAAAACCTGAGAAAAGATCAGAGAGAGAGGAGAGAGGAGGAGGAGAAAGAAAATATAGGGAAGAGGGAAGTAGGTGTTAGGCAATTGATCCGTCTTGCCCCAAAAAAACTCATATTGCATATCGATTATTTATGTAGGGTTGAATCCAATCTGCAGCGTTGCAAGAAGAGAGGATCCCAGATGTTCTCAAACTCGAAGCAGTCATCTAGGAGCAACACAGCGGAAACAAAACACTGCTGTGTCTGTTTTCAATTGTATTCCCGTATCATGTTAATAATTGATACTAGACTCTAAATTATCTTCTGGGCTTTTTTTTCTTTTTCTACATTTTGTTTATTTGTCATGTAAGCCATCCACGTGGCAGCTGCTTGGGAAAGCGGCTCTCAGCTGAAGCTTGTTATGTCTTCACTACAGACGTGCCACGGGACTCCAGAGTTCTGCTCACTGTTCAAGCTGCTGAGGATTAGGAAGGCCTGAGATCTGAAGCAGCTGTGCGAGTTATTCTGCTTTTATCTTTTTGCCTGCACAGATGAAAGACATTTAAAACAGTCCACCCTGGAGCTGAAAAGCTTAAGTCAAGATGAGCACCTTTCATAGTCGTGGAACATAAACAAGTACGTTTTAGATTCAAATGAAAAAAATGATATTTTATCTTTAGTCTTTTCTATGTCTTCTTGCTTGTGGCAAAAACAAGAGTGTAGAATACCTTTCTTTTGGTCCTGCTTCTCTTAACCCATGAAGCACCTGCCAAATGACTGTGCCGGTGCAAAGTTTAACACACAAACTGACATTTCAGCCCTTCCCTGATTTATTTTTCCTTTTTTTTATATATGTTTTTGAGCCAGAGTGCCTTTATTGGAGATGCAGAGTTGGAAGGGGGAGATAGAGGGGATAACATTGCCTGAGATGTTCGGTGAGCTCGGCAGTTGAACCTGCCTACTTAACAGGTTCAACTCTATGGGTGTCCAGCTCGAACTACTGAGCTATCCAGCAACACGATTTAAGGTTTATTATTTGGTACATTTCATTCCAAATAGTCTTACTTCTACCAATGCTAAGTGAGTTTTCTAAAACAGGAACAAAAATAGTTACAGGGCCCTTAATGAAATTGCTCTGCCCACACATAATGTGTTGCACCGCCTGTCCTTTTGTTAAGGCTGGGGAAAAAATATCGATTTATGTAACAATCAAGATGCTTATCTTCTAATTGATTCACAACTTCCAAAATAAACTAGATTGCTATGGATGGACAGTAATCCCACACACCAAGTAAAAGTTATGTCAAGCTTTTGTTGAATAATCACACAGAATACCAGTTTTACAGTGTTATTGTGTGTCATTTATTTTTGAAAGTTACATTTTGGAGAAATAAAAAGGCAGCTAGGCCAAGCCTATCATATTCATTGATATAAGCAAAAGGACTTTTTTTATCAAGTGTAACATTATTGTTATCTTTTTTAAAGAAAAGTGTGTTTATTCGTGCAAGTTCACATGAATATATGTTACCTATTATCATGCCTTTGCATGTTTACATTCATGTAATCAGTTGACCTTTTTAAAAACTCCATAATGTTATACACACTTAACTTGTCCAGCACCTTTAGACCCTGAAATCCGCACATTTAGGTACTCAATCCAGAATTGATTTTTAAATGAACCATGCCATGAACCAACTAATTGTAATCAAATCAATAGATGTTGAATAATTATTAAACTTTATAATTGGCAATTCTAGTAACTGAGATAAAGGATGCTGTCTTTACACTGCTGGAAATATTTATATCTAGAAGCCCAAGCTACTTTAACACTATTAATGTATGTATTATAGGGGTAGCCTACCAAGTTTTAATACAGAAAGAGATGGGGGATTCGTTTTTGACAACATAAATACACAGGGTAATTATCATGTGTTACAATAAATGTTTTATAATCTTAAAATGTTATTTTTATTTATTGATGCATTTCATATCTTTAAGTGATGCCATGCTGAAAACTGTTGTGTAAAACATAGGCTACAACTAGTAGTGTATTGTTTATTAGCTACTTTCTGGTCGCTCCCACGCCCTAAGCATCCTCCCAGCTCCACAAACAGTCAGTAAGACTTCAGTTTATCTAAACAGTGATTTCCGTTATGTTTACCTGCAGCGAAATGTAGGGGTGTAGATTTGCGTCCTGCCATGTCTTTTGCGTTAACATTCAGTGCATCCACGAGTTTCTTCACCCTAGACACATCCCCGTTACGACAGGCTTCAAAAAGGTCCCTGAAAGCCCCGTATGAACCACCACCACCGCCGCTGCTGCTGCTGCTGCTGGCCGCGTCACTGCTGCCCGAGTCGGGCGTAGAGCCGGGGCTGGACCCGCTGCCCTCGGTGGTTGTCGGGGAGCTAGCGCTGCTGCTAGTGCTGCTGCTGCTGCTGGCGGAGAGGGCCAGAGCTGGGGAGGCGGTGGGAGATGAAGGGGCTGCCTCCCCGTCAGCCTGGTTGTCCAACGCGGCTCTGCGGGAAAGCGAGGTAGCATTGTCGGTGGGTGCAGCCGGACAGCCAGGAGGGGTGGCGGGGCGAGAGGAGCCGCGGGGCGGGGAGGAAAGCGGGGAGTTCGGCTGCTGCTGCTGAGAGGAGCGACGAGGCGTCGCCATTTTCACAACACAACAGTACCCACTAGCAACAAAAACACTGATGACAATGTCCTGCCCAGGAAAGTCCAACTTCCGCTTGGGTTTACTGGGATTACATTTGGTTTATCCAAAACTATTGAATAAAGCTTTACTAAAATATCAGTAGGTCTACAACTAAATTGGTAACAAAATTACATTGTAAAGAATGTAGATACTTAACCGTCTACACAAATGTAGATTACATTTTGGCCTTTATGTGTTGTCTATGTGAATAATACAAAATGTATATGCTTTTTTAATCTGGGGGTGTGTATACTTAGATGGGTAGCTAAAAATTAGGTAATTTGCATGTTTTTTCAAATTTAAAGGCCCCAATGAAAAGAATAGATATCATAGTGGGCTTAAATGTTACTAAAAATAAACATATTCATTCTAACCTATTCATTTATAATCAGTACTCAAGTTGTAAAAAAAAATCAGGGGGGATGGTGGATTTTATCATATGGGGACATAATTTGTGCTGATAACCCGCAGAGGGTGGGAGACCAACCAGCATAAAGATAATTATTATACTCCTAAAACAACATGCATGTTATGGATGTTCAGATACTCCTTTCATTGCTCTTGACCAAGGCACCTCAGAATTAGAGTCGGTCCCCGGGCTGCCATGGCACCACTAACATTTAGGGTCAAATGCAGAGGACAATTAGTGCAAAATCTATTTTTCACTTTAATTTAAAGGGGGGGAGGAAATACAAAAATGTGGTTATAATGGAAGTATATGGTACAAATCTTTTAGGTTAACAGTCCCTCATTTATTATTCAAATGGATCAACTGATTATACTAATAATAAAGTGAAAATAGTTTTTAGAATATTGAATTATAGTGTATTTTTTCAAAAAAGCAGTTACTGGTATACGATCAAAACTGGTATCTAAAGGGTTACATTTGTATCGTAATTAATTAAATAATTATGTAAATTCTTTATGAAAAATTTGAGGAAATTTTTTTGGAAAATATTGATCAGTCATCATTTTATTGCAGTTCAAATACAAATATTTTATGTTAACATTCCCAATGTTACTTTTTTTAACAGGGCATTAAGTGCAAATTGAAATTGTTTACAAAATATGAAAATATGTTAAAAGATTATACAGATAATACAAAATAGGACACATGTTGTCAATGGCTGCCTACTCCACTCTCCCCCATCTCATATAAGTTTCCAAAGATTTTCATAATCATGTTTTTTGGTCTCAATTTTTCTGGCTCTTGCTTTCGGATTGTTAGCTAAGCAATGGCTTTGAAGCCAAGTCTTGACATATACCTCTGATTTGAACTTGTTCAGTGGAGGGCCAACACACTTGATGAAAAGCAAGGCTGACATGCTTTTTACCTCTAGGGAGCTTCGAGTTGTGGTTAAAATGTTCATCTGACGAAACCCACGTTCACACTCAGCTGTGGAGATGACCAGAGTGTTCTCTGCTTGAAGGTGGGGTTTCAGCTCTTCTGATGCTGGTGGTATCATTTCATCAACAGTTTTTGAGTCTGACCAGCTAGCTAACACGAGAGAAAAACGTAGCTAAACTCCAAACTAAGTTGTTATTGCTGCTTATGTCCATAGATTCCACCTTTGGTGACTAAAGTAGTGAGTAATGACTAAGATTACTGACTCTTGACTTACCTGAAATGTTATTTTTGGTATTTTTAAATATGAAGTCCCTCAGATCGCGTTGTCCTCCTGGTTGATTGGCCATTGTGATGACCGTTACCTGCGCTTCTGGCATCGATCAAACAGGCGCATCACGGCGCTCTGGCGCCCTCTAGGGCACTCGCATAGTATAGCGTCAGTGACTTGGTAAAAATGTCATTGCGTGTGTGCGTGCTCCCTCGCCCACAGTATTTTACTCAAAATGCGCAAAATTAATGTTGAAATAGCAGTAATACCAGTGCCACGTTCATTGATAAAATGACATAAGGGATGGAAAGGGGGAATGGCAGTTTTAGAAAGGGGATGATTTTTGACCGTTTTTATTTCAGGGGGGATGCCATCCCCCCTCATCCCCCCTCAACTCGAGTACTGTTTATAATACATTTGCTCTTATATTGGTTTTCATTTGAGTTGTGTTTATGGCTCCATCTGTCAGATGGAACTCATATTATTTTGTTTGTCTGATTTTCTTTCTTTTTTAACAAAAACTAATAACCTTTCATTTTGTTTAGGAAACATGGCATACTTGGCAGATGGGTTACTACAACATATGAGATGTTAGTTTAGCCCATAGACTGTATATATAAAGGGTTTAGCCTAGTAAAATGCAGGGGGACTTTAGTCATGTCAGATGGTTTGGAGAAACTCAACACAACCATCTAGTGGAGAATGTTGGTAATAACTTGAATACAGTATGATCATGACATACTAGAGGAGCTGCAGCGGTTCTTCTGTTAATACAGCAAACACTTTAACATACAAAATAACAATGCTCAAATTGTTGATTACAGTATGTATCAATTTAGGCAAAAATAAGGCACTGTATATGTGATCACGGGCATTTTTTAAAACACACTTAGGCCTACACATTACACAGCAGACTTATACATTATGCAAAATAAGCTTGGTAAATATGTTAATACAGATTTCGAAAAAATATATATAATTGTGCTGGTTTTAATAGTTGTTTTCTTATGTGTGCATTTGAAAAAAGCAGTGGGTAAAATGTGCTTAAAGGAATTTGAATTTGATTGATTGACAGGTGATCTATTACACTCTGTCATGTTGTCACACTGTTTGTTTTTGTTGCATTGTTCCACCTTAACCCAAGTTACACATCTTTATTCAAATATTTAAGGGTAATGTCCTCATACAATGTTGTACCATAATGTGTAGCCTTCTTGAGCTGAATTGCAGAGAGAAACCTGCACCAAGAGGAAAATCTACAAAAACATGAGGAAAAATACAGACACGTAGCTTTGATTTGAGCCAAGGACCTTCTTGCTATAAAGATGCTGGGACTAATAACTCAGACCCTTAAAAACAACATTAAACAGATTTGATCTATTAAAGTAAATCAATCTTTACTATTTTGGTGACACTATATCTACAAAAATGGTCAAGTAAAACATTTAGATTTGAGTTACAAGGAATCGTCTGCACTGCATCAGTATGGATGACAGACCGCACGTATGATTCACCACTAATATCACCTTGTGAATGCCGTTTGCAAATAATTGTGAAATGAAAAAAAGACGTGTCATTGTGACATTAAGAAATAAATCCCTGGAGAAAAGTTAATTGGACCTCCATGATGTATAATTTAAAGGTCAATATTTCCTTAGAAAACTAATTTATATTATTTTTTATTTTTCTTATAAAAAAAGATATAATCAATATCCAGATACTATGCAATTAAAGGTTATAGATTGAGTCAAGCTTTCAAAAAATGTGATAGTTAAAATTGTAACAATGAATGGAGAAAGCAAACTGTAAAAACATATAGTTCTATTTTACAGATACATTATTTAAAATGAAGAAAAGGATAAGTTCCGTATCTTAGAAGAACTTGAACATCTTTGAAAATAGCTTTTTAAGAATTGTTTCAACTAAGATCAGTTAAGTTACAACATTTCAGACACAAAGGCAGTTCAAAGTCATTTACACAAGCTTCAACATCAAACAAATTAAACAGAAAACAAGAACAACAGACATAAGAAATACAATAGATTTTATTAATATGAGAGGTGACGAAATATAAGAATGTGACGTCTTTTTAAAGGAAAAACAGTGCCAAACAGAAAGCCCGATTAGTGATAGTGGGTTGAAGCCAGAAGCTACCACAGGATTTTAAGTGAAATACATCGGCCATATCATCAAAAGGTAAATTTGATATGCAATTAAACAGTGTTTGACAATCCTCTGTGGTTTTTAATACCCCCATGTAAAATAAATGACATGACAACTGATCACATGTGACAGACAGCTGCAGTGATTCAGCATGTAGAAGTGATAAAACAGGACTGTGGTGTCAGAGGAAGAGTATGCAAAGTTCCGGTAGGTTGACATACCTCACATATCATCTTTAACTGCTCTCTGTGTCAAAGCTTGAGCCAGGCCTGAAAAACAACTCTCAGAACAAAAACATAAAAACACACCGCCCTCCGGATGATGTGACTAGAGTTTGAATTTGTATGGTTCACTGTGGGAAATTGCATCAACACAAACACAACTTTGCTGATACCTAAGTCCCTAATAACCAAAGTGCAGTTAGAGTGCTCATGTCTTCCCATTTCTTCATGGTGTCAGTCTTTTTTAAATAAATACAATATATTAGAGGGCTTATTTGGGGAAATGGGGTCACATTGGGGTAAAGATCCAATAGACACTAGAATTTCAGAAGTGGTCAAGTCAAACGATGTATTATGGGGGAGTATCACAAACTGTTTTCGGGTTGTTTGGTTATTTTAGAAGCTAAATCACTTTCTATGTGGGGTTGATCAGGTTGATGGCTGTGGGATAGTCACACTCTCAACCTGCTGCTTTACGGGAGTTTGCCCAATGACTCTGTTCATGTTTTGGGTTTTTAGGACTATTCATAAAGTCAGAGAAAGGCGAGGTAAACAAAGTGTTACTATGAAACTAGATGTGCAGATAGATATAAGCAGAGAGGAGGAGAAGACAAACTCAAAGAGGCCGAAAAGGTATTTGAACAGTTGGTTGCAGAGGATTCCTGCTGAACTGAATTTCTACCAGCCATATGGGCATTTTCCAAACCAAAACCATCGTAATCTCTGAGTGACCAAAAAAGGAGAATTTTTTAATGAAGATGATGTGTCAAAATGTGCACCCTAATTAATAAAAGGTAAATAAAGTAATATACACACGCAAACAAACAAGTGCTTAAATGTTTCTTAATTATATGTCTTACCGTCTCCTCTTTCTTAAATTAATGCATATTAAAGGTGTTAATGCGAAAGCATACCTATATGCAGACACATGTTATTGATCACATCATTATTAAATAAGTGTTTAAAATAATAATTAAGGACTATATTTTTAAATACAGTAATCAAAACATTTAGGACAAAACTACCTTTAGGTGATTTAAAAATGGGGTATACAAATATAAGTTGTATTTTTTTTGTAACTGCCTCCTGGAAAGAGATCTAAATATATTTCCTGTTCTTTATCTTCTCTTATCACACAGATTTGCATCATGATAAAAGCTTCATCGAAACTCCCCTCTCCCCTTCCTTGCAGTTGCAGATGAGAAGCTGTGTTGCGCACGGCCCGCCCGCCAAACCTGTCCTATTCGATGACCTCGAGGCAGCAGACAGGTAAGCCTGAAGCCCCGCCCACTGCCAGGTTTCAGTCAGACTTGTTTTTAAATAGCAGCTGTTGGAGCTGTCACAACTCAGTCTCTCCTGTGTAAGTTACTGAGTTGGGCAGCAAGAACACACACATCACCAACAACCATGCCGTCGCAGAGAACGCAGGAGTGGATGCGCACATCCCTGCGCACCCCGGGCATCCTGATCTTCGGAATGGTCATGGCTCCCTGCGGATGGATCCTAAACCTAACTGCCACAGTGGCCCCAAACTGGAGGACCCTTAACGCGCTTCCCTCACGCCCGTTGAATGAGTACATCCAGCAGGGCATCTGGGAGATCTGCAGGGCCACCACAGTCGAGACGAGGGCGGACTGCACTCTGCAGGACACCGAATATTTCGGGAACCAGGTTATCGAGGTGGCCCAGGGTTTAATGGTGGCCTCCCTCATCGTGACTCTAATCGGGCTGGCAGTGGCCATCCCTGGGGTGCGCTGCTGGACAGACAGGCCTAACTGGTTGCTGGCTGGCCTGGGCGGAATCCTGATCTTCCTCTCCGGGGTCATGACCATCATACCCATCGCCTGGTACACCCACATCCTAAAAGAAGTGCCAACGACGTTCCCTACCATAGATGTGCGCGTGGGCTACTGCATCATTCTGGGCTACATAGGCGGGATCTTTGAAATCCTGGGCGGCTTCGTTATGTTCATCGGGATCTGCCGGTGCTGCGGAGGGAAGAACCGAGGGGAGAAGCGGGTGGAGCAGGTCACCGGAGCCCGCTTCGCCAGCAGGAGACAGCCTGCGAGAAGAGTCGAAGTGCCGAGCCTGGACCGGGCCCGGAGCGAGGCCAGCAGCGTCCCGTACTCGAGAGACTCCCTGGATGAAGATGTGTCCTTCCCCCGGGCCAAGAGCACCGCAGCCCGGTCAGCGAACACCTCATACGGCGGCAGACCTTATGAGGCAGACCTATGAGAAGAACACACTACAGGAGAGGAACACGACGTAAAATGGATATTAAATAAAGGACTGAGAGTGGGAAACTTTCTAGGAAGATGGTCAACTTTATATTACAAGTAGAGTTTTTTATATTATGGAGTATTGTTACATAAGACATTATACCAACACTTATTTTAGGCCATAAAAGAATATGTCAGTGGTGCCAAGAGATTAACACCTTGTGAAAAAACTGTAAACTCACATGTAGTCTATACATTGAGTTAGCCACATCATTAGGACAGTAATGGGCTACTTGAAGGCAAACATCTATAATATTGTTAAATGATGTGAGAGTGAGCCAGGGCTAGTAATGAGACCCATAATAGCTGGGTTATGATTTATACTTACATCATGATACTGGAGTGTGCTTCAAGCAGAGCAGTGCAGGTGGAGATGTGGTGGATATTAGAAGGAAAGTAAAAGGTGAAGAATTCAGTGTTTTTCTACATTGCCAACTTTTCCCCCCTAATGTTTTAATGTAAATACTGTATTCTTATGCACTTTAAGATTATGGCCAACCTTGTAGGACAACAGGCCACCTGTTGAAAAAGAAAGGTGATCAATATTGTTCTCATTGCTCTGTGATACAAGTGTTGTTTATTAAATGTGCAATGTTTCCTAATAACAGATGACTGAGTATCAACTTATTATTACATTACAAGTGTTCAGATTGCATGTGGAGAAAACAAAGACGTTTTTAAAATATATAAGGGGAATAGCTGTGGTTATAAAGGTGAGGTTACATTAATTTGTTGTCATAGTTTGGCCTGCAATTTCTATTACATGTGGCTACAATTCAAACACACATTCAGAAAGGCTATACACAGATACTTTTTTTTCTTCAAACGTACACATACAACCGGTCGGAGAGGTTTGTTTCTTTCAACATCTTGTCTAACAGCATTTCTTGTTTGAACTGGATTTGCACAAGGCAACACTGTAGTGAACAATTGCCTCTCTCCTGGCCGTTCAGTCTTTTTTTGTTAAAATGGCCTCCCAAGTAATCATGATGCCGACTCCCAGCCGGACCTGTTGAATGCCCCAGTTATAGTTAATGCAAAGTTTAGCAGTATTCTGTCTGAGGCTCACACACTGGGACAAGTCACTGACAGTACCATACAGATACTAACAGCTCATACAGCAGACCAACAGCAGAGAGATTGTGTTTAGGGTGTCAGTTTTTATTTATAGCCTCATTGTCCTGAGATGCTGAAGAGCTTTTTAAAAAAAAGTTTTATAATAGCTCTAAACTTCCATGAAGGAGACTCAAATACGGGAATTTAAAGATCCTGACTTAACTTTCTAGTATGGGTCCAGTTTCAGAATGCTCATTCCCATATTTACAACTTTGTAACCAAATCCAGCTTTACATTACACTCAAACTTAAATCTTTGAAAAACGTTTGTTATTGACTGCTTTACGTTGTCATAGACTTCTGACTCCTCATTCCCATTAACCGTCCAGTAGGGGCCGCTATAGGTTAAAAACAAACCTTACCTATAGCCAAAGTAGGTAAGTAGGCTCTGATACTAGGTACTTGATCAAAAACAATTGCTAAGAAGTATTCTGAAAGGAACAATTGAGTGACCTTCAATTATTTATTTATTTTTTAAAAATAAATAAAAATTGTATAAGACTTCAGAAAGCTCCTTCACAGATAACATGACTATTTTCACAGACATCACAGGATATTAAACCTAACATGTGCATGTAATCAGTTCCACCTTAATGATACAGCACCAGCTTAAAATGATACTTTAGGTTGCCCCTCCTGAAAAACAAACATGCACATTTTTCTCATTAATATGAACACATGTTGACATAGTGTCACCCCCATGGCAGATCCTTCCTGTTCCTTCACATCACAGACACATATTCTATCTGATAACAAAGACTGAAGTGCATGATAACAGATCAATCCTTCCTGGTCCAGTTAAGTTTAGTAAACACTGAGGCTGATACAATCATGTTACAAGATCCTAGAAAGAGTGCAGAGAGGCAGCGGTGCATGTTTTGATGTACACACAACAGACTGGCTGTCTGGAGTCAGTGGTAAAACACATTGAAACCTTAAAAGTTACGTAAGGATTCCAAAGATACTTACAGTCTGTCAAGCTGAAACAAAGTGTAGAAATAAACTACTAGCTATTGCTGCACATCATTTGTCATAATAAAATAGTTGTATCTTTAACTTCCTAGCAAGATTATAACTTGTCCTCTTCATTTGACCACTTTATCCAAAGTGATCAATTATAATTACTATAAGTTCAAATTCAGTCCCGCAAGAATCTGTATGAAATGTAGTGTTAACTTCAGAAATAAGAAGTGTCGTTTGATTTAATTAGTCAAAAACAGGTCGACTTTGTTTACTTCTGTAACATAATGACGTCACACTCACGCTTGTATTGGATAGCACTCCAACACATTATACGTGATATTTTAAGGGGTGGGACCTCTCTAAGCAGTTGACAATCACAACAGAGCTAACCAATCAGAGCAGACTGGGCTCTGGTTTCAGACAGAGGGTGAAAAGAGGTGCTGCAACACAGGCAGTATGAGAAAAATAAAGAGCTTCTTGAACATTAAAGCATGGAAACACGTCATAGTAGAGGCACAACATACAAATATGAACCGGAAAATTATCAGAAAAGGGACCCTTTTAACAAATCTTTGATATTTTAAATAAAACATTGATATGTTGTGAGTTTTGTACATTTTATTTGAAAGTTGGTGAATATACAGCAAAATACATACAGAACAAAAAGTGTATGTGCAGTAAAGATATGATATACATGCCAGTGAAATTGTTAATTAGGGGTACCGAGTCATAAATCAGTTAACCACAGATCAGCTTGCATAGCTAGAGCCAATATGATCCCCATTGACATCAGGACAGCAGAAAGCTTACACATCTTCTGGCGCGGACTGAAAACTCATCTCTTTCGACTCCACTTCGAGCAATAAAACAAAACAAAACAAAAACCCGCACTTAGATACCAACTAAGCACTTACATACTAACAAAGCACTTATATATTAACAAAGCACTTATATACTAACAAAGGACTGGCTTATCTAAAGCCAGTTGAGTAGCACTTGAAATGGTTTGGCTCTATGAAACCTGATGTACTTATATGATTCAGTTTTCTTCAAGGTTGTATCTTCATGGTCGAATGCACTTATTGTAAGTCGCTTTGGATAAAAGCGTCAGCTAAATGTAATGTAACATACAAACTAAGTAAACATCAGTTGCACATACATATTCTGCACCTATCAGCAGTAGTGATAATAATAAAAGCAACACAAAATAAACACAACAAACAATTATTATATATAGTCAAAATACAAGGGATATCTTATATATATCTTACATATATATATATCTTAGATATATATATAAGATAGATATATCAGGCTTTTGTTTTAAACTGTCTGTGTCAAACATTTATGACAAGAGAAGAATTTTAAAATGAAGTAAAACAGGATCTGAGGAGGTGTGCGCACACGTTTCAGGTTATTGACATAGTATATTCACCTTTCAAAAGGACTCCTCTTGATCAGTACACTTAAGGCACTTTTTCTCCAGCTATTGTGTTTAGTAGAGCGGAAAATCAGCAATACAATCCTTAGTTTTGGTGGTTTACTGCAGATTTGTTGTGCAAACATTTTAAAATGTTTCCATCTCTTAAATAAATGAGGCATACATATTTCAAATAGATATATCAAAAGAGTATACCTTTGTCATTCTGACCTATAACTTATGACAGAGAAGAATGACATACTTTTCAGCCAGTTTTGTACACACACGATTAAATAATCACCTTCTATGAGCAGATCAGCTTGTTGAAACATGTCTGACGACATGGAATTGTTGTGTAATCCAGCAACACAAAAACAGAGGGATAGACAATATCATAAAGTGTTGGGTATTGTTGATGCTATAGGCTGTCAAGAACTACAAAGCATATCAAACATTAATTAAATCAGCAGTGTAGGAAAAAAATAGACAATACAGCATAACAAGCTCTTAACACTGGCTATCTTACTCAGAGTGACTCAAATAAACGACTAATCCAATCGGGTTCATATCCCCGTCTTACCCTGTGTGAAATTGATTGCTGAGGAAAGCATTTTTGTTTTTAATACCAGTAAAAAGTCACTCCTTTTAGCAGATAGTACAAAAACAGGCCAGCAAGAATCATTACTGTTGGGCTCAGCTTTCTCTGCATTTAGCAACTGCTGCGTCAGAGAGCAACTGATTTGCATTATTTTACCTGAGGTAGCCAGTGTTAGAGGACACAATAGGCTCATCTATGGAAATAAGCTATATGAAATGTGATTAAGGAAGTACAAATGTGCGGTAAGCAGATCGTGACATTTCTATTTAAACTGCCAAAGACACGATCATTTAATCTGTTCATTTCTTGCAATGTGAAAAATGCAATCAGTGTGAAAACTACTACTACACCAAAATGGTTGCATGTAATGATGTGATTGATGGTTAGGATTTTGTATTATGTGTAATCATTGTTCTTGAGCACTAGTACCTCATCAAAATGCTATAAATATTCAAACAAACCTACAAAGCTGGAGATGAATGCAGGGCCCTAACAAGGACATCTCAAACATTGTATTGTGCTTCTAAAAAAACTAATGGTAGTGTCAAAAGCTCATTCTCAGATGTAGACAACAGTTTAAAGGTGGCTGCTGTGTTTTCAAGGAGCATTTTTGAATGGCCCAAATCCAGTTTGGTGCCAAATGCATACTGTTAGTCAGTCTCCTGTTGCCTTTCTTTGATACACGCTGGCCTCTTGACATGAATGACTTGCCTGTCATCGTCCAATGATACACGGGAAACAAAGCAGTGAAGTTGTGTCTCTGTCAATCCTTTTAAAGTTCAGTTCAATATTTGGGTTTCTTTGATGTTGCAGCATCAGTCGTAGAAGAGGGGCCACCGGTCATCAAGAAAGAATGGTGGATCTGATCTGTCCTTTTTTACTAAATTCAACAAAGCGTGCTGCAGAAGAATGCTGGTGGAAGCTCAAGCGTATCACTGGCGACAATGCCATGTTTGACCTGGAGAAGAACAGCAGAGTTATTATTGTTGTGATCATTTATCCTGTTTTTTCTTTTCATTCTCATTCAATGTAAAAAAAAGAAGACACATTTAGCCACAAATGGTGTGAGGTTAAGGTACCCTGTGGCGTTTTGACCAATAGCAGCACTACAGAGCATTTTTGCTTGACGTGGGTACATTAAGATAACCAACAAATTGCAAATAAAAGGCAGCAAATATGAAGTCAGTTTTAAAAAATGATATTGAAATGAAAGCAAGATACTTTAGTGGACTTAAATCCTCTACTACAATTTCGTAATCGCACACAAATACTGAATATTTCCTTCTGAACACTTACCTCGGAGATAATGGAGTCATCCAAATTACACAGCAATGTTGTAGCCTTGTTTTGCTGCCTGTTGTTTCCTATTAGACAAACAAACCAAAATGAGTAAGTCTTGCTTATGATGTAAAGTAAACACACTGTTATAGCACATACAACAAATTCACTTCGGGTGTTTTGAAAAGCTAAAATAATTTATCATCTGTTTATTAACAACGAAAATACAAATTATGTACATATGCCTGCATTTAAAATAACTCATTTATACTGTCCTTTGCCTCATTTATAAACATTTACAAAAATATAAATGCAACACTTTTGTTTTTGCTCCCATTTTACATGAGATGAACTCAAAGATCTAAAACATTTTCTATATACACAAAATAACCATTTCTCTCAAATATTGTTCTGTAAATTCATGGTTTGTACTGGGTGTATGAGGGTTCGATTAATGGGGTTCAGTTTATGTGAGTGTAACTTTAAATCTGGATGAGATTCGCGGGGTTTATTGATGTATATAAATAGAGGGGATACATACATTAACGTCATAGAGATTGAGGAATCAGGAGAGGCCACTAGTAAGTGTGATTATTATATTGAATGTGATTTAATGTGTATGGGATATGTGTGAATCCTAATTGGTGTATTGTTGTTGTCCTTTTTTCTTCTAAGGTTAACAACCTATTTAGATTTGATTAAATCATCAAAACTAGGAATTGTTTCCGTCCATCTTGATTCCACCCATACTGTCGGGAGATAGACAGTACAAATATTGTTCACAAATCCGAACAAATCTGTGATAGTGAGCACTTCTCCTTTGCCGAGATAATCCATCCCACCTCACAGGTGTGGCATATCAAGATGCTGATTAGACAGCATGATTATTGCACAGGTGTGCCTTAGGCTGGCCACAATAAAAGGCCACTAACTAATAATACTAACACTGATATTCTGCCACTGTCTGTGTTCAAATGGATGTCATTTAAGACCTTAACAAGTGAAGTCTCAGTGCTGTGGTTAGGTCGAAAGCCCAACTGAAACACATCAAAACCGTCAGTTAAAAACATGAAATTACTCAACTGTTGAAAAACTGCTTTTTCAATCAATTTGCTTAAAAAGGGAAGGTTTGATATTGGCCTGTAATTATTCATTATGGTTTTGTCTAGGTTATGCTTTTTTAGGAGCAGTTTAATTATTGCAGTTTTCAGGGCCTGTGGAAATACACCTGATTGAAGAGACTTGTTTACTATGTGTAGTATATCTGAGGCCAAGCAATGAAAAACAGTTTTGAAAAATCCTGTCGGGATGATGTCGAGGCTACAGGAGGAGGATTTCAGATGTTGGATAATGTCTTCCAGGTCTTTAGCATTTATAAGACGGAATTGTGACATGGTGTCTGAATTGGCTTTAGGTGAACACAGGGACAGTAGCTATATGCTGTACCTGATGCAGAGGCACTGACTGCCTGTCTAATTTGCATGATTTTGTCAGTGAAGAAGGAGGCAAATTCATTGCAGACCCTGGTGGATAGAAATTCTGAGGCTATCGACACTGGGGGGTTTGTTAGTCTGTTGACGGTAGCAAACAAGGCACGTCATAAATATAGCACGTTTGTTTATTTTAACAAACCACGTTCTCCAAGTAAAATTGAATAGAAATTATAATTTATAATCAGTCTTGTATACAGATCAGTTCGATAAAGTTATGCTTAAACAGCGACATTTTACACGATAAATACGTGCATTTGCCACGGAAGGTGAGTGGCAGCTACCGGTGTTACCGAACAAGATGTGGTCCGAACAACTGGTGATATTCTATAACGGGATAGGCAGATGTATCAGGGGCGTGGGCTTTGTCGAATAACCAGGAAATACACATTTCGATCGCTTCTTCTGTCGTTTACATACATCTTTTTGTATCACATTAAGCATGATATTCAGTAATAAGTCTGGCAACAATAAATGGTTTAAATTATTTATTCAAGCTTGCAATGTTTTGTAAAAATGTATTTTTGTAGTCCCCGCTGTACACGTCCGGATATCGGCATCGCAACCACAACCTCACACACTGGTACTGAAAGTGCATCAAAGTGTTCCTATGGAGCTAAATATACCAACAGATTTATGTAAACTACAGAAGAAGCGATCGAAATGTGTATTTCCTGGTTATTCGACAAAGCCCACGCCCCTGATACATCACCAGTTGTTCGGCCCACATCTTGTTCGGTAACACCGTAAACCTTCTCTCGCCCCATGTGGCAACTCCCGTTCACCAGCGGCAGGTGCCTCGGCAAGAAGTGGCATCTATTTATTTTTAGTCAAACATAACTTCAGTTTAACATATAGCAGAAAGGAGGTGTTAGGGAAGAGCTTCAGAAGTTGTTGTTTACTTCCAAGCCAGGCTAGCTGTGCCTCTGCTTGCTAACAGTCTTTATGCTAAGCTAGGCTAACAACACCCCGACTCCAGCTAGCCTACTTTTTAACAACTTTCAAGCTAACTTTTTTACTTTTAAACTAATTCTTATCAAACGTTTTTTTACCAAAAGGTTAACATTTTCCCTTAAGAACAACATATTTCAGTACCTGTTCCTCTTCTTCTGCTTCTGCCTTATCTTGGCAACTAAGAAAGCCACCATGAGCACCCCGAAGATGACGGCCAGCACGCTGAGGGTCAGCGGGAGGCTCAGCGCCCCGTTCACCGTATCCTCGCAGGCCTCGCCTTTGTAGCCCAGGTCGCAGCTGCACACGAACCCGGTGCCGCCCCCCAATTCACTCAGACAGGAACCGTGGTCGCTGCATTGAATCTCTCCACATGTCGGCAGGCTGAGGTCGAAGCCTCTCGGTTGGGGAAGAGGGAAGGAAGTCATGGTGGAGATATGGCAGGTAGACGGGGATCCCTGGGCTGCTGAGGGAGGCAGTGATGTATAGAGAGTGAGAGGGAATTAATGAAAGGAGACCACACCCAAATCACAATAGGTTAACATGACAAAGAGAAAAGTATTTTCTGTAAGATGAATGTCCTCAGGGGCAGGGTCAGTGTGTGCAAATACTTTTGTAGTTGCCTTCCTTCAAGTCTGTTTAACTTTGGCATGCTACTTTACGAGTCACTGATTTCACTAATCAAAATGAATAATTATTCATGTGATTACTTCTGTAAGGAGCCCCTAAACGTTCATGAAAAAAACGAGATACTTTCTCTGTGTAAACATTTACTTTTTCGTGGTGCGAACGAGAAAGTATATTGTGCGCACGAGATACTTTTTTATTTTTATATGAACCTTTAGGGGTTCTGTACTTCTGCACTGCAACATTCATTAAATCAAATTATCCCAGCCACAAGTGATCCTTCCTTTGTGTGAATATATGATTTTCTACCTATCGTTGTCCCCTTCTCCAATTTATTTGGTGCAATCCACCTTCCATACAGATAAGTGGCTTTGGTGATGTGGTTGTGCTCATACTAATAAAAGGTCCCACGACATGGCCATTTATACTGATCATAATTCTATTGGTTAGGTCTGGGTGCCGTGTTGGCGGGATGTTGCGAGGCTCGCTGCTGCAAGGAGCGGACAGTGTGAGCTGGCTTACTGGTGTGGTTTCCTGGTCGGCGAGACACAGCGAAACCCAGCCCGAGCACACACACCCCCACACGCACACACACCCCCACACGTACACACACACACAACACACGCAGCCTGGCTGTGAGTCTGTAGTCACAGCCTCGCCGCGTCCAGCGTCAGGCTGAGAAATCCGCGGAGCTGCAGCTGAGAAAAGATTGGACCAATTGGGTATGGTCACGTCACTGTAGCCTACCCAGGTCCCATCACTGTACCCAGGAAGAAAAATAGAAATCTCCAACGAGGCGTTCTGGGCCAGCATAGACAGGTATTTTCTGTGTTAGAGTTTTACTCGCTACAGGGTGTACTTTGAGGGTTTTTGACTCTGCAGACCGTTTACATGCAGAAAAACCTTCATAACACACAAGGGGCCGGGTAATAACCGGAAAAGAATGTCATGGGACCTTTAAGACTCTTCTGACTTCAGGTTCTCAATGGAAATACTGTTTTATATGAGGGGCTGCGGATGGAAATTATCTCAAAGCTAAATCTGGCACTGTTACACTTGACACATTTGAATGTTTTAAGTGTTCATTACTCTGCATTGTCCCTGCCAAATAAACGATTAAATGAACAAATAAATGAATGAAGGTATGTGATCTTAAATTAAAACCGATCCCATTCTAATTCCAGACTTTATCTTTAGAATTCCCCAAAACATACATATTTAATAAGTAATGTTTGGTTTTGTTTTATATATAAAAAATGAACTAAGTGCAAAAAGTAGTAAATATGACAATTTCCACTATGGAACATATATGGATTTTGAGTGAGACTACCAGGCACATGCCCAGGGGCTCCACCTGGCATTTATCTACAAAATGTCACTCAACGAGACATCATACCAGGCAGGAAGACACTCAAGAAATTGCTAAAAAGAGATGCAAACAAATGACAGAGGTACAAAAACACTAGTCAAAGGTAAAAGTAAAAGCAAAACAAAAGAAAGGACAACAACTATTAAAAAGTGACAACTACAAAGAGACACAACATGACCATAAAGACACAAAATATAAAAATACATTAAAGAACTACAAAGTAACAAGTTGATTCCCATGGCTAAACAATTATGGAGTCAGTGTCTTGCTTCTTTGTAGGAGGTGTTGTGTAGCGTCTCACCCTCAGACATATTTGACTTTTAAATGATCACATACAAATGACCAAATAGGCCTAACAGCATAACACTGCAGGAAGTGTAAGAAACTATAATAATTGTTCACCTTGCCATTATTCTTTTGCCGAGACACACAAGGAAGTACTCCTTGAAGCTACCCCAGTTGTTTCTGACCCCACCTGAGTCTTTTCAACTCCTATCAAAAAAACATCAACCTTATCCAAAGAACAGAATAAATGCAGGTTAAAGATTCACTGTGATTCAGAAAGCATTTCATGAATCTGTGCAAAACACATTCACTACTGGATGAATACAAAGATAAAATTAGGTTAGCATGCCTGCTATAATATGACGCTTTACTAGAGAGGCTGAGGATAGTGTTGCATCACAGCCGCCTAAAGCATTCAGACTAGTGTTGGAAAAGGTATACTTCAAAGATTTAAGAGACAAGACTGACCATTATCAAATAATTTATTCTACTTTTCAAGCATGTCGTTCATCAGGTTTCCCCACCAGCACTGCAAGATGGTACCAAACACTGACTTCGGGAATAGACATACAGTAAAGTTAAACAACATTTTTTTAAATATGACAAATTAAATACGTCTACTCACCGAAGGAAAGAAAGCTAGCAGATTCTCTGTGTGTGAGCTAAAAGTCCTGGGTCTTTGAAAAATGATTTCCTCTCTCAGTGAGGGAATGTGCAACAATAGGAAGGAGGGAAGAGGACGAAAGCTGAGACCTGTGAATACCTGCCTCCTTTTTTTCTCACAAACACACAATCTCCTACTCCGCCCCTTTATCTTACGTTTAAATGGGGTTGAGTCATACACACACACACACACACACACTCTTGCTCACACCAAATATGGCATCTATGTAGCAACTCTACATTTCACAAGGAGAGTTCAAACTAATCCTATGCTTCAGTTAATAGCTGACTCACACTGACTCACAACACACAATGCTCAGGAATCCCTGGGAAACATAAAATTCATTTGCATGGCACCTACAGACATTGTCTCATAAAATAAACACCCAGGGCACCAAACAAAACAAACATTTGACTCAATTTACAAGAAATGTTGAATAATTTGAAGCAGGGCATTGATTTTATGATATTAAATGTGTCATTCGTCTTGGGAATAGGATGCCGAATAACTCACGTACACCCTTTCTGTACCCGAGAACGATTTCTTACTGAATTACAGTTGTTGCGTTTGCTCTTTAAGTGGGGGAGGGAAAGGCGAGAATGCAGGTTGGAACAAGAAAAACAGACAGGAATTGACAAGACTCGCATGTCTGAGGTTTATGTAGCGTCGAACGGCTAGCCTTAACTCTCGGATATCTTTAGACATTTTGTAATTACTTACAGTTAATGCATTTTACTACTGCAATTGATCTATCGCCGGCTCATACCAAACACAAGTCAGTCAGCAGCAAGAATCCCAGGCATTGTCTTGTGACTGAAACATGGCTGTGTGTACTCTGCTCAGCGGCCCGTGGTTTTGTTGCCAAGCCCATGCATGTCCTCTGAGGTCAATATACACTCCAGTTATTTTCATTTATCCAATTAAGAAACTTCTCCATGCTCGTGAGTTAATGATTTGGAGAAAACATATAAGACAATGGTTTTCAGCAGTTCTCACATCAGAGAATTGTTTTCTTGAGGAAGCTCAGTGCAGTGTTGTGTAAGGGTGGTTCAGGCAAGTGATCATAATCTCCTGAAGCTTTCCTGCAAAGCTGGGTGGAGGCCACTAGGCAGATCAGAGGGATTGATATTCAATATACCTGGGAACGCCCTGTATGTCAAAGGTCTAATTTGATCTAAGTGTTTATTAATGCCAACAGCTTTAATTCATAAACTCAAAGATGTTTATTTAAATGAATATCGTTACATCGCCAAATTAGGTAACAATGACTGAGTCAATGCCCCACTGATCGATAAATGCTAAATAGTGGGAATTAAAGTAACGTTTTCCTTATGTATTGCAGACATGTATAATAGTTAACACTGTTACTTTGATCAAAACAACACCTTGTGACTTTTTAAATCACAGTGGAAGTAGTAATTTTGATAACAGATTAAACATACACGCCCATGTTCTGACTCTCCTGATAGAGTTTGGCAAGAGGAAGTACGAAAACAAAAAGATCTTTCATAGCAAATATGTTTCTCTGGAACCATGAATAGGTGACAAAAAGGGAAACAAAATGTCACAAGGAAGCATTTGGTCGAAACTGGTATCAGATTACATAAGGGCTCACAGGTACCGCTGTGACGTTTTGGCAGCAGACACTGAAAGATCTGTGATGAATGCAGTCACACAAGACACTAAGAAAACAATAAACACATGAGCATTGTTAGCATAGCACCGTTGTGATGACGCTTCACATGGAACAGCGTACCATAAAGGACTCAACCTTTTCTGTATGTTTTTAGCCACATTCTGAAAGCAATACTGAAGCTGTCTCCATTACATCATTTAAAACAGGGGTGGGGAACCTCCGGCCCCCGGGCCGTATACGGCCCGCGAGACCATTTAGTATGGCCCTGAGGTAATTTATAAACACACGCAAAAAAAAAAAAATTAAAGAAATCTAGACCGCAAAATAATTAAACAAGCGAGTACCTGTTTTTCCTGGCAACGGTCATGGTCCTTGAACACAACACGAGCCTAACGTCTGACAGGGGTGCAGTTCTACCGGAGAGCACCAGAACGCCACTTCACAAATCGCAGTATCCAGAGCCATATAATAGAAGAGTTATGACATCTCCGTTCACTCCAATGGACCACTTTTTTACAGCAATGGCGGATCGTGGAGCCTCTCAATCGTTCCCCGGAAGTTAGCGCCAAGGCTAGCAGAGCTGTGGAGTTGCAGCATAATAGACCGTTCGTGACGGACTTTTAAAGGTAAGAAGAAGTTTAAAGATTTATATTGCGGATATTATCAGTACATCTGATTCAATTGAACATGTGTATTAAAGGATGTCAGTGGATTATCCCTAAATTAGTAGATTTAGGGAACGTTTACAGATAACAGATCAAGCTAGGATACCGAAGCAAGTTAGCAACAGACGTTGAACAGCCTTTTAATTGTAAATTCCGTTCTCTTAATGTCTATTTGGTCCAACGTTGTTGAATTAGAGAAGAGGGGCTTCTAAACGGGATTGTATGCGGGGGTGGAGGGAGTTAAATATTAGATAAATATAACTTTGGTGCGTGTAAGAGTGAGTGTTTTTAGCAGAGCCATATTGTGTCCTTGTGATTATGTTGATTATTACCTGTGTGTATAATGTTGCAGCTCAGCTGATTTTGGATTGATGGCAAAGGGAGAGGAACTTAAGTGAGAGTGAACACACAAGGTAAGTTTAATACTACTGTTTTATATAAGTAAGCATACTAAACATGTATTATATCACTGTATTATATAAGTAATCTTGTTAGTAACCTACTGTAGGTAGGTGGAGGGGCAGTGATGTTACAGGTGGAGGAGCAAAACTGCAAGACTGCAAACTTACAAGACAGAGAAATCAAAGTTTGTTCTCCAGAGAAGAGGTTGATTTCACTTCAATTTTTTCATATTTTCTAAAGATGTGGAAATGGCACAAAAACAAACTTGAGAGCTGTAACCAAGACAACTGTAACAACATGAGTAGACAGCCACCAAGGTTTTTCAAGTCCCTCTCTTACTCCATTTTGCCAACCCAAACTTCCAGGTACATGACGGGACACCTTGCTTGTTTTTGTTGTTTGCGCTCCTCTGGCAGGTGGAGGGCAGTGATCCCTTCCCTTCTTCCCTCAATCTTTGAGACTAATGTAAGTAGAAGACATGGCACTGTAAATGTTCGAACATTTAAAATATTATACCACTTAAAAATAAGAAATATTACTTTTGTTACTAAGAGTTCACACTTATTATACCTGTGTCACCTTTCACACTATCGCTGTGATCATGAGCTATGGGCTTTGTAGATACAGGTCCCGGGGTGAATCGTGGTGCAGGGGCCCTTCTCTTTTTGACCACAGGGTGATGCACGAAGATGGTGGGTATAGCCTCTGCTCTCAGCCTAGTCTTGCCCTTTTTTGTCTTGACAAACTGGTCTGCATCAAAATGTGCCTGCGGAGTGACTTGAGGTTACTTCTCACACACAGAACAACTCAGTTTTGTCTGCCCACATACATATTCCATAGTGGTTGAATACACAGTATTAGGAAACACTTTATACTTACTGGACATGTTATACTCATTACATACTGTATATACAATATGACCAAGAATGTGAGACAACTTTATAGAAATTCATATCACATATGTTACTGATGCCATTTGTCATACTTTATTAAACTCACAAATAATAAAGTTCCATAACTTCAGTTGGGAACAAAGACCACACCTTATCTCCCCAAGGCAATTTCCATCCAATAGGTGTGCTATATAGGTGTGTATAACCCTTTCTCCTGTCTGTTACTCCCTCTTTCAGCACAAGAACCAGAGGGGGATTCAATGGAGCCTGAATACCTGCACTGAGACCCTCACCCTGCACCCTGAGTCTCAACTCTCTGTGTTTTTCAAGCCTTTCCCTGTTTTTTGTATTAAACAAAACATTAAGCTTTCCCAATGGTGTGGTTTTCGTTTTGTGAAAAAGTGCAAATGCAGTGTTTGTATATAAATCACATATTTATTTGCTGTTGGTCGTGAAATTGCTCCTGCTTCCTCCACTCTGTGTCAGTGGGGAAGCTGTACATTCGTACTCCTTTCTCTGAGCGATTGGAGCATCCCCAGGCAGCACAGCAAACCATGGTGGCGACTAGAAGGCAGCACAGCAAACCAGGACAACACGGAGGAAAAGGCACAGACAAACTGCATGATATGCTATTCAATGTTTATTGAATTCCATGTATTTGCAATGGATGTTCCTAAAACAACACATTTAACATCATCATCATCATCATCATCATGCTGCTGCTGCTGCTGCTGCTAGTCCTTTGATAGTCACCTGTCGGTCTCCTGTCCTTTCTGAAAGCCATAAAGATGACATTAGTCATTTAGATAACTTGTGTCCTCAATTACCATGGGATTACTGAAACTACCATGAATTTAAGAAAATGGTAGACATTAATCTAATCTGAATTTGAAAGCATTACTTTAGATCCCCTCCCTCTAAATATATCAATAAACATTAGAAAGTGATGCTCCTGACTACCATACAAGTTTAAGAAGATAATATTGGTTTTAAAGAATTCAAAGCTATAAATAAACAGCAACAGGCTCTTTAACCAAGGCACTGTTAGCCTAGCATGTAAACTAGTTGTTCACACTAATCCTAATATTATCACTTAATATTAGCAAATTCTATTTTATTTTTTAAAACATATTGATGTAAATACATACACATATCGATTTGTTGTATAAATATTGCAAATCAAAACCTTTATTCACTAATAATTACCAAAAATCTTAGTTCTATCTCCTGTTATCAATGCATTCACATTGCCCGCCATGAACTTCCGGGGAACGATCCTCTTCTACATGAACCACGTGACGATAACCGTTTTTGGACTTCCGTTGTCGTAACTCTTCTATTATATGGCTCTGGCAGTATCCATAAGGAGCCGTACACATGCCGCAGTTTTTGCAGGGCTGCGTCTTTAGTTGAAAGCCCAGTGGCGATCTGTTCATCTGTCATACTGATCATACAGTCAATAACTTTGTTGTTATTAGCATCTGGTTAGCTAGCTATGCTAACGAATATAAGAAGCGTTTTCTACAACCAGTGAGGTAAAGGCACATCTTTATATGATCATTATAGTTATCAAAAAACAAGAGAATAAAGTAAACAGGTATAAAATACTATATGACAGTAAAAAAAAAGTTATTAATAAAGAAGAATACAGTTTGAAAGGAGAGTGATTTGTAAAATATCCATAAAGAAAAAGAAAATCTGCTTACAGTTCTGTTTCATATGGGTGTTGAGAGATGTTTCCATAGATCTCTTCATGTTGCTCTCAAAGGGCACCAGATTGATGCTTTCAACTTCAATATTTAAAAAAAACCTTCCTGGGGAGCCTGCCCTCCGGATCCCCCTAGAGGAGGTTAGGTCCCCCCCACCACTTAAATCATGTCCACATGGATAGGAAACTAAATACATTTGCACACATCTTGTGTCCATATCTTTCTGTTTGGTGGTCATGCCACAACCGTGCACGTGCATGCATGCGCGAGTCATGGCAAGATATCTGGATTAAGAGGTTGCTTTTTCTTTGCACAGCATGAAAGAAAGGCCAAATGGATGGGCTGTGATTTTTAAGCAGAGGTCAATAATTTGTACGGCCCTCGGAGGATGTTGAAAAAATTGAAATGGCCCTTGAGGAAAAAGGTTCCCCACCCCTGATTTAAAAAGTGGAGGTTGCACAACAACTTCCCCACCATCTTTCTCCATTTGTGTTATTGTGTGGCCAAAATGTAAAACGTAGAGAAACAACAAAATGAAAATAAACAAGTTGCAGGCCACAAACTTTGATTTTAAATATATTGGAATATAATCAAACCTGTTCATGAAACCTGGGCTAAATGAGAAGCTGAACATGTGTTTTAATTGCTAAGGAGCATCAGAAGTAAGTGTGTGGATAGATTTAAAACAAGCAGAGCCAGAGTTTTGGTTAAATATTTTTCACATTTATTGCACCATAAGAGTCTTGACTGGCACCAGGTGTTTACAGGATGCCTTATTTCAGGAAGCAGAACTTCTATGTGAGCTGTAGAGACTTCATCACGAGCGGGGGGTTCTTCGTATCCATCGGGGAATCCAGATCCTGGGGACAAGAATGAACCTTTACAGTCTAAATCAAGTTTAAGTTCTAAAAAACAATCAAATGAAAATATTGGTTTATGTTTCTGGCTAGAGGTTTGGAGTCACATTTTTCTGGACTTCATTGAGTAGGTAACTATAAAAAAACAAACCTGCAGGTTTATATACGTAAACCATATCAACGGTCCATAATCCAAAAGTAAAAATAATCTCTGCTTTTTATCCAAATTAATTTCCAGTCTGTGGCCTCAGGCTTTACCTCGCAGTCGGAGTCTTCACCCGGCTGACCCATGTTGGCCATCAGAGTTTCCTTCTCTGAGGATCTGGTTCTGATTGTCATCCAGGTATTCCTCACTTGTCTCCTGTTGAAATTTAAATCTCGATGTTAGTTTCTTCATAGATCAGATTTACATCAAACTAAATCATTCTGAAGTAGTGTAGACCAGTATGAAGCAGTCCTTTGAATAGACAACAATCTCACTGGACCTCATTTTTACCTTCTATTGTAAAGAAATCCAGCCGACATCAATGCAGCCAGGAGGCAGAAGACCCCCAGGATCATCCCCACATGGCTTTTCCCAGTTTCTGCCTCCTGACAGGACTCTCCCTTGTAACCGTCCTCACACTGGCAGCGGCCCGTTTTGCCCTCCGTGATGCAGCTGCCATGGCCGCTGCACAGCTGGAGATCACAGGACGTAGAGGACTTTTTTATTGAGGGGACAGAGTTCAGTTTGGCTTTGGGGAGAGGGCGGACGTTGCTGGATTTGCTCCCGGGAGATGCAAAGTTAGGGTTTGGACCTGAAGAGAAAATCAGGGATAGGGTTAGGTTTTGTTTTATCAATTGTAGAATTAAAGATGTGCATTAGACTCACAGTCCTGTTCATCAGACTGGTCAGGACAGTCCACGTGTCCGTCACAAAACTTGCTGATGCTAAAGCACTTGCTACCGTCGAAGCAGGACTCTTCTCCAGAGGGGCAGGCGGGCAGCGGGGTGCAGGAAGCACCGTAGAAACCCCGACCACATTTACACGTGTTGCCTCCGGGGTAGGGCAGGCACAGGTGGACACATCCGCTGTTGTTCTTGGAGCAGCTATTAGTTCCTGGAAAAATATTGGTAAACAGATGTAGACCGTCATTGGGAGGACAATCAAATGTAAAGCTATTCACACATCAATTAAAACAGTAAAAAAAATAAAAGCTGTCCTCTATTTAAAATCAATTAATCTCTTTTAAATCAGAAGTAGTTTTCAGTTCCTGACAAATCTCCAAAGTATCAACAGCATGTATTAGTTTATTTTTATAGGATCCTCTTTAACTTCCACTATGGTTGCTCTTCATCTTGAAGTTTATTTTTGGAATCAACACTGTTGAGGCAATTTACAAAATGTCTGTACATAATATACACAAAGGAAGGCTTCCTGCTGTGTGTCATTACATATTCTGCTTTGCCTCTGTAAGGAAGCTTTCAGTGCCTGGCTGAACATGTGAAACAAGGGTGTGTCGAAATTAGTGAATGGATAATTGTGAAAGAAGAATAATTTGGCCTCTGGATGTGTGCCAGTTTTTCTTACAATACTATTGTGCAAAGATCCATGTTGACAACTGTACACCATCTTAGAATTTTAATATTTAACGTCAAAGATTCGCAGTGATCGTAAACACAACACCGCTTTGATTGTGACCCCAGCAGAAATTGTTATGCAGAATTTGATATTTTCACACTAAATCAATAAAGACTGTCTTGTACGATTGGCCTCTTCAGTTATTCCCAAAGTATTTGCCTCGTCTGTCTCACTTTGATTCAGATGCTACTTTAGTGGTTATGAAGTTTATTCATGTTGATTGTACAAGCATTTTGTTAAACATCAGCAAGACTTTGCTGTGAAACCATATTTGTGCACATGTATGCTTTGACTGACTGCAGGAGTGTGTGACAGTTGGGAGAATAAGCAAGAGGGAGTGTGATGAGATCGATTCATCGTGGCTCTTTCCCACAGCTTCCAGCGCCGTCTCTCTGCAGGGTCACATCACTCTTCAACCATTCAACTCAAACTGAGCCTAAGAGAACCTTTAAGAGAATCTTTTCACTCTGCCCGGAGTGTCCCATATCACACTTGTCTGTGCATTCAGGAACACAGCTGAGGTTAAAATAGAAGTCTGCAGATCGAGTAATTCCTGACTTTAAACTGATTTGGGCATGCTTGCTTTTATAAATTAGTGTGCTGCAGGCCTGCATGACATCGCATCATTGTAGTATGTGAATAGAATTTCAGTGTTGACTAGCCTCTTTCATATTTTCCCTGGACCTACAGCTTCTGTCAGAATCTTCACGTGATGAATGGCATGTGGTAGTTAAATTGTCGCTGGTGAATCAGCTCAAGTGTTGTGCTATTTTCTAACTTAAATACTGGTACATGATCTTCAGCGAAGCTTAACAAATATGCTCTTAATCAGGATTATTATATGCTTGGAGAGGATGGTGTTTATTTTTAGCACTTTAGTCTGTTTACAGCTCCATGATGTGCTGTACTACTAGCCAACTCATTTCCTTTACTTATATACACAGTAATACATTTTAGCAGTTGTACTTGTCTCCTGTCACAAGTAAGACACTGCACTCCAAATTAAATGCAAAACTGTATGTTAAACAAGATTTTGTATTTTTAGGTGTTTGTCCTTTGGACTGTGTGATTTAAAAGACTTTATTTTAATAATAATTTAATTCTGTGTTTATTTGTGTCATGACCCCTGCTCCATAGTTTTCTACAGCTTGACATGCTCCCCCTGCACTCTAGTGGCCAGTGGAGAGCATTCCAATGGTCTCACTTCTAGAAGAACACTTACCGTACTGACTGTCGTTGCTGTAAGCTTTCACTTCCACCAAACTGGTCTTTGTCTCAAACCACATTTGGTTGGAATGGAGGCCGTCACTGAACCACAGTTTGGTAAGATCTACAGTTGGAAATAAGACCAAAAATTAGCAAAAATGTGGCATATAAACATACCGTTTTCTTTCTACGGGGCAGAATTAGAAGCTACTGATTGGGCGGGTAGTGAGGAAATGTGTGTTCTGAATATAAAGATTTAAGTAACAGATCTGATCGAGGAGATGATGCTCGTGATTGTAAGTGGATGTTTAATGATGTAGAACGGTAGAGATTACTGAGAAGAGGTCATTTAAATTATTCATCGTTACATTAGTCAGCTCCCTGAAGGGAATGAAGACAGATGAGATGCAGGTGAAAGCTAAAATGTTTGGGAAATTAATTCTACGAGCAGGACTGATCATGTTATTAGAGCTCTAAACCTTCCACCCGGTGACACTATGGGAGCTTGAGTCTTAGGATGTTTTAAAAACGGTGTTGTCCAATTCCCCTGCTCTTACCTTTGTCCTGGCTGACCCAGAGGAAGATGTTCTCAGTATACGTGAAGGAGATGAGCAGACCAGGCCCGGTGTTGTACTGTTTGTATCCTGTTCCATCCACTCTTATAGAGCTGATTACACCTTCCCCTGAAGAGAAAGAGTCGTTCAAATAAAAATATATGCAAGTCATCAAATATGTGCGGTGTCTTTAAACTCACCTGTGTCAGCCCAGTAGACCCTGTGTGGATCTTGATGGGAGAAGACCAGCGAGGTGGGGATGCTCGACCTCCTCCACAGCACCACTTTGTTACGGCCGTCCATCCAGGCGCAGTTCACCTCCGCCTGGCTCTTCCCACCTGCCACCACAAATGCTGTGTAGCAAAGTAGTCCCGAGGGGGGGGTGCAGGGCGATGGATGTGGTGTCCTGCGGGGATGAACAAAACCCAGGCTTAGTTTACAAGGGAATACAAATGATTGCAAAACCACAAGTGTATTAGGGCAAGCAAGGAAAGGAGATTAAAGACATGAGGAAATGTATACAGTGAATACATCAGTAAAGAGGGGACTCCGTACATAAGATTGCTTCAAATGTCAAGGTACTTCACATTTACAGCATAAGACTGATTATTGAGAGATTAGCTCCAGTCCTTTCACTTGGTGTTGCGAGACTCGTGAAGTGTTGTACTATGCGCTCATGAGTCTTGTAAAATACCGTTCTTACATTTTAAAATGCATTGTGTAATCCTGGTAGTAATCCCCAGTTTAAAAAAATGTAACTAATCTGATTATGTACTTTCTGTAACTGTAAAAGATTAGTTTTAAAAATTCAAAAAAGGTATCTTAATTGCATAACGCTGTTACATGTATTCCGTTCCGCAAGCCTGTTAGGGAGGAAGGTGTGAGTAAATATTGAGGTAAAAGAGATGATGTATGAGCGGTGAAGATCAGCCTATGTCACCTTCAGTGATCCCTGCAGCAGCGAGGTGGTGTAGGCATCTTTCCGGGAGGTCACATGAAGATCAGGCCTGGCGCTGCTGCTCCAGTAGAGGTTAGAGGTCACCCAGTCCACTGCCAGAGCTGTGACCGCATCGTCCTTGTGTGATGGAGAAGTTTTCAGAATACATTTCACAAGGGAGTGACAAACTGACTTCAAGTTAAATAAATAAAAACAACTTAGGAGTTGCTATTTCCTTTGAATAGCTGATTATGCCTATACCTCCAGCTTTAGGATTTGTCCTGTAGGAATCAGTCCCTGTCTCGACGTGGAGCCGCTCAGCTTCAGCACATCCACAGATCCCTGCCTTGCATCCGCCACAAACACAGAAAGCTCCTGGATGGACACGTCCAGTGCCGAGGCCTCAGTTACCCCAGGCAGGGCTAAGACTCTGCCGTTTGGCATCTTTTTCAGAGCAATACCCTCACGATGCATGGAATGTAAGTGGACCTGCAAGCGAGGGGAAGTTGAATAAAACAGGAAACAAAAAAGAGTGAGCAGGAGAACAAAAGAAGGATTCAATGTGTATTAATTCTAAGTGGGAAAAGTCTCTAAAATGCAAGTCCCAGAAGTAGGAAGGAATAAAAGGCCCACGGGTCGTCTGGTCTTTTCCTCACCTGGTAGACTGTGGTGCGAGACAGAAGCATGATGAAGGTTGAATCCGCAGGCAGAGAGCAGGTCTTCTTGTCCTTGGAAAGGAGCAGCCCCTTTGGGCATCGGCACACCGCTGTAGGGGGGCCCGAGGGTCTCGTGGCCGGGGCCAGCAGGCAGAGGTGGGAGCAGTGACGCTGCTCGCAAGGACTGGATATGTCCGGTTGGGAAAGGGCGTGCATCAGCTGGGGAGAGAATTATAATAAGTGTCAATAGCTGGCAACTTCTTAGACATTAATGGTAACAGACATACAATAAAACCATGTTGAAATTTCAATAATAAACACAGCATTACAAGTTGAAGACTCACTTTGAGCCCAAATGGCTGCCCTGGTCTTTTCAGGAGAACCTTTTGATATTTGCCGGTGTTCTTATCAGCTGAGCGGATGGTTCTTCTTTTAGTGTCGGACCAGTAAACTCTGTCATTGAAGATGGCCACCGAGAAAGGACTTGGCGTTTCGTCCAACTGGAGGATCTAGTGGAAAAAAAAAAGTACCGCCATCATCATTTGCGATCATGAAAGAAATCCTACAATGTTACATTTTTCAGCCAATAAAGTATGTTTTCCATTTCTGAGGTTGTTTACCTTGACATTTTCTCCATCCAGAGAGGTGGAGCCGATGCAGCGCATCTTCTCGTCGGCCCAGTACACCCGGTTGTCCAGGAGGTCGTAGGCCAGACCGATTGGCCAGCTGAGGCCCTGGCTCACCACCACCTTCCTCTTCGATCCGTCCATCCCGGAGCGCTCGATCTGAGGGGTGCTGCCGATCTCAGACCAAAGCATCATCCTGAAAGAAGTATGCAATGATGAAAAATATGGGGTTGGGTTAAAATTTGGAATACATTTTTATAGTACAAGAGGAGTCTCTCCACATATTTTTTTTTTTTTTTAAAAAGCAGGTTTTTGCAGCTTACCCTCTGTGTGGCACCAGGACCAGTGAGCTGGGCTGCTCCAGGTCTTCTCCCAGCACCACCGTGTAGTCCTGGGATGTCACCGGGGTATTGCTCAGCTTCACAGCCAGAATCTGGCCTACCAGTCCATCCACCCAGTACAGGTTCTTACCAATCCAGTCCACAGCGATGGAGTCAGACTTTACTCCTATAGCAAGATTTTATTTAGCAAATAATGTTGCTGGGTGCTTTAAATCACTCATTCCATTTGTTTAGACAGCCTTACCTTTGATGAGTGTCCCTTTGCTGTTTGAGTCTTTCATGTCAGACCAGCGGATGCTCTGGTAGTCGGGGCTCAGCCAGTAAACTCTCTGTTTAGCCCAGTGATAATCCAGAGAGAAGACGGGCCGGTTGGCCGAGGACAGAAGACGCAAGGTGCTGCTGTGGACTCCTTGCAGTAAGAGCTCAGACTGCACCGAGGCCAGAAGCAAAGGCTCGTCTAGAGATGCAAACATGACAGGTGAGTTCTCTATTCAGGAGTGAGTAGCAGAGGCCAATATAAAGAAAGCACACATTGAAAAGCAAGGATCATGTTATAAAACAAACATGAAACATTTTCCCCAGGCATATCATTTCATTTTTATTTTAATGTTACGATTGTAAAATTACATGGCTTGATATAGACTGCATATCATGGGGAATGTTAATGGTTTGATTAGTTATACTGACCAAATTGTTTCAAAGCAGTTACTTTTAAAAATGTTTGGAACATTCTCTCAGACCTCGAATGTTTGAGTCAGCTTCTTAATGGTATTGCGTTCACATAAGAGACGGTACAGTACCTCTGGTCTTGCAGCTTTTGTTGTCAGGCTCCAGGTAGAAGCCAGGAAAGCAGCTACAGATGTAGGACCCCTGAGTGTTCAGGCAGGTGTGTTTGCACACGGCCTGCGGCACAGTATTGCACTCGTCAATCTCCACACAGTACAGAGCACTGGACTGTAGTCTGAAACCAGCAGCACAGTAACACCTCTGCAAAAATGAGGGGGAAAAGGGCATTAGAGCAGTGCACCATTCATTTGCAAATAGAGTCAAAATGATTCAGATGCATTTGTCTGTACTGACCGGTCCGGTTGGGGTGCTGACACAGTACTCCTCACAGCGCGGAGCTGACGGGCTGGAGCAGTTGTGTTGAGCGCATCCCGCACCCTCGTCCGAGCGGTCGGCACAGTTGGTGAGGCCGTTACACACCAGGCTGGGGTCCACACACTCACCGCTGCCACACTGGAAAAGGGGAGAGGGGCAAATTCTCTGGCTGCCTGTAAAAGGCAGATAAAGATACATTGTTCTTCAGAGTTCCTCTAAAATATATTTCATTAATGCAGGACTAAACATGGGCTATTTCATCATCCTGCAAATTATTAGAGCATCCTTGTAAAACTTATTTTATCCAAAGAGCCCCTTACAATAAAAAAAGTCTGAAGTAGAAAATAAACTGTTCAAGGGCCTGGCATGGGAGAACATTTGAGGATAACATGCTCACATTTGTCCTCGTCCATGTCGTTGTGGCAGTCTGTCTTCCCGTCACACCTCCATGACAGAGGGATGCACTGACTGCTTTCTCCACACTGCCACTGGTACTCCCTGCACTTTGCTGGCGACATCACGCAGTTCTGGATGCAAATGATGAAACCCAAGTTTTACCCACCGATTCCAAACACTCTAAAAAACATCCTCATCCTCCAGTTCCTCACCTTCTCGTCTGATCCATCATTGCAGTCTTCTTCGCCGTCACAGAGCCACTCTTTCTGCAGGCACTGGTGGCTGTTTGGGCATCTCAGCTGTGTGGGGCAGTGGGGGGGTCTCATGCAATGCGCCTCATCAGAACGATCGCTGCAGTCCGCGTATCCATCACACCTCAGGGCCTCGGACACACACTGACCACTGAGACAGCGGTACTGCTCCATGGGACAGGACACCGAACCTGGAAAGTTAAAGCAAATGTGTTTTGAAGTTTGTTTTATATACAGCTTACTTGTAGTGAGTTTCTATATATTGATGTGACCTACCACACTTCTTTTCATCAGACCCATCGGTGCAGTCTCTCTCTCCGTCACACAGGAAGGTGTCCGGGATACAGCGAGTGTTGTTGTCACAGCGATGACGGCAGCCCTCGGTCTGACTTGAACAGTCCATTTCGTCAGATCGGTCTTGACAGTCGTTCTGCGCGTCACACACCTTCTCTGATGGGATGCATCTGTTCCCGTGAGCACACCGGAACTCATCTGAGGAAGAGGAAAGAGACTCCTCAGAAATAATCCATGGCTTTTAGAGCACACATGATCAACTGATTGAAATGCCAAGTATCCAGTTCATACATTGTTTTAACAACTGGTAGTGTCCTGGAACATAGGTACATTTAGCCCTGTACTAAATAGACAGTCAATTTATAAATCTATAAAAACTATTCAGGAGAGAATGAAAAATGTATCAACAGTACAACTAAAGAGAATGTCATAAGTGTTGTCCACTGACATGTGATGCAAAATATACCAGAAAATGAACTTTAAAATGTATGTTGTTACTCGACAATATTTGATTTGTTTTTAAAAAGGTGACTGTTCAGTTTAAAACATAAAAGTCACCATTTGATGCACTGTTAAATATTATGGCATTTAGATAATTTGCCTCTATAATACCATGCGACACAATCATGGACACAATCATCGTCCCAAATAAGCAGGTTGTGTCATTGCTTTAAGCCGATTTTCACCGGCACAATACACATAACAAACCTGTTTTGCACTTGGCGGCACATCCCTCTTCGTCTGATCCATCGTTGCAGTCCCTCTCTCCGTCACACAGATGGCTGAACATAACACAATCCAGGCCGTCTTTACATGGCTTGAAACCTGTGCGGCACTTCAACGGGGCGGAATTGGCACCGAGCGCATTGTTGGAGGCTAGGCACGGAAAAATAATATGCATTTAATGAGATCTGAAGACACACGGTACATATTTTGATAGCTGGGCAAAGAAAAAGTCAAGTTAGGAATTACCAAATTAAGTACAAGAATGTGAAATTAAGGGTTAGAGTGCACCATTATTCTAGAGGGTAAATGGCACGTTGATAGGTGGTCACTATGATGGCTGTTAGGTTGCTGAAAGTTAGGGAAGGTTTCTACTAGTTGGTGCCGCTAGGATATTTGGTGCTTAGCGGTTGTGTTATGGGGAATCTTAGGTGGTGCTTCAATACTGTATGTTTTACACACATATCAAACAAAGGAAAATAGCAGTGTGTATTCTCCAACAACAATTCCAACTGCTATGACTGAAATCAATGAAATTCGATTACAGGGAGCAATAGGATCTTCTGATTGGCACTGCATCTCATCCGAGCCGTCGGGACAGTGGGCGCGGCCGTCACACACTTCTGACTTAGGGAGGCACATCCTACGGTCGCTGCACATAAAGTCACCTGATGTTCAGGAAGACAAAAGGTGTCAATTTGAGGATCAGGGATAATAAAAAAGTGGTTGTTTTGCAACAAATAGCTACTTAAACCCCAAAGCACTTCCAATGTTTGCTTTGGAACTCTCATACAGCTGGTCCATGCCATTCATTAGTTGGATAGGTACACTTTTTTTGTCGCTGGACTTACCTGGATTTTTGCATTGGATTAAACAGTTATTTTCATCAAATGCATCAGGGCAGTCTTTTTTTCCATCACACAGCTGGCTTTGAGAGATACACAGAGAGGAATCTGGACAGAGAACTGATGGAGCGACGCAAGATGATGTGGAGGTGAGAACAGGAGACGCTGATGCAGCAGTAACAGGGTCTGGAGAGGAGAAGACACTAAGCATTAAACTAGGGCTGTCAAACGATTACAAATTTTAATCAGATTAATCGCAGCTTAAAAATGTATTAATCATGATTAATCACCATTCGAACTATGTCCAAAATATGCCATTTATTTATGTATATTGTTGTGGGAATGGAAAGATAAATGAAAGAAGGCGGATATATCCATTTAACATACAGTATCTATGTTTATTATATCGTTTTTCTGCGTGTCAAAATGAAAGACAACCCACACACCTATCAATCATCAAACCGTGGGGTCTTAATTCATTACGTGTTGATTTCTATCAACGGGGGAGTACGTAGTAAGTCGACAGAGGGGGGGGCGGCGGCGGCGGCTAGTGGAGTACTTCGTGACCATAGAGTGTGAACGTTGTGATCAGCTGTTGTAGCTCAGTTCTCCAGTGAAAGGGGGGGGGGGGTTGGGGGGAGTCTCCCTCCGCCGCCGGTTGGCGTAGTTTTGGCACAATTCCGTTGTACAGACCGACGTTAACAGCAGCCCTGTCTGTGCACACGGAGACCGACTCTGTCGTCCGGTGATCTAACCGCCTTCTGGAAAAGCTTCACAAGTACGTCGGTACGCAAATGCGCTTTGTGACACAAGTGACGGTACGCATTTCAGATTACGCACATAACCTGCGTACCAGTTATGTGCACCCCTATACTACAGCAAAAGTATTCTCCGTCGGGACTTCCTGCAACAACACCACGCCGTTATCAAAGATGTTCTATTTAGAAGATGATCACTACGTGACAAAAGTTTTCAAAACCGTGGCTACTGAAATCAATCTTACCAACTGCTGTCTGTGCAATTTACTCCGCGCGAGTTGGCAGACTTTATTTTGCTTCCTTTAACATAATTTTTCATGGTGGGGCTTAGCCATTTCTTGGTATGGGTGTAGCCTACCCCAGCCATACCCTGGCGCTGCCACTGGTGGCACGTATGGGGCGGGCCATTCTGAACATGCGTTAAATATTTTAACGCAATTAATTCAAAAAATTAATTACCGCCGTTAACGCGATAATTTTGACAGCACTACATTAAACTCATAAGGTTGTAGCAGACAGTCAGGACTTTTGGCTAGCTAACAGATCTAATAAAGAGTGAGATTAAGTAAACTTTTTGTTATGAGATGTCATCACTTCGTTTTTTTAAATGTATAACACTAAATCAGAGCCATCAAACCTGTAATCGTGTTGTTATTTTGCAGCCGCATTATCACCAATTTCAATAACAGAATCTGCAGCCTTACCGCAGCCCGCCTCATCTGACCCATCCAGGCAGTCCTTCTCTCCATCGCACAGGAATGTGTTTGGGATGCATCGCTTGCCGCAGCGGTGCGCGCAGCTCTTGGTTTTGATCCAGCAGTCCCGCTCATCCGACTGATCCTGACACTGCGGCTTGCCATCACACACCTCGGCTGCAGGGATGCACATCTTCCCATGGGCGCACTGAAACTCACCTGGGGTTGAGTACAAAGAAAAATCATGACTATCTGAATTACATAGTTTCTTCAAAGTTCTCATTAACAGAACAATGTACAGGAAACTGTCACTTTTATTTGTTTGACTTCAGTTTTTAGTTTAGTGTTCAAGATTGCAGTTTTTCTCAGTGTATAGGGTACAGCAATTGCATTACATTTTGTTATCAGTAAACAGTTTTGAAAGAAAATGCATATAGTTCAAAAGTGTCAACCATTTTTCCAAGCCACTTAAAAACTTTAAAGTTAAATGACCTTGTTTGCATGTTTCTTGGCATCCCTGTTCATCAGATCCATCCATACAGTCTTTCTCTCCATCACACACGTGGCTGTACAAAACACACTCTTTTCCGTCATCACAAGGCTTTGAGCCCAACCGGCACTTCAGGACGTTTGTTCGAGCTACAGATGAAACTACGTTCGGGCAGTCGTCCTCATCGGAGCTGTCGTGACAGTGAGAGCGGCCGTCACAAACCAGACTCTGCGAGACGCAGCTCCTCCGGTCTTTGCAGCGGAAGTCAGCTGTGGAGGGGGAAATAAATAAAGTGGAATTGTGTACATTTTCTGATACTTAGAATTTTCAAAATAGGTATTGAGGTCAGAGAAATTGTTTGAAAGTAATTTGAATGTGTTATAGTTAATGACTTACTCCTGTAATGACATCTTTTCACACAGTTCTCATCAGACCCATCAGGGCAGTCTTTCTTTCCATCACAAAACTGTGTTGGGCTGATGCACAAAGAGGAGCCTGGACACAGAGCTGAAGGGCTGCTGCAGGGGGGGTTGGTGGGGGGCTGAGTAAATGTCTCGACGAAGGGTGTGGGAGATTCATTGGAGCGGAGATTTTCTGCAAGAATGATAGTGGCAGAGCCTGTGATGTTGTAATATTGTTTTCAGCCGTGTGCTTCTCCACAACGCACTTATCAGCATTACCTTTGTAAACGTTTTAATGAACACTCACCACATCCTTCTTCATCCGATCCGTCCCGACAGTCTCTCTCTCCATCACAGACGTGGCTGAAGAGGACACACTCCGTCCCGTCTCCACACAGTTTGGTACCGATGCGACACTTCAGGACGTTTGCTCCAGCTGCAGGAGGGGTAGCGTTCGGACAGTTGAGCTCATCTGAGCCGTCGTTGCATTGAGAGCGGCCGTCACAAACCAGACTCTGCGAGACGCAGCTCCTCCGGTCTTTGCAAAGGACATCAGCTGTGGAGGGGAAAATAAATAGAAAAGTGGAATTGTGTAAAATTGTTCTGTATACTTACAATTTCAAAACAGGCATTGAGGTCAGTGAAAAATAGTTGGAAACTAATTTGAATGTGTTAAAGTTAATGACTTACTCCTGTAAGGACATCTTTTCACACAGTTCTCATCAGACCCATCAGGGCAGTCTTTCTTTCCATCACAAAACTGTGTTGGGCTGATGCATAAAGAGGAGCCTGGACACAGAGCTGAAGGGCTGCTGCAGGGGGGGTTGGTGGGGGCCTCAGTGAAGGGTGCCACAGGTGAAGGGGTGTCATTTCGCCAAACATTTTCTGCAGCAGTTGTAGGGGAAACCTCTAAGACATCTAAAGATTGAAAGGAGTTCCATTTGAATATCGCATTCATTTAGGTTTGAGATTTCTGGCAGTCACCATTTAAGCCAGTGGTTCTCAAAGTGGGGGGCGCAGAGGCATGCCAGGGGGGGGCGCGAGAGACAAGGGGTAAAAATGGTTATAAAAAAATTAAATTAAAAACATAATTTGAAAAATTGGTTCAAAAATAATATGATGCAGTACAGTACTATTACGTCTGGGTCTCTGTGTTTCATTAAAGCTTGACTGTGTGTGTGTAACGAGCCATTTTGCGTGCGCGAGAGCGAGAGCGCACTGGAGATCGTGGTCGTTAGCTTCTGGTGCTAGCGAGCTACGCTAACGGATATAAGGAGTTTTTTCAACAACAAAGTGGAGGAGAGTCCTCTCCTGTCAGACTGAGAGGCTCAGGGAACTAAAGGACTCAGTGTTATCTCAGTGGGTCTCAAATGTTTTGGTTACCATTAATGTAAACAATTATTTCCGAGGCACACGTTTATATGATCATTATAGTTATAAAATAATAGGAGAATAAATGAAAAACAAGTATGAAATACTATATGAGAGTAAAAAAAGAATAAAGTTTAAAAGGGTGATTTGTAAAATATCCATAAAGAAAAAGTAAATCTGTTTACAGTTCTGTTTCATATGGGTGTTGAGAGATGTATCCATAGATCTCTTCATTTTGCTCTCAAAGTGCACCAGATTGATGCTTTTAACTTCAATATTTAAAAATAAATCTTCCCGGTGGAGCTTGCCCCCGGACCCCCCTATGTGAGGTCCACACACCACCTGTAAAAATAGCACTTTACCCCTGCTTACACCTACAGTATATGCCGTGAGCTGATTATCGAGCCTTCATTGTGACAGTCGCGGGTAGGCCTACACTGTGTATTTGCGTGGGGATTGTTGCAGTAGAAAATTCCACTGTAGCGCCCGGTACATTAATGGGAAACCCTAAATGTTTGAGCACCCTCTATGAAACGTCAAGCTACCCCACAGCACCCCCAAAAGAAATCTCTGGCGCCGCCACTGAACCTGACTATTTGTGTTGGGGGAGGGGGGGGCCCGACTTTTGTTTATCTCCAAAGGGGGGGCCTGACAGAAAAAGTTTGAGAACCACTGATTTAAGCCAATGTCATCAATGCCCTTTCTGAACTAGTCTATTTGAAGAATTAAACAATTTGACTCATTAAGCTACGAGGAAAATATTTGAAATGCAGAAAATCTGAGCATTTGTGCAGGTTAATCATGCAGCTTAAAAAATATTCCACTTAGAGAAAGCAACACGTTAAAACTCACCACATCCTTCTTCATCTGATCCGTCCTGGCAGTCTCTCTCTCCATCACAGACGTGACTGAAGAGGACACACTCTGTCGCGTCCCCACACAGCCGTGAGCCGATGTGACACTTCAGGACGTTCGCTCGAGGTGCAAGCAGAGCTACGCTCCCACAGTTGAGCTCATCGGAGCCGTCGAGGCAGTGAGAGCGGCCGTCACAAACTAGACTCTTCGAGACGCAGCTGCGACGGTCTTTGCAACGGAAGTCAGCTGTGACACACAAAAGGGAATTATATCAAGTTTGATTTGCATACATCAAATATAAATATTAATCATTTGTTGAAAACTCCGCTTTGAACGTAGACTTACTCCTGTAAGGACATCTTTTCACACAGTTCTCATCAGACCCATCAGGGCAGTCTTTCTTTCCATCACAAAACTGTGTCGGGCTGATGCATAAAGAGGAGCCTGGACACAGAGCTGAAGGGCTGCTGCAGGGGGGGTTGGTGGGGGGCTGAGTAAATGTCTCAACAGGTGGAGGTGATTGAATTGAGCGCACATTTTCTGGAACACTGGTCGAGACAGTGTTTGCAGCATCTAGAAGATCACACCAAGAGTGTGATGAGTATATGTATAAACCAACAGAAACGTTTGAAATTGTTATGCTGTAGTGCTTTTCTCTGCAAAGCACTTTTACATTTATTACCTTTGTAAACCTTAGAATGAACACTCACCACATCCTACTTCATCTGATCCGTCCTGGCAGTCTCTCTCTCCATCACAGACGTGACTGAAGAGGACACACTCTGTCGCGTCTCCACACAGCTGTGAGCCCATGCGGCACTTCAGGACGTTCGCTCGAGGTGCAAGCAGAGCTACACTCCCACAGTTGAGCTCATCGGAGCCATCGTGGCAGTGAGAGCGGCCGTCACAAACCAGACTCTTTGAGATGCAGCTGCGACGGTCCTTGCAGCGGAAGTCAGCTGTGGAAAGAAAACCATTTTAATAGACATACATTCTGACGCATATCTCCGAGACTCAATTTTAAATAAAGACTTACTCCTGTAAGGACATCTTTTCACACAGTTCTCATCAGACCCATCAGGGCAGTCTTTCTTTCCATCACAAAACTGTGTTGGGCTGATGCATAAAGAGGAGCCTGGACACAGAGCTGAAGGGCTGCTGCAGGGGGGGTTGGTTGCGGGCTGAGTAAATGTCTCGACGAAGGGTGTGGGAGATTCATTGGAGCGGAGATTTTCTGCAGAATGATAGTGGCAGAGCCTGTGATGTTGTAATATTGTTTTCAGACATGTGCTTCTCCACAACGCACTTATCAGCATTACCTTTGTAAACGTTTTAATGAACACTCACCACATCCTTCTTCATCTGATCCGTCCCGGCAGTCTCTCTCTCCATCACAGACGTGGCTGAAGAGGACACACTCTGTCCCGTCTCCACACAGTTTGGTGCCGATGCGACACTTCAGGACATTTGCTCCAGCTGCAGGAGAGGTAGCGTTCGGACAGTTGAGCTCATCTGAGCCGTCGTTGCATTGAGAGCGGCCGTCACAAACCAGACTCTGCGAGACGCAGCTCCTCCGGTCTTTGCAGCGGACATCAGCTGTGGAGGGGAAAATAAATAGAAAAGTGGAATTGTGTAAAATTGTTCTGTATACTTACAATTTCAAAATAGGCATTGAGGTCAGTGAAAAATAGTTGGAAACTAATTTGAATGTGTTAAAGTTAATGACTTACTCCTGTAAGGACATCTTTTCACACAGTTCTCATCAGACCCATCAGGGCAGTCTTTCTTTCCATCACAAAACTGTGTCGGGCTGATGCATATAGAGGAGCCTGGACACAGAGCTGAAGGGCTGCTGCAGGGGGGGTTGGTGGGGGGCTGAGTAAATGTCTCAACAGGTGGAGGTGATTGAATTGAGCGCACATTTTCTGGAACACTGGTCGAGACAGTGTTTGCAGCATCTAGAAGATCACACCAAGAGTGTGATGAGTATATGTATAAACCAACAGAAACGTTTGAAATTGTTATGCTGTAGTGCGTTTCACTGCAAAGCACTTTTACATTTATTACCTTTGTAAACCTTAGAATGAACACTCACCACATCCTACTTCATCTGATCCGTCCTGGCAGTCTCTCTCTCCATCACAGACGTGACTGAAGAGGACACACTCTGTCGCATCTCCACACAGCTGTGAGCCCATGCGGCACTTCAGGACGTTCGCTCGAGGTGCAAGCAGAGCTACACTCCCACAGTTGAGCTCATCGGAGCCGTCGTGGCAGTGAGAGCGGCCGTCACAAACCAGACTCTTTGAGATGCAGCTGCGACGGTCCTTGCAGCGGAAGTCAGCTGTGGAAAGAAAACAATTTTAATAGACATACATTCTGACGCATATCTCCGAGACTCCATTTTAAATAAAGACTTACTCCTGTAAGGACATCTTTTCACACAGTTCTCATCAGACCCATCAGGGCAGTCTTTCTTTCCATCACAAAACTGTGTCGGGCTGATGCATAAAGAGGAGCCTGGACACAGAGCTGAAGGGCTGCTGCGGGGGGGGTTGGTGGGGGGGCTGAGTAAATGTCTCAACAGGTGGAGGTGATTGAATTGAGCGCACATTTTCTGGAACACTGGTCGAGACAGTGTTTGCAGCATCTAGAAGATCACACCAAGAGTGTGATGAGTATATGTATAAACCAACAGAAACGTTTGAAATTGTTATGCTGTAGTGCGTTTCACTGCAAAGCACTTTTTACATTTATTACCTTTGTAAACCTTAGAATGAACACTCACCACATCCTACTTCATCTGATCCGTCCTGGCAGTCTCTCTCTCCATCACAGACGTGACTGAAGAGGACACACTCTGTCGCATCTCCACACAGCTGTGAGCCCATGCGGCACTTCAGGACGTTCGCTCGAGGTGCAAGCAGAGCTACACTCCCACAGTTGAGCTCATCGGAGCCGTCGTGGCAGTGAGAGCGGCCGTCACAAACCAGACTCTTTGAGATGCAGCTGCGACGGTCCTTGCAGCGGAAGTCAGCTGTGGAAAGAAAACAATTTTAATAGACATACATTCTGACGCATATCTCCGAGACTCCATTTTAAATAAAGACTTACTCCTGTAAGGACATCTTTTCACACAGTTCTCATCAGACCCATCAGGGCAGTCTTTCTTTCCATCACAAAACTGTGTTGGGCTGATGCATAAAGAGGAGCCTGGACACAGAGCTGAAGGGCTGCTGCAGGGGGGGTTGGTGGGGGGCTGAGTAAATGTCTCGACAGGTGGAGGTGATTGAATTGAGCGCACAGTTTCTGGAAGACTGGTCGAGACAGTGTTTGCAGCATCTAGAAGATAGATAAGAGTGATACGTTTCATAGCAAACCAACAGGAAAGTGTCAAAATGTTATGCTACTGTGTAAGAAACAGCAAAGTGGGCTTTCTGCAAAGGACTTTTACGTGCATTAAAGCTTTGAGTGAACACTCACCACATCCTACTTCATCCGATCCGTCCCGGCAGTCTCTCTCTCCATCACAGACGTGGCTGAAGAGGACACACTCTGTCCCGTCTCCACACAGTTTGGTGCCGATGCGACACTTCAGGACGTTTGCTCCAGCTGCAGGAGGGGTAGCGTTCGGACAGTTGAGCTCATCTGAGCCGTCGTTGCATTGAGAGCGGCCGTCACAAACCAGACTCTGCGAGACGCAGCTCCGGCGGTCGTTGCAGCGGAAGTCGCCTGAACAGAAAACAAATTAAGCCCTCTTAGGTTGCAGGACACATTCTAAACAAAGAAACATCCTGCAAACATTGGCAAACAGGGAAATGTATACATAAGCAAACTCCTTACTTCTAGAGGGACACCTTTTCACACATTTCTTTTCATCAAAGCCATCAGGACAGTCTTTGAGCCCGTTGCAGAACTGACTCGGAGAAATGCAGAGCTGAACAGCAGAATTGGGACAGAGCACAGCGGGGCTGCTGCAGGTCGGCGCGACTGGAGCAGGAGGTTTGAGTGGTTCTGAAAATATCCAATAGTTAAATTAAATAAAGGGATATTTCATATAAACAAAAATAGAATGCATCAAACTGCATATTTCAGATAACATCCTAGGAAACTCACCACATCCCTGTTCATCAGATCCGTCCTGACAGTCCTTCTCCCCGTCACACACGTGGCTGTATAAAACACACTCAGTCCCGTCTTCACACGGCTTGGAGCCCGTGCGGCACTTCAGAGTGTTTAACAGAGCTCCAACTGAAGATACGGTCGGACAGTTGACCTCGTCTGAGCCATCACGACAATGAGAACGACCGTCACAGACGAGAACCCTGGGGACACAACTCCTACTGTCCTTGCACTTGAAATCTCCTAAGATTGGAAATGGAGGTAGAAAAGAAAGGGTTGCATATTGAAAGAGGTGCTTTGCTTTTTTCAAGAAACAATAAAAAGTTATATAGATCAATCAATGTTTACTTATATAGCCCAATATCACAAATGTTACATTTGTCTCAGTGGACTTCACAGTTTGTACAGAATATCAGTATGACAATACGACACCCTCTGTCCTTAGACCCTCACATCGTACAAGGAAAGACTTCCAGAGAAAACCCACAGTTTAAAGGGGGAAATGGGAGAAACCTCAGGGAGAGCAACAGAGGAGGGATCCCTCTCCCAGGACGGACAGACGTGCAATAGATGCCGTGATAGATACTTCACCTTTAGATGGGCATGTGGTTACACAACCATCCTCGTCCTCTCCATCAGGGCAGTCCTTTTTCCCGTCACACAGCTGGGCTTGTGAGAGGCAGATTGATGTGTGTCGGCACAGCACATAGGGTTCAGCGCAAACTGGAGTATCTGGCACTAATAATTGGAATATGAAAAAAATGAGGTAAGTCAGGGTAAAAATCTGTCACTTTCATACACATGTTCTCTGGCTGTAAACTGGTCGTTTGCACTTGTGAGTCACTATACTATAAGCTAAAAAACTAACTGTAAACAAACTGACATTTTTTGTATTTCTTCTTTAAAAACATTAACTTTTTCTGACCTGGGCGGACGTCCTTCAGTGCAATGATGACACTGAACACACGCCCTCTCACAGGCATGTCTTGGATGACGCTCCCGTCACGCCGGTCCCACAGAGTCAGGACATTATCCGAATGGGACAGCAGGAAGGGCTCAAAAGCAGATATGACTGAGCCGGAAATGTTCCATCTCCTGCCAGCTTTGTGGCTTTTCGCCTGCAGCAAACTCATCGTGGTCAAACCTGTAAGAAGGGGAAACCAAAACTGTTTTGCAACTGAATGAAAGACCTTGAAGACAGTCATCTCTTATTGTGGCAGCACAAAATCACATGTACTTTTGTATTGCTTTAAGCGAAGTGTTGAGACACAACTGGTGAAACATTTGATTTCAGACAGACCTGCCCTTTTTGAGTTCCAGAGCAGGCTGTTAGCCCTGAGGTCGAAGGCGACGTTCCCCTGGACTTCGTCTGCCAACCGCAGCAGCTTTTTGACACTTCCTCCCGCCATGCTCATGGTGAGGATTTGGTCTTCCTCCAACCAGATGATGCCCCCCCTCAGCCAGTCCAGATGCAGGTCTCTGATCTTCTTGGTCGTACGGTACAGCTGCTGCAGGTTCCGGCTGTCGGCTGTGGAGGTGCCGATGCTGTTTTGGTCACATGACACCCAATAGAGGTTCCCTTTCCTCTGGTCTATTCTAATCAAACAAACTAAAGAGAAAAATAAGTGAGTCAATGGAAAGTGTACAGAAAGCTGTAAGAAGACAAAGTAGACAATTGTTCATGGCAAATACTTTAATTCACTACAAAGTATAACTTAAAGACTTATTTTCATTGACAATTATTTAAACTACAGATCAAGTTGGAACAAGGAAATTGGTGGTGTTAATGAATGCTAAAGGACTAAAACGCTTTATCTAAATGCATTAATGCTATTAATTGACATGGATTAGTGATATTTAGTTGCTACTAGGATGCGTTAAATGCAGACAACACATTTCACTGTGTGTGCGCTCTGTATGTGTGACCATTAAAGAGGGGTTCATCCCTCCCATTCTATCTATCTATAACATAAAATACCTTGTCTGCATGAAAAACTTGAAACTCATAGCATTACCTGGCAGAGGTGTTGGGACCACCTCAGTTTTGACCTGGGTCAGACTGGTGCGTTGGATATGGCCGGTTTGATTGGCCCAGTAGAGCCAGTCTCTGTACCAGTCCAGGTCAAAGGACAGGATCCCGTCGCCAGTGCTTAACAGCTGGGTTTGATCATAGGCTCTCCCTCTGATCTCCAGCAGGTTGATGTCCATGTTGGTGGCATAAACAAACCTTGGGTCTGTGGCAGAAAAAAAAAAATTGTTTAACGTTCCCCTTGTGCTTATTACTACTTAGAGACGGACCAGAGAAAACGGATTGGATAAAACATTTTTTTTTTACCCGTCTTCAACCAAAAATAGGCAGAGATCCAAAGTTTTGTTAAACTTACATTGACATGTCTCATCAGGCAACAGCATCTTGGCGTTCGGACAAGCACAGGTGAATCCCACCGGGTTTCTTTTAGTTAGCTGGCAGAGCTGACACGGAGTATTTGCACATGCAGTAGAACCTGAATGATGTAAAAAAGAAAAACAGGACATTTTGAAATAGATGTCATTTAAAACCGATCAAGTATAAATCAATCAACAATACTCGGGACAAAACATACAAATATGACAACTGTATTGTTTGTTTTGAAACAAATTAATCTAACATGGTGCCTAAGAAGAGCATAAACTAAAGTCATAGCCAATTCAGAGAAATAAATACTCCAATCAACAAGTATATTGCATTAGAATTAAATATCTTGTTTCCATAAGTACCTTGAGGCTGCTGTAGCTCATGGTAAACGACTAGTGTCGGCAGTGCCGCTTTCAAAAGAAATGTCTTCTGGTTTGGCTGCGTCTGTGGGACCTGCCACAGTCCTCCGTCATCGACCCAGTAGAAGGAGCTCTCAAACACAGCGAGGCCGAGAGCCGCCTTCCTGCTGAACAGGCCTGTGAAGGAGAGGTGGCCGGTCCCGTCCATCTTCACCGTCTCTATGGACTGAATGAAACGAGTTATTGTTCACTGCATGTTAAGCATAAACATCAAATGGTTTACAAAATTATTCTGTAGTGATAAACAAACTTTGTTTTAAAAAGAATGGTATTATAATCTCTTCTCATCCCTCCTTACACGCCGATCACGCAGACTGCGTGGGGCCTCACCTCGGGGAGGGGGCATCACCTCGCAGAGGGGGCATCATCTTGCGGAGGAAGCCTCAACTGAGCGCACCTTTATGCGGAGCAATTAGTGTAAACGCGGCACAGTTTCCCCGCTGCAAGGCTCCACTAGCACCGACTTAATGTAAATTATATTATATTCAGCCGTTTCAGTTTCCTGCTATTTTGCATGCTCAGTATCATAACTCTGTACATCTAAAACATTACAATGCATTTAAACTCCACCACTGTGTATATCCATTTCTCACCTTCTTAACATGCTGCTGTGACAAAAAATAAATAATAAAAATCCTAAATTGGGATCAATAACGTACATCTAATCTCATCTCACCTTCTTGAAGTTGCTGATCCAGTACAGCCTCCTGGCAGCAACGTCTGCAGTGAGGCTGTGGGCCGCCTGAGCAGTGAGCACCGCCAGAGTGTTTCCATCGGACCCGTCCATCCACGACATCTCTATCGTCACTCTGTCCCCCGGGCCAGAACTGAACCAGAACATCAGGCTGCGAGGCAGAGCAGAGAATTTAAACAACCACGGTCAGTGTATTATCATACGTTTTGGTTAATTTACCATGGCTGGATTTTAATGTTTGCTGTGAGTATATGGTTCAACAACTCATTCCAATACTTCTCCTGCAACAGTTTACTCAATTATCCATGTTGAATACTGTATAAAAGCAGATTTACCAATTCACTGAGACCAGGGTTATCACTAAATAATATTTAAATATGTCAAATAATATTATGTTTCATCCTATGTAGCAGATAGAGAGAATTAAAGTAGCATGCCTCTCCACAGGTATGAGCACCAAATCTGATGGTGTGTTGCGTTTGCTCAGCAGTGTAGTGAAACTTCTCCCGTCAGCTGACTGCATGTAGATTGACTCCGTCTTCTGATTGGACCAGAACAGGTTTCCATTCAACCAATCGCAAGCTAGACCCGTGATTCCAGGCTCACCTGTTAATGAATAAATCAGACTTCTAAGACATTTTTGTTTAGAAATGCCACTATTACCTTCTACAGTCAGGGTTGAGATTTAAATGCGGACCCCGATGGATTCCACAAAGGGTAACACAGTTGGGGGGTTTTCAGGACTTTAAAAAAACAAATTCAGACCACAACAAGGGGGGGAAAAAAACCCCATTGTTGAATCGGTCAAAAGTTGTGAAAACACATTGTTTCAACTCTATTGGATTTTCAAAAGAAAAAGATGCAACATTTTGTACATTATGTGTTAAAGCCAAGCTAACCAGTGTGGTGAACATCTACCTAGTTAACATTACCATTTTCTCTTGACTCAGTAACTTCATACAACATATATAAAATACATGTCACTATTCTAATTCAAAACCAGCTGTTATTGCCATAATACCTCTAAAGACAAAAAAAAAAAAAGCAACCACATCTTGGATCAACTCACCAGTAAATGTTGCCCAGCTCTGCCGTCCATCACTTTTGTAAATGCTGCCACGGTTGTCGGCCCAGTAGTACCAGCCTCGGAAAACATCGAAAGTCAAAGCCACTGGGTCAGGAACTGGAGTGTGGATAACTTTAAACTGTTGAGACGTCACATTTAACAGCCCCATAGAGCTCCTCTGCACCATCAGCAGTCTGATAGCGTTACCTGGACAAATGTATAGATTCAGTTAGTGGGAATATTTGGATTGTAGTAAATTTCACCTCCTGCTCATTAAACATCCATCAACTAGTAAGGTGAGGGATTACTTCACTGCCTATATTCGGACAGAAAAAATAACCCTGATGCAAAAGCAATATTTCACAATTGCATCATCCTTTTCTTCACAACATTTGAGGAGACATCCCGGTAAAACCAGCTCAACTGCTTGCATCTGAAGTCCCGTTTGATCCTTTTGAGCGTTTGATAGCTTTTGTTATTCGTAAATGCTCAGGCACATCAAAGAGACCTATTGGCACGTCAATTATCTTTTAACCAAGTTCAGTTCATGATGCTTCTTGTTTGGGTTTGATCTTTTTCAGAGGATGAAACTAAATCCAGAGTAGGTTAATCACATAACACAATTGGGCTGATGACTAGCTCAGTAACACTTAGCAGCTTGGTACTTGCTTGCTGGTTGATGTGTATGGTCTTGTGTGATCTCTGGCTCTAGAAAAGGCTTAGTTGGCACCAAAGGATGAAGGGCCATGCGAGGGTATGATGATTGTATGCATCTTTAGATTTGTACAAACAAGGAAAAGCTTTGCCTCCTTACCTGTAGCTAAACATGCAGTGCCTCCATTTAGCTTGAATCCTTCTCTGCACTGGCAATAGTATGAGCCGACAGTGTTAGCGCAGTGATGCATACAGGGGGCGAAGGGGGGGGGCACATTCATCAAAATCTGAGGAAGAAAAGAGGGTTATAGCTTGAAATACATGAAGTATCAAAACATATCTAGCAACAGATGATTACAAAGCTGCAAAAAGACACTTCTTAAAACATTCCAGTATGCAAAGAAAGGGGTTAAGGGACCAAGGATGTACTGCAAAAGGCAGGTTCCTACATCTATATTTTCAGTTTGCTTTTTGTTTATTTAAAGCCAAACACACCTTCACAGACTGCTCCATTGGAAGAGAGCTTATATCCAGCGGGACAGGTACACAAAGCTCCCCAGGGCTCATCGACACACACGTGGCTGCAGCCGCCGTTGTTCATAGAGCAAATACGACCTGCAGGAGCATGTCAGAAACATTATGTTGACATTGATTACCAACAGTTGTGAGTGGTTTGTATTTGCCATCATTGGAAGACCTCATTGTTCAAGTCAATTTGTCTCAAACCTACCGCAGGTTATGGGCTCATCACTGGCGTCCGAGCAGTGAAACGTCCCATCACAACGCTCGTCTGAACTCAGACACGTCCCATCAGGACACCGTATGCCATCCTCACCACACAGTCCTGTAAGGGAACAGACCATCAATACTTCAACATTGAACTCTTGCTCATATCTAGCCTGAGTTAGGGGCCCATTTGGTTGAGTTTGACATCACTTTGATACTATTAACACATGCTTTTCACACATAATATCCATTTGCTGCATCTTGTCTTCTTTGATCAGCATGTTCAGCACACTAACTTTACCGATTGTGTAGTCATCACATAGCAAAACTGTTCAATTTGTGGGTGAACTGACTCCATAGTGCCCTACTTTCCCACAGTCTGACATTTAGGGAAGGTACGCAATCAACGTGGATGCATTATAAGATTAAAATCCTCCATATGTCTCACCACAGTCCTCCTCATCAGAATTGTCCTGGCAGTCATTCAGTCCATTGCAGCGCAGCTCTTTGGGGATACAGATGTGGTTTCGACAGGTCAAGTCAGAGTCCATGCAGCCCTGTGTCGCTGCACAGTTCTCCTCATCAGAGCCGGTGGGACACTGCTTTGTACCGTCACAGCGAGCTGAGGCGGCAACGCAGCCGACAGAGTCAACACAAGGGAACTGTCCGGGGGGGCATTCAGGAGAGCCAGAAATTGCTAGAGGGAAGGGGGGGGGAAATAGTTTCTCTTTCAGTCTACCAGCATTTTATCTTTAGGTACAAAGGTTTTCCACATTATTTCATCTGTTTGATGTAGATTTATTTCGTACTGACTGAAACATCACTTCGTTTTTGTCATTATTCTGAAGCATATTTGAAATAAAAACAGATGTAGCTATTCTGGTGAGCCTATTAAAATATCTGCCTGTGTTAACCATTTCAGACTCCTAAACAAACTATGAAAAATAATAAAGCAATCATCCAATTTGAATAATGTATTATTGTAAAGAACAGTTACTTTGCACAGGAATAAGGCTAGTGTATCTACCATTGCAATCCATTTCATCAGATCCATCCAGACAGTCTCCACTTCCATCACATCGCCAGATATCCGGGATACAGTTTCCATCGTCACACCGCCAATGGTCTGGTCTGCATCCCAACATTTGTCCTATAAATATTCAAGAAGTAGGCTTAGGAAATATTTCTGGCTTTCCCTGGAGTTTTCCAGTAATTCCCTTTTCAGATCAGGATTTAAAAACATTAAGCCAAATTCGAACTGAATTGTAAATGATTGGTGAATTGCTTTTACAATGACTTAATGTGGGCAACAAAAGCCACTGGCAAACTCACACCAAGTCAGTATTTCAGTAAAGGAAAAACCGAGGAGGTATAAACTCGGCACAAAAGGTCGATTGAGCAAACAGAAGGACAAATATAATGCGGACTGCTTTCACATCTTCAAATTGATGTTAAAGGAAAGTTAGTCAAAACAGCATGGGTATATTTTTGATAAATATAACTACCTATTTTCACCAACTCATACATTGTTTTTACCCAAACGTTACACAAAAAAGGAAAAGAAACAGAGGAACATTTGTATTATAAAAACGAATGAACAAAACGGAGTAACTAGCATTCCAAACTAATATTTTATCTCTGAACGCATGGGGTGCAGAAATGTACGCAAAATTGCCTTGTTCGTGTTTAGGCTGACATTGAAGAACTTGTGGAAACGTGCTTGAGTGTTAATTGACATGTACTGTAGGCCAACAAACTCGCTTAATAGCAACACTTGATAGGTATAATGCCTTAAAAAACGAATATAATGTTTCTTACCTTGGGAAATGCTCAGAATTGCCAGGAAAATTGAGCAAATTAAGTGTCGAAAGTCCATGTTGGCCCACGCGGCTCGTCGCGAGAAACAGCCTCACCTGAGAGGAAATGCTTGAATCAGCCTCACCTGCTGCATGTGCCCGTGCGATATTCACTTCCGTTTACACACAAATAAATACGTTTTCGGCTATAAAAAAATTACCATAAAAACACACATAATCAACACAAGTCATTGATTGACTTTGTGGTTATTTAACCCGGTTTGGAAATGTATATATGTTTGTTCATTTATTGAAAATGTTGCCGTAGGCTATTCCCAACAAGCACAAGTATAGCCTATTAAATAAAGGTAAATTCACTAAAACGACATGCGATAACTTCTAAGGAATTTTCTCCACACACCTCAGATTTGGTAGGCTAATTAAAGTTTGGACAGTTAGAGTTTAGATAATTTAGCAGGTAAATCTGTTTAATGTGTTCATTTGAAAGAGAGCGAGCTATTCATGTGCTGCCTTTCGTCCAATGGCTTACATTTACTTCCAGTGATGTGAGTGTTGGAAAGGTTTAGCGTGTTTACACTAAAAACGATTAAAAAATAATCAAAGCATTGTACTTAGCATAAAGTCCCCTTGACCAACGATGGGCAACGATCAGATATAAAGTGTCTGAAGTCACTAACTTTTGAAGTAGGTTGACACTTACAACTAAACTCAGCTAAATATACATTTTCGGAGCAGTGAATTGCTACTGGTGTTATTCGATTATTCCCTCTTGAAGTGCTCTCTATGATGTGATAAAGCCGTGGACATTTTGGATAGCATGTGCCTTTTATGCATAGAACGATTGCACGTAAACTATTCGTGTATTGGTACCTTTAATTTAGGTAAAACTGCGTCCATAAGTTAAACTAAAAAATCAGTTATGCAGGACAGGGTTTGCCAGATAAATGCAGAACTACAATTATCGAGATTATAGGGATATAAAACATTAAAAACGTTTCAAATGATCTTTCTTATAACAGCTGTAATATATTTAACCTCATAACAAAGAAAGTTTACTCAAGTAAAAGTAACAATACAACAGAATACAAGTTCATTCAACAATTTATTTAAGGACACATATAATGTAACTAAAAGTACATTTGTCTCAAGATTATAATGTATAGCTGCAGCTTGTAAATATTGGCCCAGTTCGACTATTTATTATGATGAGAAGCCTAATATTATAATAATGTATGTATTAATAATGTAAATCTAAAAACGACTCTATGTTGTCATAGTGGATTAGAAGTTTTTGAAGCATAAGAATGGAAATATTCAGGTGAAGTATACCTCTTAAAAGTAACTCGAAATTGTTCTTTACTTGAATGGACTTACAGTTCCTAATTAAATAAAGTTACTTTCCATACCGTCAAGCAACACACATCGTTTTAAGTTTGGTTTTCGTTATAGTGAATATGCTGATTTTGTACTAATGTTTTGCACTTTTGTTACACTCTTGCTCCAAACGTGCAATACATTGTAAAACAAAAGTTGTTTTCATGTCGTGTCAATTAAGAACTTTCATAGAACAAGACGTAGCCTACACTAATGGCATTTATTTGGTTCTTTTCAATATGCTCATCAAGGCTTTGTAGTTTGTTATCAACACGTTCTGCTTTCCTTTGAGCTCAAGTGTGCAGTTTGACTTATGAATGGGCAACGATTATCTGCCATGTCCGACACATTAATGTTCCTTTCAAGATGCTGCTGTCACTTATCATGGCAGATTACCTGACAGTTGCTGTATTACATCTTTTTTTTGAAGTTGTCCAGAATTGTGGATTATTGCAGCTCATCTGAAAATATGTGTATAAAAACCCGTGTATTTGAGATAAATGTATACACATAACATCTATTTTTTAAGAATATAATAGACAAACATATCGTGATATTTTGCTTATTTTTTATTAATCTTTAGTTTTTACATGTATACATTTTACATGTTGAGAATGATCACACATCCTCCTGCCCAGTTTCAATATCAATATAAATGATTTGATAATTGTTGTTATTTTAGGTCTTTAGATACAACATTTTAACCTTTAGTTTATAAATAAACACAACAAATAAGAATTCAAAGAAATTCAATAAAACCATCATAACGAATAAGATAAGATTTCCACAAAATTGGAGAGGGAACATATTTGACACATCAGCAGAAGCACTCGATTTATCTCTAAATAGCGTCTTTGTTGAATATGTCTGGTTATTGTATTTGTTTATAATTGTTAACTACATATTTAAAGTAATTATCCAATAAATATATTGAACTTCGTTCGTAAACATAGGCTATATATGCCAACAAGTAATGATTACTTTTTCAAAATATATGGCAGATAAGCCTTTATAAAAAAGTTTATCAATATTTTAAATGCAAAAGGAAATCTCCATTAACTTGTGTCAAATATTGATGGTACGTTTAACATTCTGATTAACTCCCATGTTACGTCCCAATTAATCACAGCGCAGCTCGTAATCTACTTAACTGATATTATTGTCATGCCTTCGTATCAAAGGGATCTTTAACCCAAAACAACAACAGTCAGAGTGGTGCCATTTTACACTTTTACAACTACACAGGCAATTGGTTTCGATACACAACGACCCATGTAACATTAAGTCTTTGAGCGCCCCCCTGGATCACACACGCCCTCCGGATTGACAGCTCTTCAAAGACCGTCAGGAGAAAGGGGTGGGACTATAAATCCTGGCCTCAGCATCTCATCTGGAGCATTTGGGATCTACCTGTGGAAGAGACAACATCACACTAAGGAATTATGAAGGGACCTATGGATTTGTCTTTTGCGCTTCTTCTCCTGGTGTATTTGGTTGTGTGTCTCGGCGCACAGCCTTTTCCCGGGATGCACCCTGACGCACTGCTCCGAGGGATGAGTGGCGGCTCCAAGCACATCCTGCAGAGGAAGCAGAGCAGCAGGCTGCCATTCTACATGATGCAGCTCTACCGGACCGTGCTGACCGAGAAGCGGGCCAAGAACCTGGCCAACAGCCTGAGCCACACGATGACCGAGGACCCTGCCATGCAGGACTCCGACTCTGTCATCAGCCTGGTCGCTACAAGTGAGTTTTCATCATAAATCAGATTAATATCATGTGCAGTTTTTCTATGGCATATTGTGCATGTGGGATTTATGTTGTTCTTTAAAAAACATATATTTAAGAAATACTCTATTTCTGCAGTTCCTTTTGATAAATGCCTGTATTATTTTCACCTTAATTTAATAATTTGCCTCATCAAATAATGATGAATGTGTTTTAGCATGCAGTTCCCTTATAAGGAATACAAGCTGTCGAATCATCACATGTTTACATACTGAATGAGAAATTGGACATTGTTTTTGCAGTACCAAATGTAATGAAATGCATTCTATTGTTTAGGTGATGGAAGATTTTAACACATTTTTTTATTCCTATTTATTTCAGGCTGCCAGCAGATTGGCAAAAGGTGGTCCGTTACCTTTGACCTGTCCTCCATGTCTGCGAGCGACAACGTCCAGCTGGCAGAACTTCGCATCCGCCTGTCCGCCTTCACTGAGTCTCCCCGAGCCTCAGTGGACGTCTACCACTCACACAGGGGGCGCTGCTCCGACACGCACTGCTCAGAGAACAGGATGTTCCTGGGCCGCCTGAAAGCTCACCCCGGCGCCACGGTATCCCCCTCCTCCTGGAAGGTGGTCAACATGACGGGGGTGCTCAGTCGCTGGCTGCAGCAGGAGCACACCACACAGGAGGAAGAGGAGGAGGAAGAGCAGGAGGGAGTCCAATACCTTACTGCTGACCGGGTCATGATGGTGGTCTTCTCAAGGCAGAACCTGAACAACCAGCGCATGCCAACACTCATCCGCACAGCAGAGCACTCCAAGTACGTCAGCTTTGACCGGGAGAGAGTGGCCCCTGGCTCTGGTTCCAAGCCGAGGAGCCGCAGAGCCAACAGGCACCAGCACACCCAGCACCAGAGGAAGGGAGTGGCTGAATCGGCCCCTGTCAGCAAGGGTCCTCTCTGCAGGAGGGTGGACATGGTAGTGGACTTTGAGAAGATCGGCTGGAGCGAGTGGATCGTCTATCCCAAACAGTACAACGCCTACCGCTGTGAGGGGAGCTGCCCCAACCCAGTGGACGAGACCTTCACTCCAACCAACCATGCATACATGCAGGTAAGACTGAGTTTAAGACTTCTCTTTTTGTATAGTCTTTCCAGTAATGAGGTTTACCAATGATACCCTACATGTTGTCTAATCCATCATTGTATCTCTTTATCTTTCCAGAGCCTTCTGAAGCTCCACCGCCCAGACAAGGTGCCGTGTCTGTCCTGTGTGCCGACACACCTGGGACCGCTCTCCATGCTGTACTACGAGGCGGGGAAGATGGTCATGAGGCATCACGAGAACATGGTGGTGGAGGAGTGCGGCTGCCACTGAGCGAAATACCTGAAAACCTTTTGGATAAAGGTGAAATAGAATCGAGCAGAAGGCCCAGAAAAGTCAACACTAAAACTGAGCCACTCAGAGACACACAGTGGACGGAGGATCACAGGCACTTTACAGAAGTCCAGCCTGACATTGGGACAGAGGCAGCTGGCAGGAAGGAATGGACAAGCTTCATCCTGGACATAGCTCTAAATAATGGATTTGTAAAATCAAGAGTTGTAAATTATTTGTAGTTTTTTGTAAATATCAGGGGACCTTAGTTTTACCTTGGATTGAAAATGGATGAATTCAAGTTTAGAGGGGTTGATTATGGCAATGTATGATCCAGTAAGATGAAACATAATGTAAACATGGTCATTAACTAAAGCACTATAGAAAAGTCTAACAGTAGTTGTACAAGTCTTATGTACAAACTCTTCTTTTAAAAAAAAATGTAAGACTGAAATGTTTAATGCCATTGAAATTACAAATGTCAGAATGGTTGAAGCGCTTTTAACTTTATTGAGATGTCGGGTCACATGGATCCTTGTATGTTTAACGTGTACACTAATACAATACATTATTTCTTATCAGAACAAAGTGTGTGATGGTTTTTATTTAAGGGTTTTTACAAGAGCCTAAAAGTGGCTAATTTCCTCGAACTTTGTAGGGTTGCTATGCTATGAGGCTCAGCAGGCATTTGAGTGTTCAAATATAAAGACTGGTTTCCAGGAATCACTTTTACAAATACACTTTTAAAACAGCAGAGATGGGAGAAGTACTCAGATCTTGTACTTAGTAAAAGTATAAGTACCAGAGTGTAGGAATACTCTTACAAGTAAAAGTCCTGCATTAAAAATGTTACTCAAGAAAAAGTACAAAAGTATAAGCATCAAAATATACTAAAAGTACCAAAAGTAAACATTTCAGAATAACATATTTTATATTATTATTATTATAATTATTGATGCATTAAAGTGTTATCAAAGCTGGTAAAGGTGCAGCTAGTTTGAATGACTTTGTATACTGCAGGTAGCTTGTGAATTTACTCCAGGTGTAACTCAAGTCTGATTTAAGAGTTAGTTATATTTCACATAATTTATCAAATTCTGTAAAGTAACTAAAGGTATTAAATACATGTAGTGGAGTAAAAGTACACAATTCACCTCTGACATTTAGAGGAGTAGAAGTACAAAGTAGCACAACATGGAAATACTCAAGTACCTACAAATGGAATTAAGTACAGTACTTGAGTAAATGTACTTATTACTGTATACATCAGGTAACAAAGTCAGCTATGCTGAACATGGTGCAGTGACGTAACAACGACCAAAACAGAGCTGAATATCAGACTTAGATTTAGCAGGTCAGGTGGTGAGGAACTAATGTTGCTCTGTATCTGCTGGATGTTAACAAAAGTACTAGGTTGCGGTCCAATAGTCCATTTAGCTTAGGAAACTTCCTAACGGAGTGAAATGACCCGGAAGTACCTCAGTGGCAGCCATGATAAGTGCCGTTCCAATTCACTAGATCACGGGTGTCAAACTCAAGGCCCGGGGACCAAATCCGGCCCGCAACTTCATTTTATGTGGCCCCGCAAGAGCTTGCAAAGAATATAATACGTTTATTATGATCACATGCCACTTTACAGAAGCAGGTTGCTCATAAACTACATGTCCCACAATGCATCTCATTTTGTGACATGCACACTGAAGAGACTTGCAATTATTTGCCCTGGACTTCTGCTTTCAGACATAATTATTTATGAAGTTATTACCCTATCCCATAATAATCCAATTCAGAGGCGATAATGTAATATAATACATTATATTATGTATATTATATATGTATATTTATATAGTTACAACCGGCCCTTTGAGTGCAACCATAATGCTGATGTGGCCCGCGATGAAATTGAGTTTGACACCCCTGCTCTAGATGATAGGAAAGGAGGTTTCAAACTTCCTTTATAACCTCCTGTAGCTTAGGAACCACTGGACCTCCCTAACCGAAAGGAGAGGAGAAAATGCTGCCCCACAATGCATTGCAGCCGCAGCATTTGCCGTCACTCAACAGTCGGCCGTTCACGGGAAAACAACCGATTATGACCGAGAAATTATATCATGAAAGTTACGGTGCTTATTAAGCTTTTTAAAAACGTATGTGGTAAGTTGCCAAAGTGCTTTGTTTTGAACGTTCATCAGTATTATAATCAAAAAGAGAAATATGAACGTTAGTTTTTACTGAAATGATAAAATAAAGTCAACATTTCACAGTCTTTACTGAGCTGTGTGGAGTTTGTTCAACTTTTAAAAGATGTTTGAATGGTGATATACACAGTGATAGATGTTAAGGACTAACGTTTATAATAAATACATCTGTATTTCTTTTAAGATATTTTCATACAATCATGGCATGCGTATTGGGATCATTTGTATTAATGTGGACCGGAGGGAGAGGGTGACGAGCATAAGTTTCACTTTCCTTTTTAATTTAAATTCCAACTTTGGTCATGAAGAATATGTTTCTCTGTTGTCCACGTTCATAAAGCATAAAACAACAGCATCAGAGCACGGTGCAGAGTCTCTAGATGAGTTTACAGTAGTCCCTCGTTCTTATTAAACATCCATGTTGTAGTCCGCTGAATAGAAAACTGTAGTTTCCATAGTTTCCCCACAGCAGCAGACGCACATTCATGACGTCCGCTGGCGCATCATAAACACGTCGGATAGTGAAAGTGCAGTCGGATTCTCTAAAGTACTCTCCTAAGTCCTTTTGAATTCTCCTATCCACTATCCCTTAACCCCGTGACGTTTCACTCAGAGGTCAAGGGATAAACGATAGGGTTAGACGTTAGGAGCTGATTTTTGGATTATCCGACCGCAACCCTAGTTAGAATAGGCTTCAGTGTTATGATCATAAGGGGGTGCTTAAAAATGTGTTCTCATTTCAGAGTCCCTGGCTCTTGATTTACACCGTATAACCAACAAATCATTTCAGTAATTTATCTGTGAAACATTGAATAATTTTAAGACCTGTTAAAAGTCATCAAATTAGTCAAATCACATAAAATATTGATTGTTTAATTTCAACAAGACTTTGACTTCCTTGTCAAATATGTCACAGGTCATACAAAGTCAAGTGTATTCAAAGTAAAGAAACAATTATGCATGCATGTTGTTTCGTAAGAGAACAACATTCTTTCACATATTAAGCATTACAACAACAAAAAAATGCCATCTCGTTTTCAGAACAAATCTGAAGGAAGATTACCTGGCTCAGTAAGACTATGCTTCTTATGTCACTGTCTCACTGGACATAAAAAAAAGAAATAAAAATGTTGGGAATCACTTTTATCCTTGCAGCAGAGGCTCTTCAGATATCCATTTCAAACTGGTCGTCTACAAGAGAAAGAAAAGACATTGGAGTGAGAAGAAGGAAGTGGTTAATGGCTGCTCATGTCCTTTTTTAGATATACAGATCTGTTTACCTGCGCTCTCCTCTGTAAGCAGGCTGTGGTCGGAGTTATTGCAGGGGGGGGTCTGTTCCGGCTGGTTTCTGTCGTTGGGTTTCAACGGCCTGGTGACCCCGGGGATGTCGGGCAGATTGGGGGGGGGTGCGGGCGAGGGGGGACGTCCGACACTGCAGGAGGAACTTCCTGTCGTAGATGATTCTGGTACCTGTAGGAAGCAGCAGAAAAGACTCTAAAGTTAATTATTTTCCATATTTTGATACTATAATATGTTGAATTTCAGGAGATCAAAATGTGCTACAGCTGTATTCATAGTGTACATTCAGTTAAATAGCACTTGAGTCAGTTTAACTTAAAATTAAAATGAAATAAAATACAATTCAGCAGCTAATATCCACATTGAAGAATTCTAACCAGTTCGAAAAAGACAAATATAAATAAATATAGAATAATTTCTGAATTGTAAGGTGTCCTTGGGTGCCTCTAAATAAAATGTATTATTATTATTAATTTAAACAGAAATCTAAGCGACTAATCTCCATATTTAACATTTGTTACCAGTGGAAATATTATTAAAATATATTCAAGAAGATGTAGAAGCATACATTTAAAACTGGTAACTTGTTTATTAGATATAAGATACAAAATAAATAGCATTTAACTCAATCTAATACAATACAATTGAACAAAATATACCTCCAAGTATAGCACAATATTAATTCAATCATTATTAACATAAAGAAAGTATTAAAGATATTTATGAGCCCTCATCCATCCCACAGTATTGTGCAGTACTTCTTGTTCCCCTTTAAGAGGACTGTTGTGTGTTCACTGCACACACGCCCATGACCAATGACCCATTTATTTTTGGCCCCGAGATCAGTCCACTAACCGTACCTGCACCAATTCTGTCTTATCTGTGTAAATCTGCCCTCATCTGTGGCAGAACACACTATCATTTATAATGGACGACATGTGTAACTTTCTCACCGCAGCAGAGTGAAAACACTTTTTTGCATCACTCTCGTCACTGGAGATTTCCCAAGGTGTCAAGATTAGATATGAGCAAAAAATGCGGAATACATTTATTGGCCAATAACTCAGCGTGTTGATGCGTGTGAAACTGGCTTTTAGTCGGTTGATGAGCCAAAAAACATATATCTAATTTAGGTTTTCATGGCAAGTAGGTGAAAGTTTGTTAATTTTTAGTATCTTGCATGTATCCACGGAAACATATGTTGCTTTTAAAACACATAAGGTTATTATAAGCGCATGTTCTTCCTCTATAGTATCACACACGTGTCCTGGTGAAGCCAAACTCTAGTAAACAAGTTGCCGCAGCTAAACAGCAGCCTGCTGTAATAACAAGACTATAAATAGGACGGGACCGAGGACGGGCTATATTTGAACATACTCGATTATGTGAGAGCAGCTACAGCCTGAGCCTACTCACACTGAACACAGAAGATGCCAAAACCATCAAATATTTTAAATTTCCTTTATAAATAACAGTTTAAATGCCACAATATATATATAAATAAATAAAAAATATATATTATTATTATCTGGTAGGATTATTCTCTTTTTTTCCATAGCGTATCCAAATATAAATCCATGGAGTAATGTTTACATTTACAAACCATTCACTTCAATCTATGGCAACACAGAGATATTCCATTTAACCAACATACTGTGTGAATTGGAGCAGTTTAAAATACAAATCTGGCTAAAGTTGGGGTCATAAATGGTAAGTGGCGGCTAATAGGTCAGATAGGCAAACATTAGATAAGAAGGTCATAGGTTCAATCCCCGGAATAACAGAATTTGGGAGGGAAAATGACCTTTCCAGGTGAGAATGTGTAATATTTGGTGCGTTCCAATACCCATGCTCCCATACTGTGCAGCATGTCAAACGTATGTGCCAAAAATAGTGCATCCTGTAACTATTTTTGCAGTTTGCATCCAGCATGCTTTACTGGCATTTCTCAACGATAATGCTTTGCGGTGTTGATATGAGCAAGAGGGTCAAATCCAAGTGTTGTGACGTAGGCCCAATCCCAAACCGCCCCCGACCCCTCCGTTTGCGCGTTCGTGCGGAGGGTCCGCCACATTAAGTGCTGTTCCAAACCAACGAGTGTGGAGCGGTGTGGAGGGGGAGTGGGCTATCAAGCCATCAAACAACGAGTCTGCATCGGAGCTGACTTGAGACCGGTCTCTATCTGACCGGAGTCACGCTGTGTGTGTCGGTCAGGAAACACGCTGTTTACAAGTAGTTCCAGCAAACATCCACTGATAAACTGCGATGTTAACAACCTCATGATAACCTCATTTTTTTTAACTTAGGATCGTAGACCTGTGTTTAGTCTAGAAAAAGGTAAATGTGTGCATTTTATTATAAAGTTGGGTATATTTACAGACTGTTGCAAAAACTAAGAAGCTTATTTTTTGTAAACTAAGAGCTTTACAAAAAAGATTAAACACAATTAAAGATGTTTGGAGTTTTATTTTAGTTATTAATTTACATTTTTTGTCAAAGAGATGCTGATTTGAAACCGTTGTTACATACAGTTACGACATTTCCTGTTTCTACCGGAGAGAGGGGAGTTTGTCCCAAAGCTTGCTGCTGTATTTACTCCCTCCATCTGACAGGAGGGAGCCTCATTGAGCTGCGAGTGTCACTCCACGGAGTTCACTCAGTCACGGAGGGGTAGTGTGTAGGGGTAGGGTGTAGGACGTGGTTTGGGATTGGGCCGTAGGATGCATACTACAGTACTTCCTTAGGGCAGCTGCAGAAAATAGTATAAACAACAAGTGTTTTTGAACACAGCCTAGCCTGTGTGAACGTGATCAGGGCGTTTGTGAAAAAGGGAAGTAACTCCCAATGAATCTCCCTATAACTAAATACATGTTGAAATGCTGGTTTCAGGATCAACGTGACATTCTTCAGAAATGTCGTGCAGATTTTCCATGTAAGTGTCCCTTTAAATGCTCCCCCCCCCCCCTTTCATTACTGATCTTTCTCTTAATGCATATCGTATTTAAACTGTGTTAAACCCAATAACAAGACCCATTTCTTCGTTACCTCCTGGCGTAGTGCTGAACAGAGTCCCCCCGGGGGTCGTGGAGTAGTCCTGCGGCATGTGGGCAGCATCGTGGATGGTGACCCGTCTCACGGCCGGGATGTTCTGGCTCCTGGTGGGCTGGCCTGCCGCTGACATGTCTCACAACACGGTTCTGTTTTAATAATACTTAAAGGCCACAGACAGGGCTAACTGCTTCAGGTGCTCAACACGCAGTGAAACTGAGAAGTTACTTTGAGCCTCCACGTGGTGAGAGCAGGTCCAAAACATTCCAGGAACCTCCTTCAAAACAACATGTGGAGTGGAGCGCTGTGATTGGCTGGAAACATGGTTGTGACGCCCCCTGTTTCCAGCCAATCACAACACGAGGAGGTTTTATTTCTTCCGGATCTGCAGGCTGCTCTATCAATCACAGATACAACTTCAATCGTAACAAATCCTTAATAAAAAAGTATTCACAGTGATATAAAGAACAAAAATACAATTTTGTTTTAAAATTACATGCAAAAAACCTTTTTCATGTAATTAAAAAAATATTTGTAGTCATAGGAAACATCCAGTAAAATACCCAACGATTGTATATGAAGTACAAATATTATGTGTATGTGTACAAATACAAATATTATGTGTATTACTATAAAAACACAACAAATTAATAATATTTTTAAATATTTAAAAAAATGGTTTTCTATGGTATAATTGATATGGTAAGCATCAATCTATACAACCAATACAATCTACAATAAGAAATACTATACAAACCTATATGTATTTGGAGCAGTACTATAAAATAAATCAAATTGCTAATAAAATAAAAAAAGCATTTTGTATGGTTTTGATATGTTAGACCCATAAAATAAAGCATTAATGAAAAAAACAAACATGAAAACACCATAAAAGCTATAGCACTTTAAACTCCCAATAGTCAATGAATGTTATTGAATACAAAAATATATATAAAAGCTGCACTAATTTCCCATTTTACAAAAAACAGGACACCACATTTATGTCACATCTTTGTTTATTAAGTCTTGTAAATGGTTTGAGCTGGTGTACAGGGTAAGATGATCTATACATATGTCAGAATGATTCTGATTGAAAGGCTTGTATACATATTCACGTTTGTTTATCCTCTCTCCAGGACAATACAAAAGAAAAGAAAACAAGTGGTCATAGCTACGAAGCCTCTACATTCCCCATGATGTGGGCGTTGGCCTACTCTAGATAATGCTTAAAGAACATCCATAACAACTCTATGAGGGTGCATAGCATTCTAATTAAATATATTTTGTCATATATTTATACACATATTTTCATAAAAACAGATTTTTTTTCCGCATGTGCGCAGTTGCATTCCTTAGGATAGATTAATATGATATTGCGTTTACATTGTCATGTATCCATTCTAAAGGAGTATAGGTGACCTCTATTCTTTCGCCACAGTTAATTTTACAATACTCTTTTTTTAAATACATCGCCATAGGTTACACGTCCTCTCAGGTCACAAGCCTGGTAAAAACTCTCTTTTCCTCCCCCTGATCCAACAAGGTTTCAAACCAAACACCATCACACACACACACACACACACACACACACACACACACACACACACACACACACACACACACACACACACACACACACACACACACACACACACACACACACACACACACACACACACACACACACACACACACACACACACACACACACACACACACACGGTGGAGTTGTACTGATGTTAGTACAAAGGCTCACTGACTTGTTTGATTCAAATTGCAAATCTAAGTTATCGTTCAGGAAGGAAGCAGAAGAATTACATTAAAATAAACTTCAGCCATAAATCTTTTTTGGGTGGCCACATCGAATATCTTCTAATTTTCAAAATGGATTAATACCAACTACATTTGAGCGTACAGGTACCACACCTGATAGACAGAATCCCTTCTCTAATACTTTTCTCATAAACCAGCAAAGAAAATGTTTTCTTGTTATAAGTAGTTTTTTTTTACATTTTATGTCCAACATGAAAGTCAAAATAAGTTTTAAAGCTTTCCCCAGAGACATTTTTAAATTGTAGTCTTGGTGGCTACTTTGTCAATATCGACAATGTAAAGGACTATAAAACTGTAAGCTGATCATATTAATGGAGAGAAATGTCCACAGCGTCAACGGACTGTAATACTGATTTAATGCTGTCAAATCCACCAATAAAGAAAGCAACTATAGGAAAACTCTACATGCTAAACATGACACAAATATATTATACCATTTGGGGTTTAAATCTCGAAATTGTAAGGATTATTACCTTAACACAAGATGAATTAAATTGTCTTTAACATCCCCAAATCTAACTCCCTTCTTGCGCTGATACAGTACAAGAGGTGAGAAGGTAACTCGTCACTTTAGATGCATAATGCTAGTACAGCTAACTTAAATAAAACACTTTAAGTACTGCAGACGATAAAGGAAATAATGTTTAACATTCATTTAATGAAACTTTCCTGTTGGAAGAGGTTACTGACTACATACTGAATGCTTCGTCTCCTCTTTTTCTTACTTGAATCAAAGAGCTCTCCATCACACACACACACACACACACACACCATCCTGCCCCCCTCCTTTACACCCCTATCCCGCCCATACAAAACACCAACGTCTTCCTCAGAAACACTCGCTTTGTGCCCCTCACTCGTCTGTGAAAGGAGGACTTGGAACTTAAAAAGGAAAACATTTTGATTCTGACCGAGCAGAACGGAAAACCTGAGTGGAGTAACAGTGGGAAATGTGTGATAGCCTATAAACATGTGCTATATCAAATGATGCTCTTGTGTGCACGGACAGGGCATGCAAACATGTGCATTTGTGTGATGTAGAACTAATGAACTCGTTCATTCATTCATTCAATCGGCGTCTCACTCATTCAGGCTACAGTAGCATTTACAGTACTTCAATATTGTCCCATTAAATGTGCTACTATGGTATACGACCCCGTCAGGTTTCTGCATAAAGGAAGTGCTTTGGAGATGAAGAGGACGATGGGCGGTTTGCAGTGACGTCAGTGTATGAACATAATAAATAAATTAATAAAAAAAAAACAAATGGAGCTAAGTTACGGCAGCAGACAATTTTTTTTCGGTACGGTAACATATCCTGATTTAATTTTTGCTACGTTAGGTGCTGAAAAACAAAGAATCCCTCTCATGCTAGAGCTGTATCTGACTGATGCATAACTCAAATGCTTTTTCAGAGATGTAGTCATCGACACCGTTCCAAATCATGTATTTCCAGAACCCTGGCTAGCATCTTCATTGTTCTTGCTAAGTATTATTGCTGTGGCAAACTCCAAAATCGGACACTCTCCGACTAGGCAATACGTTTTATTTTGTGTCACATGTTTCTGATTATGTGCGTGTGCTTTTGTTTGTGTGTCTTCACAGTTCACGAGTCTGGGGTCAGTGTTAATAAGACAATCACAGTGCTACCTGTCTGTCCCCGCTGCCCGTCACAATCCCATGTTGTACTCTCGTAGCAAGATGCTATTTTACGCCTGCTACCATTGAACTACAAATCCCTGTACCCTCAGGTTAATCCTTATTTACGATGCAACCACTGTGTTCAAATGAATGAATGAATGTACATTTTGACGGTGAGGTGCTACAGCTGTTTCAAACAGATAAAGAGGGAGCACATGCAACGTTTTCAGCGTTAAATGTAGGAGCTAATAAATGCTGATAAGAGGCCTGTGATTTTTTAAAACTGCATATTGACTGAGGCTACTGATAAGGATCAAGATACCGCGCGCTACTTGGAGAAATGACGGAAGAAGTTAGAAAAAGGTCACGATGGAGGAAATCTTTGTGACGTCGAGCCGCTGCACAATACAATCAAGCAACCAACCCCTATCCAAAGACGGGCAACATGTTCCTCACATTGGTCGGACAAATACTTTAAAAACCAAGGTGGACCGAAGGAACGGAAAAACACACAAGCTTCATCCACAAAGGAAAAGACGTTAGCAGCACACCCAGACAGGTACACTCACGAGCGGGGGGCAGGGGAGCAGAGCACGGCGGCTTTTCTTGTTCCGCTCCAAGCCAAGAAACACATGCGGTAGAGAATACGCGCACACATACACACACACTGACACATGTCCACGTAGCATAGAGTGCATATCACATTGAGAATAATAGGGGACAGTGAAATAAGCATCAGTAGGCTCAGCATGAGCTTAGCTGTATACGGAACCGTCCATCGAGGGATCGATTTTTTTTTTGTTGGTGTTATTGGACTCAACTTGCCGACACACACAACTCCTGTTGGCGGGAATAGGGTCCTTAAAAAAGGCCCCAGCGTGGGCCAGCCCCGTACCTTGTACCCCTTCAGTTTGTAGATAATGACAGTTCAAAAGGTCAAAGGGCATGCACCAGCAGTCATCATGCGATTACAGTTTACAGGAAGCACTTTTTGTTTTGTTTTTTTTTCTCGGTTGTTTTACTGACATTTATGTTTTTTTGTAAAAAAAAGAAGAAGAAGAAGAAGAAGAAGAATCATGCCTTAGTCTAGTTGATATTTTTCTTTACAAATGTTATAAAACTACAAGTTGAACTTTTCTTTCATGGAGCTCCATGGTCACACGTTGAGGATGTTTCTGTGTTTGTCATTTTGTAGTTTGCACTTCTTAAGTCTTTGTCTCCCCTTCCTCTCCCCTTCCTCTCATTTCCATCTGCGCTCTGGTTGTGTTTTGGAGGATGATTTGGCAGTGGCTTTCCGGTCCTAGAAAAAAAGAGATGAACAGCATTTACAAACAAAACCCAGGAAAAGTGAATTTGCCCTTCCAAAATAAAGCAAAAAGTGTAACTGAATGCCAAATCATTTATGTCCAAATTCTAATTTTGCACAGAAATGGAACAGCAAGTGAGAGACTTTTGAGTCCGATATGTTGCTGGGCTCTGTCCAAGCACTGGGATGCACTCGTGCTTGTTGTGTGTCCCGTACCTGGAGGACCGGGCAGTATTTGTATTTCAGTGTTTAACTCTCCGCAGAATGGTGCGCTGCGCTGACTGAGCGCCCTTTCTCTCATCCACCCCCACCTGGAGCAAGGAGGCAGGGAGGAGGGAAGGAAACAAGACTCGGACCAGTTAACTGCTGATGCCTCTACATGTAACCAAAAAACTTGTCTCTCCGTTAGCCGACCGATGTGGCTCTCTGCAGTCCCAAGATACAGACAACAATGACATGATGATGGTTATGTCTCACACTCACAACTATTAAATACATTTAATTCAATTATGACTTCCTTCTTTAGAGTTGAAATTACCCTTAACTTAGATTTGACAACAAATTATAGAGGCTTTGTTGTCAAATCTGCTTTCAACATTTGGCTTGTGGCTATGTGGTGAGAGTACGATGAAAAAAGGACTGACGCACCTTTCTGGCAAGCGTGCGTCCGTGTTCGTCTACAAACCGCACCTCGGCAGCATAGTCCTTTTTCTCTTCTCTCTGTACAAGAACAACAAAATGTACATATAAGAACCAATTCATAGTACCCACTTTTGCATGAGAATAAATAGTTTGTCATAAATGTAAAACAGAACCAAAAAGAATTAATCATGGCCGATATTCCACGTGTTGCAGCACACAACACATCATTCTTGTCGGGGTCTGGGAAAAATGCATTTTGATGTTGACTTCTTAAGACAAAATAATGACTGTCTTCAACGAGGTCCCCCCTCCAGGCGCAGGAAGCGACTGATGGTCGGCGACCTGACCTGGCCCCGCCGCTGCTCTGCAAGCACTTAGGCCCGCCTCCTGGTGAGAGAAGCCCCGCCCCCTATCAAAGGGCTGCGTGCCCTGCAGCACATGAGTAACTCGTGTCACACACCGGGGTCAGCAGAGCCTCCTGCACGCTGCCGTCCTGCCCCGACGACACCGAGCCCCCCCAGCCCTGCAGCGAGTCCTTGTCTGCCAGGTAAGGCTGAAACGCTCCGCCTCCCACCATCCTGGAGAGCAAATAATATCAAATTGTTATATTCTTATTGTTTCTTGATTCATATGTAGATTTGCCAAGAGGTACCGTACCGGTTATCCCCGTTGTGGTCCGACCCTCGACTCAGTCCCGAGATCTCAGTCCGCTGGGCGTACACCTGCTGGCCTGCAACGACAGAAAGCCCTTCCACTGAACCCAGCCCTACATCTCCTCCTCCTCCTCCTACTGCGAGGACCTCCCCTCTCCTCCCGTCAGACCTCTGACCTCCCAGCTGGCCGTTCAGGTTGACCTTGGGCACGGCGCCACTGGCCCTCACCCTGTCCCATTCTGCCAGAGCAGTTGCTGGCTCCTGTGGCGCCTCCTCCTCCTCCTCCTCAACCTCCCCTTCCTCATCCTCATCCTCTTCCTCCTCCTCCTCCAGCTCCATGATGGAGCCGCTGGCCCCGCTGCTTGGGCGCCCCAAGCTGTAGGGAAGGGAGAGCGTGGTGCCCTCCGAGTCGTCGGCACGACTGCTGCCATCCAATGAGGAGTCCTCCACTGTGACTAATGAGGGGCTGACCCCCGCGGGCCACACCTGAACGTCGGACATCTCCATTAACGTGTCTTCTTCGGTGGTGGCGATGGGGGCGCACTCCAGGCTGGAGACTTCCTGCCAGTAGGGCTCTGCTCCCAGAGGGGAGGGCAGGCTGTACTGCATGGAGGCCGGGGACATCATCTCATCCTGCACCAGCCCATAACCTGAGGGGAGACAGGGCGAGACAAAAGAGAGACTAACACCACGCAGGCACAGCCGGGGCAGGAGGGGGGGGGGGGGGGGGGACTGTTTCTCCAACCTGTGAGGAAACAGTGGGCTCAGCCCTGTCCCAATATACCAACAATATCTAGAATCAAGATTTATAAAGCCAATAATGTAGGATCAGGATATATCTATTTTATTGAATGAGCAATCACTTTATTAAGGAAGCCTTAGGAGGCTAGATATAAAACATATCTATTGTGATCTTTTTACAAAGTGTGAACTTGTTTGATTTCTCTTTGGTGTTCATTACTTAACATGTCTTAAAAAAGGTTAGGACAAGATAATCTTTAATACAAATGTTTTGAAAACAAATGTTAAGCTAGAATCAATTTAGTTTATTTATTATGATTCAATTAATTTAAGTGACTTCAGAGAATATTTATTGTTGTTGTATATCCACTATAAAGGGTTGAACAAATAGTTATGTAACATTGTGGTGAGTATTTTTTTTAAATGCATCTACCTGCTCTTTTCTTTTTCACCCATTCCACATTTAAACAAAAATTAAATAAAGAATTATCCTGCCAAAACATTTGTTCACCTGTTATAGATAAACAAATCAGACCCTATACAAAAAATGGACTGTTACTTTCTTTTTTACTTGCCTCTCAGGGCTTCCATATTTTTAAAGAATCTCAGCCAGGATGTTTTGGTTTGAAAGGTTAAGCAAAAGAAGAATACTTGTCTTTCACTCTAAAACAATCTTATTTTGTTTAATTTTGATTGGTCTAATTGATATTTGTGGGTTTGATTCAAGCACTTTGGTAATTGGCATTGGGACAAAGCGATAAGAGTGAGGTGAGGGTCAGAGGGGTTTGCTGTATCACCCGTTGTCCGTGAGGTGACGGGTGCAGAGCTCTGGCTTGCCACCGTGAGAGAAAGGGAATCTGCAGAACATACACTTGTTTCTTTATAAGCAAAAAAGTCTAAAGTTATACAGCATATGAACCCTGGGGTTGGCACGATATAAATGTATCATAAGTAACATCTGAGGAAAAAGTGGCAATTGGATTTAAGTAGCCATGGTTAAAATAGGCTGGTTATTTTAAATGTTCATATCGTGGTTTAATAAAACCAATATTCAAGTACGTACTTTAAATCACAGATGTGTTCATTTAATTAAAAAAAGCATTTGAATTGTGTTCTTCTTTAGATAACTGTTGAGTGTTAACTAATAAAGGATTAGGCTGTGTGCTGTACATTACATTTTTAATAAGCTGTGATACAAGGATCAAAGCTTTATTAACTGCTTTTGACCATCTATTATCGTTCCAACCCATTTCACACGTTTCTGATTGGGAGTCAGTGGCATCTAGCAGATTCTGCTGAATGCAAGGTACTGTGGCTCTTGCATCATAAGAGGCATGCATTTGCTTGTGTCTGCATCCCAGGCATCCAAATAAAGACCCCACACACATCCACACGTCCACACGTCCACACACGTTAGACAGAGTTTTTTAACTGATTATGCCAGTTTTACAACTTGGTCTATATTTTATACCTTTTTAATACTGAATTGATCACATTTTGCAGCATGATTTGTTGGTGTTATTCTGCAAACCTCTTCAGATTCAGGAAGATTACTTTTATGAACTAATAGTAAATGAATAATATATATTTTTGCGATAACAAAATATGTTTAACAACTTTCTTTATAGAACTATAATTAGCTACTTATAAAGAAAGAAAGAGCTTGATTAAACCAGTAAAATACACAAGGACAAACACACACAAACACACTTTATATTCAGTGATACTTTGTCAATTATTCACTCAAATATACTTTTTGGCGCATATCAAAAGTTAGATATTTTTGATTAAAAGTAAATACAGTTAAATGTGTTTGTGATTTTATTCTAAATGTTATTTAATTTAAATATTTTAGTACGTCATCTTATTAATATATTTTTAAGATATGTAGGATTTGTTTCCACCGCTGGTGTTTCTTCTTTTGTTTCCTTTAATAATATGATTGAGGGCATTTTCATTCATTATCTATGATATGAGTTCTACATCAAGACATGGTAAACTACCTTTAGAAATAAATGTTGAAAAGTGAATGAACCTTATAATCTAACAATCTGTGTTTTTCATTGGTGATATTTGAAGACAGCAATACTATGTCAGTTGTGTCATGTTACCTGTTTGGATGGGGAAGCCCGATTACTCTGAGTTAAAATGTTTCATCAATGTTTTCAGATGAATGAAATAAGGCAAAACTGAACAGTAACGGAGTACTTCACCCAGAATGAATGTGAGGATGCGTTCACACTGCTGTGCTTCAATTAGATCAGCTACAGTATAGTTATTTTGCTAAATCAAATACATTTAAAAAACAGATTTTGATCATGGTTGTACACATTTCTTATAATAATTTTTTACAGTATATATTTTCATTGTCTATTATATATATATATATATTCATTTTGTTCTATGTTTTGTCCTCGACCTTGTACTTTCCTTGTAATTTCAGTTCCTGTGAATGTGTATTGTATTGTATGCACCAAACACCAATACATTTCCTAGTCAGTGAAAACGCACGAGGCAATAAGCCTTCATTTGAAGGAATATGAAAGAAAAGAATGCTTACTTGAGAAACTACATAACATTTATCTAATCGAACCTGCCGTAATGTAGCTGTGGAACACTACGAAAGAACGTAGCTAGCTGTATATGGTCCATAATTAACATTATCCTACGACAGGACTCATTTCAAACTCATATATATCCGGTAATGTCCAGCTTTTGTAAGAACATTATCGAGTGATCCAAAATAGCAAAATCTACCTTACTTTCTAATTTCAGATTTAAAATCATTTCTGGCCAAATTGTTGCAAATAGAACGCAAGCCATAAAATCTATGGTCAATACAAAATATGTATTAATGGGTGAAATACCTCTTTACTGAGTAGTTGTCTCAGAGTTTATGTGTGTATGGATTACATGTGAGTAAGCATGTGTGTTTCTGGGATGGTAGAGGGCCAGGTTGATGGGATGTGGCGTCAGAATGAGGGGAACAGGGAGGAATGAGTGAGCATTAGAATGACAGTTAGAATGAGTTAGATGAATCTGGGTTAGCCTTTCCCTTCGCTCCTGCTATTTAGAACACACACATACACAGACACACACACACACACACACACACACACACACACAGGTGTCAAAGGCACAGGATGTGGTGAAGCACAAATAAACTCCACAGAGATCGACATAGCACAAGAACACAACAGAAAACAAACACACTGCACAGCACGCCACCACTTTACACACACACACACTCACAAAACTGCACTTATATGTAGATGAGGACACACACTTCTAGCCCACAGGTGAGCCTCACATGCACACAAATAATCACACACACCCAAACACACCTCGCAGCAATATCCCTGCTGGCAGATAACGTTTAGACAATGTTATCGGGGAGTCCGTCATCATCACACATGGGCAACACATCGGTTATACAAATCTAATTAAAGTCATAGCTTGTGTTTGAAGTGGGGTTGTATGAGGTACTTACACATAGTCAGTGTATTGCCTACAGCAGATGGCAGTTTAGAGAAACAGACAGGGGTAAAAGCAGGGAAATAAAGCACTGTTTTGCTATGGCAGAAAAGATGTCTTGCCATGTAAAACAATATATCTTTATCAGTTTAGGTGTATGCTATATTTAGATTTGTCCTCTTTAATTTGCAGTCAGACAGCATCTTTTGAAGCCATTATACTATCCATCGATTCCATACGGCAAGCACTACTATTTAGACATAGGCTATTTTACTAATATATATTTAGACTGTAAGTGTAAATATGACACGGAATTTGATCTCGTTGCACTGTCATCGCTACACCTCTGCTTTTACCACTGCTTTTTTACTGCAGTGAGAGTTTCCAAAGAAATGTCGTTGTACTTTGTATGATGACAAATAAAGATATATTCTTCTCTCTTTAAAAGGCACCAGACTCCCTGCTGGTCTACAGCTGAGATTTATGTGGTACTGTAGGTAAAATGTCTGGCTGTTTTCTTTTGGTGGCTAAAATACATCGACCTGTGCAAAGCAGAACATCGCTTAGCTTCCATACCAGTATTTTTCTCTGCCTTACCAAACTTCCAGCTACTGTAGGTACAACACGGACTTTGCAAAGGTACCTAATACAAAACCCACACAAAAAAAGTAAACTGTCTCTTTAAATGTCGGGATGTAGACTGATTTTGATGAAGAACAATTCTGATATTTATAATAAGAGACAAAAAGTATAGTCCCATGGATCCAACACTGAGGAATATGATTCACTTTGCCCATGGATGAAAGACATCGTGCCACAGCAACATTGTACATAGAACATTATGTACTATGCAGCTGACCATGTTACAGCGTAGCATTAAACACAACAACATTTATTTTACAGGTTAAGAATTACAAAAAAACACACATTTGTTTGTTAATAAAGCATTAAAAAACAAGACTGAAATACACCCATTGAACAGAGAAAACATTTTAGACTGTACATTGAAAGCATGCCATGCACAAAAGCAGTTCATTGTTTTCAGAAAACTCACTCGTCCCAGTCACTGTTCACACCAAACCATCTAAAGGAGACCTGGGTACAACTGGATTTTAAGACCTTTTTTACAAATACAAACAAATATAACACTAAGAACACTTTGTCTTGCAAGGAAATTCAAAGACTTCCTGTTTGAAAACAATTATCATATATGCAAATCAAATCTTTGCAAGCAGGAACAAATTAAAGTTATTTTATTATTAACTAAACCCAGGTCTGAAACGCACACACACACACACACACACACACTGTAACAGCAAAGCATGCGGCATGCACAAACTGTAGTACACACACAGAGCTGATTGAGAGAGGAGGAGGAGGAGAGGGTCCCTACTCGACTGAACGAGGGAGGAGCGCAGGAGAATAAGATGGCAAGAGAAGGAGGAGGCCCAGAGGTCAACATGAGGTCATATGAGGTCAGAGGTCGGACAGGAAGAGCTGTGAGGAAGAAGAGCAGGAGAGGGGAGGAAGAGGAGGAGCAGGGCGGCTGGGCAGCGGATATGACATGTCACAGGTTCAGAGACAGACTGAAGGAAGGACGGAAAGAGAGAGAGAGAGAAAGAGAGACTGTCCTGAGCAAAGGAGACACTTTGAGACGGCCAGAGCATTGCAGTTGTGTTGCAATGTCAGCTGTCAATCAAACTAAATATGTCTGTCTCATTCCCAGTGAAAGAAAGAGAGAAAGAAAGAAGAGAGAGAAACAAAGTATGAAGGCCCAGAGCACACTATCATCTGTGAACCACTTTTGAGTAGTGCACCATCCCAGACACACATGTATGCACACACACGTAATCTAAGCAATCTCAAACATACTAAATTGAAAATCAGAAATGAATCAAGTGTTGACTTGTTTATTACTTTGAAAATTCTGTCAGTTATAGCAAAAGTGAGTGTTTCTCATATGAGGTAAGAAGAATCAAAACGTCATGTTTAGGGCTCCAGTATGAGGTGTAATAAATGGCAGAGGCCCAGTGAGGAGTGCACAGAGGCGGTGTTAGTGCATGCTGCAGAAGGCTGGGTTCATGGTGGGAGAATGAGACCACTCCTCAGACCTCAGAAACATCATCTCAGCTTCATTACCAATCATCATCATCATCATCATCATCATCATCATCATCATCATCATCATCATCATCATCATCATCATCATCATCATGTCATGAGCAGCAAACCACCATGCAGCCCGACTCCCCTTCAACTTACCCCTTCTGAAAAACGGGGGTCTAATAACTCGGGGCTTGCGCACATGGCGCGTTGGCCTTTTGTCCGTGACCTCTTGTGGAGCAACAGAAACAAAGTAAAACGGCTGGTACCAAAACTCCTGTTTAAGAATTTCTTCTACGATTTTAAGTAGAGCTGAATATACCAACTGTTGGGACCAATATTTGTTTGAGTGAACACATTCTAGGGGCAATAATAATTGTGAAATAATGGTAGAATCACAAGCTTTTCAAGTGAAACATCTTGAATTAATAAGCATTTTTTAAATCATCTTTGATCAAAAACTACCAAGTACATCAAATAGCTCACTCTGCAATTGAAGTAATCTAGCCTCCTATTAAGTTTGCATCCAAAGTCTGTCTTAAGTTTACATTTTCCTTTTTTTGATCACATCATTGAACAATCAGACGTCAGTCCCACCACGAATATACTGAGTATTCATTCCATATATTAACACTTTTAATAAATGACAATTATGGCCGCACAATTAAACTGTTAAATAATATATTGTAAAAAGTAATTTAAAGCTGCAGAGGAATACTGCCCTGAAAATCGCATTCTACAGATCATCTTAAAAAATATAATTAAATTAATCATTTAATATATTTTTCAATGATTATAAAAAATTATCAAAATCCTAATGTCGTAAATCGTAATCAATTGTAATTGATTCACTTCAAATATAAAGTCTGGCAATTTGTTTTTTCTTCAAATTGTCCAGCCCTATTTACAATCACATTTTGGCATTATTCAAACATACCCTGAATGGGGAATTGTATTCTAGTCTCATAATAGAAATGGAGTTATAACTTGCTATATAAGGCAAAGTCAAATGATCTAACCTTGGAGATAGACTGACTTTAGTGTAACAAGGCGGTAAGACTAAATAAAAGATGAAATGATTTCAAAGTTGCTGTTTGAATGTAGCGGGCTAATTCACTGTTCATTGATAAGGATATAAATAGTTCACGTCTTCTGTGATGTTTGACGTGTTTGTGTGTCTCACCATTGAGGACGCTGGGGGACAGCAGGGTGGAGTCGCGGTCGCTGAGTCGGCAGGCCCCCACCTCTAAAGACCCGGGCACCAGCTGTTGAGGCTGACCCTCCAGAGAGGTCATGATGTCGGCACGATCGATGTTCTTCAGAGCCGTGTAGAGGCTCTCCACTGAGAGGGAAACACAGGGAGTGGGGAGGGGGACAGGTAACAGAGACAGGGAGACAAACAGGGAGGTATGGGACGTGGACAGGGAAGTCAAACAAATATTTTAGAGAGCATTATGTTTCATCAAAAAGACAATCTGACAATTGAATAGACAAACACAGACTCAGGGAATGGGGATTTACTCATTTGTAACATGTCTAACTGTAGTGGATCACATCATATAGAATATGGAATGAATCCTTAGCTGCTCCAGCTTACATCTGCTCTATGGGTGGCAGTTTTTGAGCCGTAACAAAGGCCAAAAAAGTAAACGTTCACTAAATAAAACAAGCATTAAAATAGGTTTCTAAAAAGTGTGAATAGGCCTGTCACGATAATTAATTTTGTTGGACGATACATTTTCCTGGAAATTAAGCGATAGACGATAATATTGTCGGCACCGTTGTAAGACCATTTTAGACCAATTCCTGACATAATGATAATAGATAATAATAATTGAAGTACATCCTTTCAAACAGAACTTTTTATTGAACATTCAACATTGCAAATGAAATGTGAAATAATATTCAAAATATAAATTATATATAATAAATAAAACAAATTAATTAAATTAAATCACACAAATCAAAACAATAAATTAAATCGACTCAGGCTGGAAAACAGAGCTCTCTCTATCTATCTATTTATAAATATGAGCACACATTGTCTCACAAGCAAAGAAAACCTCCTTAAAACAACAGTCAAGTGTACTGTACAGTCCACTGTCCATACAAAGACCCAGATGCCTCAACAGGCCATATCCAAATCTGTATTTCAAAGATTTCGAGCAAGGAACACCAACATGTTTGCATTGTCGGGCAAATGCATCTTTGATTGTATACTGTCGGGAAGGTGGGGGCTCTCCATCTCGAGCTGCTGTGTTTGCTCCCAGCTGGGAAAACGGAATGGGGTGGTGTTATGTTTTACCTTTAGTTTAAGATTTGTGGTATTGCCTGCTTTTGTCGCTACCTTTTTTAAACAAATGCGACACACCGGCTCATTCAAGTCCGTAGGTTCGTCTCGTTCATTCGGCTTGAATACTGCCACACCGGAGATGTGTAGTTAGGTTTTGTAACCAATTCCATTTCACTTTAAATTCCCCTCAAGTAAGTCACACGTTGTCTCCCGCTTGTCGCTATATTATTAATTTGGATGCTACACGCTGCACGTGCACGCGGAGTGTCTGACTCCTGACCTGGCTGTGTGTCAGCCCCGCCCCTCACAGCGCGTGTGGCTGGCTAAAATGCTGCTCACATCCTTATGTAAACGGAAATTTATCGAGCTCAGAAAAGTAATCGAGTCCATTTGTATATATCGTACGATAAGTCAATTTATCGATTATCGCGACAGGCCTAAGTGTGAATCACAGCAACCCAAAGAGGCCCTTGATTGTAAAGTTATAAATGAGCACAACAATTATTAGGCTGATGGGTCCAGTAATAAGCAAGGTTAGCTGTTGACAGATAGCCATACACAGAAACAAATGGTCTCCCCACCAGCTTACGCCTAACGGGGATAACAAACCAGTAGCAATCAACATCTGTGCCTTACAGCAGTTCATTTGTACAGATCATTTCTCATTTCTAAGAGATAAACAGTAGTATGGGACTTACTCTTGGCTCTTTTGCCTTCCCTGCCGGCCCACAGGTTAAGCAGGGCGGAGCTTTGGTCCAGCAGCGAGTTAGGATTCTCCACACGGATCCTGTTAATGTCGTCCACACCAAACTGAAGCTCACGTGCCAACTCTGACAAAAGGACAGGTAGGTAAATAAAAGAGAGCTACAAAGACAGAGAGATACAAAGCTTGTTTGATATTTAAAGAACTAACCTGCCCAGCTCAGACCCAGCTGTTCAGATATGAGGTTGATCTTGAGCTCAGTCCTCTCCATGGCATTCACTGTGGCTTAAATGAAAAATAAGGGGGAAAAACAGCATCCCAATTAGAAACTCGCTGCCGTGCCGGTGTTAAATATGTGAACACTTAACTGAGGAGATTATAGCCCGAACTAAAATAAAATAAATAAATAAGAAGTCTTAATTCCATTATTTGGACAGACCAGCTGATATTCAAGTGACTACAATTTGGGGTTTAGTGGTCAGATAATATCAACTTTGGACCATCCAAATGTGTGTTATTGATGGCAGACAGGATTTTGAATAAGTCTTCTGTGTCCTCAATGACTTAAGTTTATATTAAAACTATCAACAGCAGTACTTACCTTGGGAAAAGCATTGTTCTGTTGAAGGAAATCAGCAATAGCCACAACATTTGTTTTTTTGTCCAAATCATTTTCAGGGTTAAAACACCATATGGGCAGGGGGAGGTTAGAATTTGGGAGGGGAAGGGGGGGTCATTCAGGTGCTAGTCCCACCAGTCAAAGTAGCATTCAGTAAACATTACAGAGGGACTGAGGTGCAATGTAGCAGCGCTGTGTGATAGACAGAAAAGGCCTTTTCTTCTTAACTCCGCCTTCAGTAACGTTTAAACCAACCAGAGCGGCCATCTTGACTTTCTTTCATTTACAACTGGCCAATCAGCATGAGGGCTCCTCTGTCTAGCTCCACTGCGAGGTCCTGCCCATTCCCGATGCTAAGCTAAGGTGCTAATGCTTACAGTATCTGCTGCCATGCGGTTGGAAATCGCAGTGGAGACACTAGCGCCATGCAAACTGTTCACATAAGTCATTCATCTGTTGCTACCAGGACACTCGTTTCCAAGGAAAGGCTAACGTGTCATGGTGCTATTATGGGTCGTGTTCGGGCTCATCATTTTGATATTATTTCCTCTAACTGCACTGCAGAGGACTCTGGGGCATACTGTACGTGCACGCGAGAGACAGATAGGGGGGAGAATAATGAGGGCAGAGTGGGAAGCACAGGGGTTGTGGGTAAAAGGGGCGGTGCAACATTCAGTGCCCGTCTCCACCGTGAGTAAATCAGGAGAGGGCTGGAGGTCGGGCAGTGAAGGACTCACCCACACCGGGCTCGTTCAGCGCGCTGTAGCGTTCCCTCAGGGCGAGGGGGGTCAGGGTCCGCCTGCGCTCCTCACTTCCAACAACCTAATAATTAAACCAAGAACAACATTCAATTATATTTAATGTCTAAGGCGTCAATAATTAATCACTTCTTAAACTTGTTTTGCCAACTGTTAGATTCGGCGGAACTGCTGATACAATAAAGATACATAAATATGAGCATGTATTAAAATATAAAATATTTGTCCTCTCTTATTTTTGGTCATTTCTAAAGGACTATCTTGTCTTAATAATATTTTGGGTTTAATGCAGAGCAAAGTATACAATAAACCTTAAAAATACAGGCAACTCCAGACCTTAAAAGCAGTCAATTCAACAAATTAATAATCCTTAAAACTATCGTATATTTTTAACAATCGAAATTTGTCCATCTGTTTTCATCTAGGGGAACCGCCACATTAAAGGGGAGGCGATACATGGGTAAAGCAATTCAACAATGTCTGAAATTGATCAGCAATCAACAATTATCTAAATGAGTTTTACTCTTATGTTAAAGTTGAAATGTACTGTAGATATGCAGTGCGTGCAAACACATTTATTCACTAGTATTACGTATAATATTCAGTATAGTCCAACTTTCAACTGGCCAATCATGTTGCATTATGGCAAATAATGGCTCACAAAATCCTGCCTCAGACACACAATTGGTAAGACTGGCACAATAGCAAAGTATTGTCTTAAACCTTTGAGATAAACTGAGAACTAGGTCAACTGAAGAAATAAAAGAGTTCTTACCTTGACACAGGGTGGCATGGTTATGTTTAGGTTACACAGAACGTGCTGTGTGTCCTCGTACTTGGTGCACTTCCGCAGAAAGGAGAGAAACCCATTGGCTTCCTTGTTACTATCTCTGACCTAACAGAGAAAAAGAGAAGAAGAGAGAAGAACAGAAGAATGGAGAAGAAAAAATACCAAGAGGAGTAATGGAAGAGAGAAGGGTGAACAGTAGAGTAAAAAAGAGATGGAGCAATTAAAGGGTAACGAGAGAAGAGTGAAACAGAGCAAGAGAGGAAGAGGAGGAGGAGGAGGAGGAGGAGGATGAGGAGGAGGAATAGAAAACAGATGAAAACGGGTATTAGAGTCGTCCGCCATGTCTGGAGCATGTGGCGCAGTAACATGGGAAGAGAAGCAGGGGGAAACAGGGATGGAAGCAGTCCACAGGCAGGCGAGAGGGAGAGATTTACCTGCACAGTTTACCTGGACGTCTGTCAGACCAGACAGTGACAGAGTGACCGTGAGAGGGAGAAAGAGAGAAAGTGAGACAGACACATAGACACAGGCAAGGCCGCAAGATAGGAAGGCAGGCAAAGAAAGTGGGAGTCACACGACATGCAAACGATTACCAAAGAGAGCTGACAGGAAGTAGGTAGGTAAGTTGTTTGTTCCTTGGCTACACCATAATGAAAGGGTTTTTATCATTTAGCTGAGGCTGAACAGCAGTGTGGTAAACTGACAGACACACAGAAACACTGATATACATATAGATGGATAATAAAATAAAATAAAGCCACACAATACAAACTTACATCAATACGATAACAGATATGAAGAGACGTGAAAAAGCAGACTGACTCAATTATTATATACTAGGATATATTTGTAAGAATGGGTTTAAAAACATCACTGAAATACAGATTAGGTACAAAGCAATGACAACTATGATCTGAAAATGTACTTATGTTACAGTAATGCAACCTATACATTAGGGAGAAGGTTTATTATTCAGGGTTCATACACTTGTTCACCAATGACTTTTCCATGACCTTTACCTAATTTTCCATGACCAAAGAAATTACTCTTTCTCAGCAGTAACACTGAAAATGGTTTATTTTAACATGGAACAGGAAAATAAGGTCTGCATATGAAACATGTTGTGCCTATCTAAAACAAATCAAATAGTAGGCTTACTAGCTTCTACACGCTAAAGCTACTAAAATCTCTCACCGGCAAAATACCTCGTCAGTTAAATGCCATTTTACATTTCATTACTATACGATACAGTATGTATTATCATTATAGTATTACTATTTCGGCGATTAGCTAAAATATAAATTATATTTGATGCAACTTTAGTTACATTTCCAAAACTTTGGGGAAAATATTGTTTTCCATAACTTTTCCAGGGCCTGGAATTTGCATTTTGAATTTCCATGACTTTTCCAGGTTTTTAATGACCGTAAGAACCCTGATTATTACATATTCAGTTCAAATATATAATGAACCACACAAACCAGTGACACATTTGCTTGATTTGTCATTTGTGGAGGAAGAATGATTTGACAAACACGAAGAAGAATGGACTGGTAGACAAGTAATGTATCGATATGTTATAAATCGTTAATAGAAATAATCTTTACTGAAATACTTTCAAACTGTATGAATATATAGTGAGATAAGACTCAATGTGTAAGTAGAATGATTATGCGTCTATTCTATTTTCAGGTGTATTTCACTTTCTTGATGTGGTGGAGCTGATTGTATTTGGAGTAGAAAGCGCAGACTGTTATTTCAACTTTAACATACTAATGGTGAGAGACTGCCTGATAGGAATGACAGCGAGAAGCACACAGAGACCACCGTATGGACAGGTTGGGTGGGTGCTCAAGAGGACTAACTGCCGAGAGGATTCTTGAAAACCCTGGTCACACAAAACCACAGTACTGTATGAATACGTAGCGAGTGAGAGAAAAGCAGGCGTGTGATTCGTCGGATAGAGACAGACCTTGACGGAGACGGGCAGCCGGTTGTCTCTGAAGGCCTGGAAGCTGAAGCTGCGAGGCTGCTGCGTGGCCTTCCTGATGGGCACCAGGTTTCCGGAACATTCTAGGTGAAGCGGCATGCCCTCCATAAGCTGGGGAAAGTTTTTAGTAGATGTTAACGGGTGCAGGATTAAAGCTGAACCGTTAAGTTGATCAGTCGACATAATGGCAATACTATTTTGATTTATCGAATCATCCTTTCAGTCATTTTTCAAGCAGAAACTGTAAAACAAATGCAGAATTCTTGGATTCAGGCCTCTTTTCTTTGTCATATAATATATTTGTTGGGTATTTGATCGAACAAGAAGGCAATTTTTGACATTTCATAGACTTTGATTATGTACTACTTGAAATAATGAATGGCGGATCAATCGATAAAGAACATAATCAGTAGTTGCAGCCCTAGACAAGATAAATCATATCAGCAATGGAGTCTAATCGTTCTTTTAAACAGCCAGTGTGGATCAATATCTTAAGACACAAACTCCTACTCCTCTGCATTGAAGAACACTCTCTAATTCCAGGATCATGTCTCCAAAGATGGAGACCTTTTGGAAGCAATGCCAGCAGTAGTGTTTGTATCTTTTCTCTTTAGCATGCTTCTTGCATCATCTTATGCTATTGACTTTTTAGTAGCTATAATTCAACTTTATTTATGGAAATCATTCTTTCGAAACTGTCAATTGCTCAAAAGTGGGCCGATACATATTTTTCCCATGTTAAGAGTTATGAAAATGCAATACATTTGAATAAGCCCTCCTTGCTTTCCTCAACACTTTTCCCTTTTTGTGACCTTGGCAACATCTTGCTTTGCCACTGTGCTGACCTCTATGTCTCGACTGCGGGCCACTTCGGTGAAGTTTTCATGCAGCTCCAGTGTTTTGTCCATCTTGTCATCTGTCATGCAGTAACAACGCAAGCGTCCCTCACGTGCTTCATTCATCTTAGCAAAAACAACAAACTTGGCCATATATGGAACAGCCATCAACTCGCGGTACAGCAAATTGGCAAAGGTCACTGCCTCTGCCGTGCGCGGACAGTCTGCCAGCCAGAATCTAGATAAGGTAGGAGAAGATAAATAAGAAGTGTGCAAAGGGAGCTGGGAAAGCTGATTGGTAATGCGTTTGTTTTGAGTTCCGCTGAGGCGCTCACCTTGCAGAAACGTTGGTGGTGAAGTTGGCACAGCTGTGTGCGTACATTAGCTTCGTGGTTCCAGTGATGTCTTCCCACTGAGCTGGAGCTGTGCCACCTGAGAGATAATAGCTACATTGTGTCATTCATGTAAGGACAAAAGACAGCAAGACGGTTACTCCCCACAGGGTGAGCAGGACATGTTAACCCGCCTATTACACTTAGAAACAAAAAACCTGAATTTCGACATAAATATTGATTACAACCTGATTTTATTGAATAATAATGATTGTATTGCTTCTGCTAAGAAAAAAACGTCCATTCTAGTACCAATGGCTGAACTGCATAGCAACAGTCTGTTATCAAAAAAGAGCAGACTGCTGAATATCCAAATTGACCAATCAGAATTAAGTATTCAACTAAGCCGTGTAAAAAGCAAAAAATAAAACATGTACAAATACACCCTTTTGCAGCACATTAGACCAATCCAATAAATCCAAAATAAAAATAATGTTTGAAGGTCATGTGGCTCCTACCGATGACACTGCAGAGGAGGCGCAGGCTGGTGGTGTCGCCCTCCCCAGCATCTCGAGGACTCTCCCGCCAGGATGGTGGCAGAGGGATGCGCAACCCGATTGGACGGTGGAATTTGCGTCGCCGTGGTTCGATGGTGACAACTGGGCTGAAGGTCGCCTGGTTGCCAAGCTGCTGAGTCAGCAGTTCATCAGGGATTGGCTGCGCCTGAGAAGTAAGTGGTGGAGGATAAGCTCGTTAAAAAGAAAGATGCACAAAAAAGGTAGTTTGAAGGAAATGGAGGTCAAGAAGGCTGGGGGGAAGAGAAGCACAAACACAATATAAAACGGCAGGAAGTACAGGTAGGTGATTCTAAAGGAGTGTGCAAAGGCAGGGAATAGAAGTAAGGGGAGGATACAAAAAGAAAATGTGCAATTGACTGATACATGAAATCCACAGCCATACTCACACATGCAACCAACTCATATTTCACACCTGACCCAGCTCAGATCAGTGCATCAGCTCGGTCAGTGTGGCTCACAACTTAAATCAGGCAACTGAGGAGTGATGAATGGCTGGATAAAAAAGGAAAAACATAAACAGAGCAGCATAAGGCAAAGCAAAGACTCTGACTCATGCAGGTTCCTGAAATAACATCAGTGCTGTGACGAATCAGTGCTCTGACGGACAATGTGAAATGTAAACAATGTGAAGTGACCACAAATAAAAAATGTGGAGAACCCATAATCCGTCATCATCTCCACAAAAACCAAAAAGTCAGTCAGCATGAGTTAAACCAAGTGTGTGTGTCTGTGGACAGTCAAACACACATTTGCAGACAGACACCCTGTACGCATGCTAATTTAGAAATGGTGCAGTATGACATGACACAATGTGATATATCTCAGGTCTAGTTTAGGCAACTTTATGCTTTTTATAGTCTTTAAAAAGACCCTTAATATGTCAGTGTAATTTAAAACAGTTTTGTTAATTTTACACGATGCATTATTGGAACAAAAAAGTGATGCCACTTACTTCAAGGCAGCAATCAGAGTTTAGCGTCGTTTGAAATCAAACATGTTGAGTGGACGTTTGTTAATGTTGTCAGCACTGTCAGTAAAGTGAGTTTGTCAGCGTTAAACTCTGGTTTACCCTGATTTTCTTCCAACATGTAAACTTTGATTTTTGCTGATGTAGTCATGACTTTTTAATGTCACGAAGATATAAAAAAAAGGTGCTTCAAACCTATGACATAACACGAATCTAAGAGGAAGAGGTTAATGTTTAAAATAGTAAATAACCATACCACTGTTTTTGAATATTTTAGACATTTAGTACAAACATCCATATTTGACATTACTGCTGACCAGTTACTAAGGCATTTCAACATCCTTTAGATTTTTCATAATTTCCTTTTATTGGAGTTGTTGGATTCAGATCAGGTTCAGCTAAAGATTTGTAGTAAATATCAAAACAACGCTGGATACACAAATACAGGGGCCGTTTCTCAATGTCGAGTACACATGCTGCAGAGCCACTATTTCAAGTATACTACGTCATCGAGTGGCGCCGAATGCTGGGCATTTAACATGCATTTAAACAGTCCTTCGGCACCACTCGATGACGTAGTATACTTGAAATAGTGGCTCTGAAGCAGCTTTACTCGACATTGAAAAAGGGCCAGAGTCTAAAATGGATTGGCTGCCTGTCATGTTCTCAACAACTGATGGAATAATTCATGAACTTTGTTCAAACAGCAAGATTGAAGCACACACTCAGTCTCAATGACGGATAGCACGGCTCAAACATATTTAGGCCTGTCGTTTGTCAAACAGACAGATCATCAACTTCAGGATATGGAACCTGCCAACTCTCCACAGCGCAGCACAGACTGAAGGTAAACTCGTTGGCACGGACCATTAAGTCACAGACTGAGAGTCAGCTGTTTTGTACTTCTAACATCTGTTCTCTGTAATTGATCAAAAGCAGCCGATTGTCTCAGTTCTGCGAGCGAAGCAACAAACACCTAAGCTAATCAAAAAAGCTCTACAGGATCTTTAATGTCATGTTTTTAAATGTGCAATCCACTCTCCTCTTGTTCATTCCTTCCATCTCCTCGTCTTACCTGCAGCCCCAGTCTCACTCTCTTGGTGACGGCCGTCTCAGGAAAGATGGCCTCGACTCGTGGTACTAGCTTACTGGTCAACCGAGCGCCCTCTGGACCAATCAGATCGCTCTCCTGCTGAATGCGGGAGACCACGGCGAAGTAGAGGGGGAAGTCAGTGGAGATGATCCGACGGATTCTCTTCTTGTCCAGCTCATCGTGATTCTCGAGGTCTACGCACAGGAAGAGGAAGGAGTAACAAGAGACACAGAGGGATCCATGGTAAGAGGAGAGTTAATGTCAGTGTAATAATAGGTTTCCATGTGAGAAAAAGTGAACTTCTGTGATCTTCGATAATATTCCCATAAAAAAGTATCCCCTCTCCTTCCTGTGCCTTTGCTCTGCAGCTCCAGGGTCATACATCAAGATTAGGACTGTCTTATCTGTCGCCGTGCAAGGTCTCAGGAACAGTCATTAGTTACATCGTACTGACCTTCATCCATGCCATTCAGGATAGTTTCCAGCACTTCGTCACCATAGCGATTGCGATGCTCCTTCCAGACCGAGCCGTTTTCGCTGCGGAGGACCACGAGCTCCCGGTCCCCTCGGCCCAGAGAGGCAAAGTGAGGGATTTCTACTATCACTGGCCTGTGAGAGAAAACAAAAACTGAATGAAAATCATGGTTTGAATCAGGTTTCAGGCTTTTTCTGTTCATTAGGGATGTAAAAGCGCTCTGATCACCAGGAAAAGCGCAATATAAATAACATGTATCATTATAAAAAAATAGCTTTTGTAATCTAGTTCAAACCGAAACATTGGATTGTGTTACTGTTGAATGGATTGTACCATCATTTACAGCCTTGTGTTGAGATATACAGAGCCATGATTGTCCACTAGATGGCATCCTAACCATAAGCTTGTCATTTATATTACACATTTTTGTCATTATCTTACAATAAAATCCAGTTCAAGTTATTGTCACCTCTAGTGTCAGTCTCATTTGGAATTTGGGATGCATTTCCAGCATATCTTACAATAAAACATTTTTTATAAAAATTGCAGGAAACTAAACGTAAAGTAAATATTAAACAGAAAACATATAATATTATACATTACATTTCTTTAATATTATTATGAACACAAAAAAAAAAGCATCCATATCCTATTTAGGTAATGCCACATGCTAAACATAAACGCACATACAGGTTGACCCAGAAAAAATAAAATTGCTTCTTGGGAGGCCATAAAGCTGGAAAAACGTTGACTCACCCAAGGAACTGCATACTGGACGGCCCTAAGGAGATGATACGGCTAGCGAGCCCCTCCCCCTCCACCAGCGGAGGGGGCGTGGTCAGTTTCAGAGGTTTGACCAGGCGGCAGGTGATGCGTGTCGGCGCGGTGCAGGTGCGCGGCGGGATGATGACTCGCAGGCCGTGATGTCTGCTGCCTCGCATGGAGCCTCCTCGAGCGTCCACCATGAAACTCACCAGGAAGCTGAGAGACAAACAATGACACGATGATTACATTTAAAAAAGGATTGCACGATCATTTAATCATCTTCAAATGATATGAAATGGTGATTAAGGTGCATTTAGAGTTCAATAACGTCGGTTAGGAATATAACATTTAAGAATCAATACTGGGCTCTCCGCAGGGAAATTCTCCCCCTGAATGAGAGAGAAGACTTCATTCAGTAGTGTTGGGAATTGATCTGGTCTTGGTCTGTTTCAGGGGGATTAATAGAGGAGACACTCATTCAGTATGTAGGTGCCCTTTCCTTTCATTGTTCTCAATGTGGCAGAGGAGGGCCGGCCATCTGGAGTGGCCCTGAAGTGCAGCAAGAATGACATCAAAGACATAAAAAAAGAGCCCCATGCTGTTTGATCTTGCATTAGACAGGCAGCCTCATACAGAGGGGTGTGTGTGTGTGTGTGTGTGTGTGTGTGTGTGTGTGTGTGTGTGTGTGTGTGTGTGTGTGTGTGTGTGTGTGTGGTGTGTGTGTGCGTGTGTGTGTGTGTGTGTGTGTGTGTGTGTGTGTGTGTGTGTGTGTGTGTGTGTGTGTGTGTGTGTGTGTGGCAGGGTGACTCTTCTCTCATGGTTTATCTTTTCTAATACCCTCACTTTATATTCTACATTTTAAATGCTGACTCATTGTGCCGTGCATAAATTATGACTAGGCAGATTAACATGATAATGCTTTAACATTATGCATTTCTTAAAAAATGCCTTACTTTCATGTATTGAATGTAAATTACTGCTTTATTTTATTGCTATTTAACTATATTTTATTACGGTGTCTTTAAAGATTTTTTGTTTTATATTTTATGTATGCACCATGACATCAAGTCAAATTCCTCGTATGTGTGAACCTACCTGGCAATAAACCTGTTTCTGATTCTGAATGCATTTACAATCTAATCAAAGTGTAAACAGTGTGACACTGACAGTTGTATGATCCTCAAGTGTCATAAACAGTGTAAATGCTGAATCTGTAATTATGGAGAACGGAGTATCTGTGCTTCAGTCTCGGCATCATTTATGTTTGGATGTCACAACTTTAGCAATGATGAATTATTGCTAAAAATGTGAATATGTTCCTCTGTTTTTTCTTTGCATAACTATCAATTATTATCTAATCAAAGCAAGTTAAAGAGACCTAGTACTTGTAATCTCACTGAGTCTGACAAAACCCCTGCTTTATGCTGAGCCTGACTAGCAGCATCAATCAATGACATATTTAAGTATTCCAAAAATGTGGATTAACAGGCAGCAAAACGTTGTATTATCTGACCCGGTGTGAATGGGGCTGGCCACGGGGCTGACGTTGTCTGAAGTCTCTGTAGCCGGGCTGCTCGGGATGAGAGAGTCGTCATCGTACTCCTTTGGCAGGGGGATGGGGGTGTGCTGAGGGCGGAGAGCGGGAGAAAAAGACAGGCATGGGAAAATTGAGAGGCAATTAAATTACCATCAGTCAAAATGCAAGCGCAGAGAAAGAAGCACAATCAACTGAGTCAGAGACAAGTGGAACAATAATGGATGGAAAGAGGCATAAACAGAACCAGAGAGAGAGAAAATTGAACCACAAAAGAAGACTTATTTTTGGCTTTCACAAATGAATAACTGTTTTCAATTGGAAAATGAAGCAAATGCTTACGAATGCTTAATATCACAAGCTAAGCCTACCTGATCCAGCAGTACAGTCTCCGGGGACACACAAGGGATTCTGGGAATACCAGGAGAGTAGGGCCTGTCGGGGAGGAAATGAGAAGGACGTAAAACAAGAAACAGCTGACTTTTATTTGGCAATAAAAGATGGTTAGAGCAAATCTTCTCATGATTTAGGACAGAGATAATGTACTGTAAATGGCAGCCATTAAATGACCTATTTAACACCATTATATTTCAGCTGTTATGTAAAAAAAAAAAAAAAACAGTTTCAACTTTCAACTGCAGTTTATTATACAGACATATGAGCACACAATGACTTACGATGTTCCCATGCCGCCCTCGAAGTCTCTGAAGGTTTTCTTCGGGGAGAGGAAGTCGTCATCCTGGTCCTTGAAGTCGTCAAGCTTCAAATAGCGTCCTCCATCCATCCCGAGCAACTCGTCTCCTGTGGGCCAAATGAAGAGATAAGAAAAAAGGAAAAGGAGCAAAGAGGGAAACAAATAGGCAAAGAAAAGGTTTCACATAAATAATTAAAGAGAAAAAAGGACAAGACCACGGGAACACAGGGCAAAATGATGCTGATCTCAACTCTCCATTTCTTCTACTAATTATTTTTGTCTATATGGAATTCACCTTATTCCTCTAATTGAAACTTTTTTTTTTTAAAGAGTGACAGTATCTTGAACTGTGGTTGACCTCTCCACTTAGGTCAAAATAATGCCACTCGATTCAATTCCCAATAGGCGAAAGTTAATTGTTACACCACCATCCTTCCCATCACTTAATGAATACCACAGAAAAAAAATGGCCACAAAGCGATGTTTTATTTCAACCGATTAAACCAACAACAACCAGAGCCGATGGAAACCAAAGGAGTGAAAGAATAGGTTTGGTAAGACAGTGAATATTAACACAGTTTAGGACACTGCATGGACGGCACACTGCAAGCCACCTGGTGACAGCATGTTTTTTTGTGAGCATGCCCATTAAAGATGAAATCACATGTGGTGATGGTTGTGTCTGTGTAGGAGAAAATACCTCAGTTATTAAGGACGAATGGTGTTGAAATAATGATCATAACAACAATAAACACTTCACAAGACAGAGTTGTTTACAGACATTTAAACATTGAATAGGACAAGCTGTACAGGTACACTCAAAACATGTTAGAAGAAAAAGAAATACCATTAAACATCGAGAACTAAATAGAATAGAAATGACGAGTGTGTGAAAATGCTTTAATGTTAGTTGCAAAAAAGATTTGATTAAAACCAGAAAAGCAATTGAATAAGTGCCAACTGTGTGTGTCACAGCTGGGACGCAGCGTGTGTGCAATTTAGCTCATTGATCAATTAGGCTGTAAAAGGCAGGAGCACTCATTTTAAAAATGGCTCGATTGGAAGGCAGCTGTTTGTCTTCTAAAGACAGAAATACTGGAGTTCAGTCAATAATTAGTCCGCCAACAGATGTGTATTGAACGCTGGTAAAAGGAAAACATGTCGTGACTACACGCTGATGAGAAAACAGACACATTTTGGAAATAAATCTCTGAACACAGGGCTGGAGTTGAGAGTCAGAAGAACTGATTAAAAAGACACTTAGTGACACACAGAGAAAATGAGATTTGCAATGAAGGCACAAATTCACGAACCACCGGACTGGACAAGCCAGAGATACACACACAATCCTACCTAAAGTTAGCTGGGCAACCCCTACGAAGCAAATGGAAAAGGTGTTATAAACAGTCAAACATTTAAAAATGATCAACATTTACAAACCCATTAATAAGCCAGTGTAACTCCCATACAGTCTTCTTCAAAGTTTAAAATAAGGGATCATAGTTGATTAACATAAGATATTTAAATCCTACCTTCGTCCTCTGAAACATCCAGAATCTCATCCACTGTCTCAGGGAAACTCATGCGATGCTTCTCCGTGGTGATCTGTGCGGAGCAGGAGGAGGTGGCATTAGACTGAGTGGAACATAGTTGGAACTGCTGCATTATATTTGCAAACTGAACCTGATCAAAAGACAACTAGTTGATTGAACAGCTGAGTCACGATGTGTCAAGGCTACTCCTTGCGTACTGGTGTAACCATGTGAACCGTGCACGACGTTTTGCTCACCGCGGAGACAGACTCCTCGGTAACCAGTTTGAGCACATCGATGACAGAGATGTAGCCCAGCCGCTTAGCGATACCCAGGGGAGACGTCCCATTCTGTACGGAGAGATGGGAAACAACACTATACATTATAGAGCGCATAAATACAACACAGCATCATAAGCATATACTGTAGGGATTAATGTTAACAGGAGACAACGGTGATACTCAGAAGACTGTCAGATTACATGACATCAATTCCCAAAGCATTTCATATGGATTACAATCACCCCAGATTGGTTACACATCTTCATTTTAGACCAAAAAACATGTTACAAACCTTCAGGCCATTCTATAAGTGATGCACTCTAGTACAAAAGATGATATTACAGAACAGTATGCTGACTATCTCCTTTAAGCATATGTAGGATGTGGTTTGATTGTAAGGGGGTATTTAGCAAAATGTGTGTGATCATGGTATTCATATGAATTGGGACCTCGTCAGATTTAAAAAATGACGGTTGACTAGTAACTTGTTATCTTATTGTTTTACTAAATTAAAGTCTATCAAGCCATTTGAATCATGTTGTCAAAGTAGATTACAGAACGTATGTCACATGTCAGACGCTTGCCTCCATAGCGTCCTTTGCTTTTAGTTTTCACATTATCTATAGGACACCTGTTTATCTTGGCCCAGAGATCTGAGAGTGCAGGTACAGTGGGATTGAAGGGTGTAGCGAGGAAGATTGTATCTGAAAGAGGTATTCCTAAAAGTGTCTCACCGTGGTAATCTCATTGGGCAGCGCTCCATGTTTCAACAGCAGGGTGACTATGTCAGTGTGACCCTGCTGAGCCGCCTGATGCAGGGGAGTGTAGCCCATCTGGAGGGGAAGAAAAAGGAGGCAGGTCAGAAAGATGGAGAAACACAGAACAAGTATTTCCATCTATGATTATGGAATGCTAAAACCATGCTCCTCATACGGCTTATTTAACACATTGATGAAGCTTCACAGGACTAACGGGTAAACAAAAGACACTGAGATATATATCATATGAAAGTGAGACAACGCTTACCCTCGTCTTGCAATTCGCATGGGCCTGCTGCTGCAGAAGAAACTTCACCATTTTGATGTTGCCATAGTGACAGGCCACATGCAGGGGTGTGTATCCCATCTGAGACACGACACAAGGGAGAGACAGGTGTATAAATACTTGTGATTCCAAATAGTACAAAAAAGGCAGCTTTATTATTTTTTCTTAAAGATATGAAATAGACTTTTCTAATTGTTTATATCTTAAACACAGATGAGCTGCGTTGACTAGTTCACATTAAATATTCACTTGTTTAATACGGAAACTCCAATTATATGAAATTGCTAAACACTTCTTCATTCCAACATAGACAGAGATAGGAGACTTAAAGCTGTGTCATGAATATTATATATGGAAACTATATAATATTCAGCTATGACAAAAGGCTGTGAAGTCTGGCATATTCAGTCTATTGGCTGTCCCAGCAGGAGAAGACTACGTTAGGACACTGCCTCCTTAAGTGGAATAATCGATCTACTCTTCTCGTGTAATAATACCCGTTCTATCATTGCGTGTACCAGAGGAGGCGGTGTCACTTACCCGTGACGCAGCGTGAACAGAAGCTCCCTGTTTGACCAACGTGTCAGCGATTCCCACATGACCTTCCTGAGCCACAAGATGCAGAGGGGTCAACCCATTCTAAAAGACAGAAGGGATAAAGGGAAGGGTTGTTTGTAATGGTGGAAAGATATGTAAATCCACTATTGCTTCGTTCCGATCCATGGTTCTACTTTACCTTGTTTCCCAGATTCACGTTGGCCTGTTTTGAGATGAGCAGCGCCACCATGTCGGGCCGCCCCTCCTGAGCAGCCAGGTGTAGGGACGTGATGCCTTGGAGCGACTCAGCGTTTGTTATCGCCCCGTTCTGCAGCAGACAACTTGCCACCTCCATCTGGTTCTGCTTGGCCGCTATGTGCAGGGCAGTGTAACCATTCTGAGGCGAGAAACAAGGACACACACACGAGTGGGCATCGCTTTTCTTAGCACTATTCATGTTTAATTTTAGATGAAATGCTGTCAGTGCCACGGAGAAAATGGTTGTTATGTAAGGTACTGTATTTCCGAGTATCACACACTCATTTGGCCTGTGTGTCGCTGTGCACGCACACACAGTAGTGAGCATCTTACTCGGGCAGTGCTGTGTGCAGATCCTCCCTTGCTGACCAGGAGTCTAACAACATCCAGGTTGTTGTGATGGACTGCCACATGAAGGGGTGTCAGACCGTTCTGTTAAACACACACATGTACACGTATATAGACACACACGCAAAAACATGTATATATGAAACACATACCGTGATAATATATACATCCAAAAATGCCGCTATTTGGTCACACTTCAGGCTCTTTACAGGTGTGTAAAAAGGACTGTATTGTGTGTGTGTGTGTGTGTGTGTGTGTGTGTGTGTACTTCAGGGACTGTCTCACCTTCCCAGCAGCGTTAGGGTTGGCCCCTCTCTCCAGGAGGAGCTCGGCCACGTCCACCTTCCCGTATTTAGAGGCCACGTGGAGGGGAGTGAAGCCTTTCTGCTCAAAAGAAAAAGCATTCTGTCATTATATTCTCTGTTGTTTTCTTTCATCTCATGTTGTTATAAACACAAATCAGTAGTACGTTTGACCTAGTATGACTTCATTCACATAATACCCAATTCTGATGCTGTTAAAGTGGAATACTAAAAGTAAGATCTCCGAGCACAAAACAAAACATGTTTGCCTTTAGTAGTTTCTAACATAGTTCAGTTGAGGCTATTCTTGCAGTAATGCATTATTGCACATTACGAAGCCATACCTTTGTCATCTTGACCTGCTGCGCCCCAGCGTCCAACAGGATCCGGATGGTGTGGACGTGTCCCTCCCGAGCAGAGATGTGTAGGGGCGTGTGGCCCGCAGTAGTAGCTGCGTCGGGGCTGGCTTTGTGCTCAAGAAGCAGCTTGACAAGTTCCTTGTGGCCCATGCGGGCCGCACAGTGTAGAGGTGTCTGATCATCCTGGACACAAGGAGAAAAAGGGAAATTCATATTTAAAACAGGGAAACAGATATAATTAAGTGCAGGGCAATGGAGTCACACGGCTATCCAGACACCCTAATGCCTTTATTATGTGCTTAAGGTGGGCTTTATGAAACATTCCCTGAAGTTTGAAAGCAGAAGTGGCTTACAAACATTAAAGTTAGAAACACAACGTTTGTTTAGGGTTGTAGTGGCTTGTACCTTAGCTCTGGCATCCGCTTGTGCTGCGTTCTGCAGCAGGAACGCAGCCACTTCACAGTGTCCTGCCCTGGAGGCCATGTGGAGGGGAGTCTCCACTTTCTGATGAGGTTAAAAACAGACAACCGTCACTTAAATCTATAAAACTATTATGAATGTAACTGAGATTTTCAATTAAAGTGTCAATTATTACATAATCCTGAATATGATAAATGTGTAAACCAAGTCTGACACAGTTCTTCTTTAATATGAGCAAGATCTTTTTTAATCCACCCTATTCATATCGGGGCTCATAGTTCAAAACACTGTCCATTCATTTCAGTGATTAAGAAACAATTAACAGGATTTACTTTCATTGCGTAATCCATTTCTGGCTAATTGTTTAAGTGTGACCTACGAAATGAATCTTCCCATGTAATAAATTATTGAATTAAGTGTGGAATTAATTCTCAATAAAAAAAAATTGCAATGTGGGACAGTCATTGAGAGAGAAAATTAAGTTTATGGGTAAAAAAAAAGAAGGGTTCTCACCACATTGGAAGCATTAGGTGAAGCCCCTCTCTGGACCAGGTTCTTCACTATGTTCAGATGGCCCATGAATGCTGCTACATGAAGAGGAGTGAGACCAGACTGCACACACACACACACACACACACACACACACACACACACACACACACACACACACACACACACACACACACACACACACACACACACACACACACACACACACACACACACACACACCCACACACCCACACACACACACACACACACACACACACACACACACACACACACACACACACACACACACACACACACACACACACACACACACACACACACACACACACACACACACACACACAGAGCTCAATATCAAAGCATTAAAACAAACTAAAGCAACATTCTAGTTCTTTAGCCACATCTGAATGACACATAACACACATGTTCTTAAATGTTCATGTAAGAAGCACAAACAGAGAAAAATGCAAAATATAAATAACCAGGAGTGAAAACGTTTCTTTCCGTCAGAAGAGCGTGTCCCAGGTGGTCACATTGTCTCACCTCCGTGACAGCTTCTAGGGAAGCGGAGTGCTTGAGCAGCAGGTCCATGGACCGCATGTGGTTCTTCTTGCAGGCAATATGGAGAGGTGTGAAGCCATTCTGGAAACATAAGGAAATATCTCTGAAAATGTTTCTTTGTTCTATGTACAGTGATGGTGATAATCTAATATAATAATAATACATTATATTTTTATAGCGCTTTTCTACAACTCAAAGACGCTTTACAGTATGAGGGAGGGTAGACAAACAAGGACAGGCAAACAAATGAATATAGTAAAATAAAAAGGCAGTCAAGAGGAAGTTGATTGAGAGGGGGGAGGGGGGCTTATGGGTAGACAGAGTTGAAAATATGTGTTTTGAGGCGGGACTGAAAGACTGTGAGGGACTCAGAGTCACGAAGACCTTTAGGGAGGGAATTCCAGAGCCACTGAGAAGGCTCTGTCCCCAAAGCTGCAGAGTGTGGATGTGGGAATGGATATATAGTGTATACAATATAGGATCTTGAGTCGTGGCTGTGGTCCTGGATCATAGGTCCTGGATGGATATCCTCGTGGATTCATCTTCCTATTATACACACATGCATTTCCAAACATTTGGACTACCTATGTTGCAAATGTATTATCTTTTCAATTTACACACGGCATCTATTGCACGTCTGTCCGTCCTGGGAGAGGGATCCCTCCTCTGTTGCTCTCCCTGAGGTTTCTCCCATTTTCCCCTTTAAACAGTGGGTTTTCTCTGGAAGTGTTTCCTTGTACGATGTGAGGGTCTAAGGACAGAGGGTGTCGTATTGTCATACTGATATTTTGTACAAACTGTGAAGACCACTGAGACAAATGTAACATTTGTGATATTGGGCTATATAAATAAACATTGATTGATTGATTGATTGATTGATTGATATAGTGATTGAATATTGAATTCACTTTAAAGTAGGCGTAAAAGATACATGTTCCTATTATCACGAGGAGCAACATAGAGGTGGAAGAAAATCCAAGGTCAGAAAAATAATTGATGGGTGATAAAAAGTGCTTCCGCATTTCGCAGCACAATGTTTTTGCTGTCTTTGTTTGTATTATTTGTACAGAGCCAGGACTTTTTATCAGCACAAGTGCACACTAGCGGACCAGGAAGAGATATCAGCTGAATGTGAAAGAAGTGTATTTGTTAAGGATCAGACTATTAAACCAGTGCTTCATACTTTATGCAGACGTGCCGCTACAACTGATTCAATCTTAAAATATAAATACATTTTATATATATTTATATATATATATAAAATACTTCAATCAATAGTCAGTAGGCCTAAATCAGTGTGCACTGATTGGGGGTGATTCTTACAGTATCTGCTGTCCACAGCTGCTTTCAAATATGAAAAGCTCCTTTCAGCTCAGTTAATCCCTGCACCTGCTGAATCAGCATATTTTCTTGCTTTCCTTTTAGCAAAAGTAGCGTCTCATATCTTTGAAACACATTGCAGTGCAAACGCTGTTCTGCAACATTAATAACTCAACTATTTATGGGGATATTTGCTGAACAATCACAGCAGTTATATATATATAGTTTAACCTGAACTCTTTAGTGAGGAAACTCATGCGTTTTTTAAAGGAAACACTTGAGATTCTCAGGGAAAGTTATTTATGTTATTACATTTTTATGCCCCTTCACATTCCTTCCCAGGCTAAATTGTTCATGTTTTGAATGAAATAAATACATCTAGACCGTTTATCATAACAGATGGGTAAATTATACTTAAATAAGTACATTCTGAAATACATATTTGGACATAAAACAGTCACGTATGGCCTTCTTGATTGATTGTTGAATTCAACTTTGAGAAAGTAATCTATAGTAAACAACAAACATTAAAACAAACCCTACCAAAGCTCTTGCATTGGCTTTGGCCCCCTTGTCCAGAAGGACTTTGGCCATCCGGCTGTGCCCGCAGTGGGCTGCTACATGAAGAGGGGTTAGGTGGTCCAGCGTGATGTCATCAATCTCAGCGTTGTACTGCAGCAGCTGCCGGACACAGTCCATGTGATCCCCCTGAGCTGACATGTGGATGGGGGAGAGACCATTCTGTAGGAGAGACAGATCGGGACAAAGTTGGGGAGAGAGAGGGATGTTCGTGCATCATACAGTCAGAAAACCTTTATTGTGTTCATGAAAGAGTCATTAGAGGTTATATAATCAACACAGTGTGCTAAAAGTACTTGGAAATAATACTGGCAATGAATCTTGTAATGATGATATTTGCTCCTCTGATGTAATTGCCTAGCATGCTCAATAAACAGACCCACGAGTAAATCTTATTGATTTAAGATCATTATCCAAAATTGGATGAAAGTGTTTTAGTTTTTAACAATCTGATTTATATGCTGATTTTCTGTTGGCCTTGGGAAAGTGTCCTACAAGATAGAATCTCACTAAGTAGAACATCTTAGATTGACCAAGAACAAATCAGTACTGAACAGTAAACCCTGAGGATCACTGCTGATATCCGAGCTTCTAAGGTTAGTGATGGCTGAAATGCAACCCCAGCGACTGCACTTTTTCGTCATCTACCTTGGTTTTAGCCTGGATGGGAGCACCGTGTTCCAGCAGGAACTCGATAATGCGAACATGACCGTTCCTGGCGGCACAGTGGAGTGGAGTCAGCTCATCCTACAATGAAAGAGGGACAAGGAGAGAAATTGGAAAATTACACAAGAGACAGGAATGAGCAAATCAGCAGAGAGGAAGACAGATGGAGGGGGTGGATTTTGGAAAGCGTAAGTGAATAAATGCCAAAGGAGTGGAGCTGAGCAGAACACTACCTTTGTCACGGCATCAATCTGAGCTCCTCTGTCCAGCAGCAGTCTGACCATCATCACGTTGCCCCTCCTGGCGGCTATGTGAAGGGGCGTGATGCCGTTCTAGAGAAGAAGTGGAAGAAAGTCAGGTTTAATAATCATCAAAGCATAAAGTCTAAAGACTGTTAATGTAAAGCATTATAGGGCCATACCTATACAAAATACCAAACAGATCGTGCATTTTAGCCATGCCTCATTTCGCTCTATTTGCTCTTTTTTAGCCCTGTTTTTGTAAGGGCTGAATCTGTGAGAAGTCTTCTTCGCAGCTTTTGTGGCAGACTACAGCGCCACCTACAGGCCTGGTATATGTACTACGGCGTCTCCAGCGCTTTCGAACGGCAATGGCCGTGGCTGTCTCCTCCTGATAGGTGGAGAGTTGCCCATATAGGCGGAGCTCCTCGTTCCTGATGTCAGAGAACTTTCAAATCTGTATCAGTCTGTATCAGATCCGTTGCAGCCCCGTTTTTAGAGATTTGGGTATGGAAGAAAATAGAGAGGGTTGTGTTTTCTGACACTTGATGAGTTCCCTGACACACCGGGGACACATATTCATGTATAAAAGACGTACAAAAGTGCATTTTGCATGATAGGTCCCCTTTAAAGAGGCCCTATTTAGCTAATTCTCAGGTTTCATATTTGCAAGTGTTACGTAGTGATGTCTAGTGGATCCCGCGTGTGGATCCCGCGCCAGAAGTTGTGGCACAATTCCGTTGCACACACCGACGTTAACAGCAGCCCCGTCTATCCGCACGGCGGCCGGCTCTGTCGTCCAGTGATCGAAGCGCCTTCTGGAAATGCTTCACAAGTCCGTCGGTATACGCAAATGCGCTTAGTGAGACAAGTGACGGTACGCATTTCAGATGTTTGCCGCGCATGCATACCTGCTATGTGAACCCCTGTATATAACACACGATAGGAAAGGGAAAACTAAAAAATAATAATAGGGCCCCTTTAATATTCCTGTCTCCTTTAAGGTATATTTCTCTTTAAACACAATGTTTGAATCACGCCCATCATTCCTTTGAGACCTTGTGAGAAACTGACCTTGGGGGTGAAGTTTACATTGGCTCCTCTGTTCAGCAGCAGCTGGGCGACGCTCATGTTCTCATAGTGGGCTGCAATGTGGAGGGGTGTGAACCCAGTCTGCAGTGAAGGAGACATAGGAAAGAAGAAACAGTTTAAATAAGGATAATTACCATCTATTTATATCAATATTCAAAAACAGGGTGACAACAACGTGCAAGACACGGATTACATAATAGTTGGGGATATAAAGTTAGAAAGAACAGTCACACAACAGCCTAAAATATTCTATAAATGTCTGTTATGAGGATTATTTTTACAATGAATAGATATTTTTTTCAGTGAGAAAGCTGTTGCATCTAGCTTTTCCTTTTAGTATTTCCCTAGACTGTTTAATTCTCAATCAAGCAAATGGCATTGTAATTGTATTGTTGCTGCTTATTCATCTTATTATTTTTAGCTCGACACACTTCTCGATGAGTGTGTACCTTGCTGAGCACGTCCGGGTTGGGGTCGTTCTGCAGGAGCACAGCGGCGGTGCGTGTGTCGTCGTTACGAGCGGAGATGTGCAGGGCGGGGAGCCGGACCTTGCCCTTGGTGCCATAGTTAATGAGCAGTGCAACGACATTTTCATGGCCCTGCTGCAGAGCTACTGCGAGGGGAGTGAAGCCGTCCTGAGAGAGGAGGCAGCGAGAGAAAATGGAGGTCATAACGGGGTAAAACCAGACAGGAATGGAGAAAAGGAGGGAAAATGGAGAAGGTAGACACCATGCTATATTATATGAGATATGATACAGTCAAAGATACAATAGCCTCATATGTTATGTTTATTTGGCACCATCTGTGTTAGGTGCAAAATCCCATTCAAAACAGCTAATTTGAAGAGACACATACTGCTACAAGTACTTTATCATTTAAGCTGATTCTAGTCCATTAGTATAAATATAAATGAATTTATATACACATTTCTTTGACATTAGACTGTCCTTTTCCTGTTAGGAATCATTTGAGTAGGCCTGAGGTCACATATCTCTCCTTGAGAGGGGTCATTCTCTCCCAGTCACATAACATATAGACATGCTGAGCTGTCTGCCCAAAACTGATGAGTCAAGACTGACACAGCACTGACACTGCTATGCAGGTTAAAGGAGATCGAGGTCGGGGACAGCGATGATACCATTCTTTTAAATTATGGATTGTATTTAAAAAGTCATTGAAATGATTACTGTTGGGTAAACAGGGACAGAGAATGGCTGGGCGACACAATGGATGGCTTATATTGTTTCTCTCCTGTGTCCCTTTGGGGAGAATCTTTCTTTGATCTCCAGCTTCCTTGTTTTCCAGTTAATGCTCCAAAAAGAGTCTCCATCACACGTACCTCTGTTGGGAGGCTCTGATTGGCTCCGTTCTCCAGCAGGAACTTCACCACCTCTAGGTGATTCTCTTGTGCTGCCATGTAGAGAGGACTGAACCCTTTCTGTAAAGACACACACACATTATTTATGATTACATATACACAGAATTATGGGGAAGTGGTGGAAAATACATTTACTGTACAGATTAAGATGAATAGCTATCATACAAATCAGTTTCACCTTCAACACCTTCAACAGTTTTGATAGAAACATTATTGTGCAATACCATACAGTCTAGGGGCCAATACTCCTAAAATAGTCATTTAATATTTACAAATATATCTTAAAAGGCTTTTAGCAATTTATAGGAAGTATCAAAGTGCCACTTCTAAGCCTGCACATTTCTCTCAAAAGAAACCACTTCCTTTTTACACGTTAAATTGGATTGTGGCTGCCACAACCCTAACTGAAGTTGAAAATGAAAAGCTTAAAAGGAGGATCTAACCCTAAAGGATTTTACAACATAATTTATTTTTAAAGACAATATACCCAATACATTATTTTGCAGTCAAGAAGTCTGCATCCTCTAGAAGTTTAAGCGAACCACACATTCATGGGTAGCTCTTTAGCAGGTGTGTCACATATGCATGCGTACACGCTGACACACTCCTGTCTGAGCCAAAGTCGGGGTGACTCACGTGTGACTGGGCATTAACGTTAGCTCCGTAGTTGACGAGCTCAGCCACCACCTTCTCCTGCCCTGCCAGCGCCGCGATATGGAGAGCTGTGTTCCCTTTCTGGAGGTCACACACACACACACACACACACACACACACACACACACACACACACACACACACACACACACACACACACACACACACACACACACACACACACACACACACACACACACACACACACACACACACACACACACACACACACACACACACACACACACACACACACACACACGCACGCATTGACAGAGAGACAGGGAAAAGTAGAGTGAGCCGGAGGGGAATGATTACAACCTAATGGCCTAGATCTCTATACGGAGAAGTCGACACTAAAATACATGTAGTGTATTAATGTATTCAGTATACATGTAGAACTTAACCATCGATGATAAAGCGGCTGTTAAAAATGCAATTGCAAATATTCTGTAGTTAGCTTAAGCACTCTTTTCCCCAATACTGCATCTACTTTGTTAAATAATTTCGTATTACTTATTCAAAGGCTAATCCATTATCTTGTAAAGCCGTTTACAGTTTTGCTGGGTACAATGTGAAGGATGGCTACACTGCTTTCTACAGCTGCGGTCCAGCTGAATTAGCCCCTAGGTACATTTAATGTGCTGGGATGGTGTGAAAAGAAAAACCAAATACCTTGGTGGTGGCCTCCAGCTTGATGCCAGAGTGCAGCAGTGCCAGGACCATTTTAACGTGGCCTTCTTTAGAAGCCAGGTGTAACCCGTTGAGACCATTCTGAGAGAGAGAACAGAGACATTTAGTCACATTAGAGTTAGAACAAACACAGTCAAAAACGAATGACCTTTTGATTATGCATAGCAGTGTCTGTATTTTACGTCGTTTGTAATGGTATGATAATCCTGGTGATAATCAGGATTACTATAATCACAGTTTGTATTAACTGAAAAGTGATGCAACATCTCTTATAAGTGGTGGTGCTAAGCAATGCTGAATAAACGGATAGAACACATCTCTGAAAAGTCTTTGGACATCCATGCCATCATTTGGCCTTGTCCTATCCTCGGCCTTTATCATTGGGGTCTAAACCACAACCTGACAGCTTGTGCAGTGGTCTGAGAAACCAGAGCGTAGTGTGTTTGAGTTCTGCTAGTGAACATCTTTATTCTCCCAAGTTCCTTTTAATCACGATTAAATAAAACCACTCCACATTTGGAAATGAGGGAAAAATAAACACTAATTCTCCAGTCTCATGCCCCTGTGAGCAACATCATGTGTCTGTTTTCTCCTGCTGTGTTGAACATCACTCGCCTAGTTACTGTATCTCTGAAAATAACAGATACAAACACAGAGACAGCAGGAGGACTCAGTTTTGACAAATTGAAAAACCTGAAAGTATAGAGAAGAGGGAGAGGACAACTGTTTTATCCCAACATCGCCCAGACAGTCTGTTGTCTCTCTGGCTGTATACAGTGTTGTAATGGAGCTGAAACCAGCCTGCTGTACCCAGTCTGACCAGAAGGGGTCTCAGTTACCCACAATGCTCTCAGGCTTCCCCTCATACTGCGGTGTGACTCAATTCAAATGGGTAACAGCCTCTGTGTGAACATGCGCAGCAGAGGATGGGAAACACACTGTGTATCAATTACACACACTGTTAAATGTGGTGTGTGAGGCTCTGCTGTGTACACACCGGACTAAAGCAAATACGCACAGACTTTAAATGTTGTTTTTTAAACTCAAGACTAACACATTAATGCCCATTAACACGCCCTTCTGCAAACAGCTACATGACAGGGATGAGAGAGAAAGAGTGTGCAGGGTTGCAGGCATAGCAAGGACACGCTACTGCTGCAGAATCACATAAATCACAAATAAAAATAAGGTCTCTGCCCTTGCTACAGTTCTCTGTAAAAACACATCAATAAAATAGTAAAAGATGAAAAATCCTTAGGGACAAAAAGGGGATGGAAAATGGAAGAAAAGCATTTCTTTACAGAATTACAGTTAGGGTCTTTAAGAAGTAATTGATCACACGGTTGTGGTTAGTAATGATGTAGTTGATTATAACCTTAAAACACATATATTATGGACCATTGAAAAATGAGCCAAACACATTGTGATCCCTATCTTCAGTATCTCATCTATCTGTCTGTCTCTTTTAAGTTCACATAACATAACCATAATGACATCAAATGTAGTAGAAATGTACGAGTAATGACAATTATAACAACATCTATACAAATACATATCTTTACAAGGAAAACAATGAATCTACTTTTTTCGAACATCAAACAAAGACATTTTATCTCAAATGTTTTTCATTCTGTTTGTTGAATGAACACAGTACACATACACGCATGCATAGGAAAACACATGCGCACAAACACATGCTTTTTTACAGTTAGTTGCCAGGTTTTTCCGGCGCTTTTCTCAAGGACGCCTCGGCATGACCTGGCACCTCTTCAGCTGCCAGTCCACACTCAGTATTTTTGGTCTCAACGGGACTTGAACCAGCGACCCTTCAGTTCCCATGCCAAGTCCCTACAGACGGAGCTACTGCCGCCAATTGAAATAGCTATATTGGCATGAGCAGAATAAAATAATACTGTGTTGCCAACAATTATAAGATGCATCTATACCTATACATTTACCACATGTTGTCTCCACCTCTCTTTCTGTATGTGTTGCGGAACCAATTAGTGTGAAACAGGCGTTTATTCATAACGTCCGCTCTTCCATCTCTCTGACAGTGGTGTGTATAAAAGCACTTGTCCATTACTCTGCACCCATCCTCAACACAACAGCTGTTTATATGTCTAAACCAAACACATTGTCTTTCACACGTTCACAGTAATGTCTCCTCATTAAGCTGAATCGGCTGTTCTATGGTCCTGATGCAATAAGGTGTAAGAGAGCAGACGGCAGGGCTGAAGATGGAGGGGACTTTAATCAAATACACTTAATTATTCATGCACACCACTTTACACAAAAGATACAGAATCAGGAGGTCTAGGAGTCGTGAATTTTTCATTTTCTTTTGGGGCTTTTTTTCATTTGTCATCCTTAGCTGATACTGCAGAATGGCATTCCATTGAGACATTACGTCTCTCATTCCTCTCAGAGATCCTTTAACACCACATTTCATAGTTTCTTTCTTTCTCATAGGGATGAGATGAAGTTCCTGAGTACCATTCGCCTAACTGAGGGACATTATTTTACTCCTAAGAGTACTTAAAGAGAAATTAGTGCAAGCAGCCAAAAAAACCTTTTGATTATAACTTTATTTTAAATCAAATTCCTCCTTCTGTGCTCATAAAACTTAAGTTTATTCAAAAATATCATTTGAGCAATGTATGAAACATTAAAGGATAGATATTTGACCCAACTAGATGTCATGCAGAGAATAGCTCTTACTTTACTCTTCCTAATCTGCTGCTCCTGGTCATGAAAGACTGAATCGGAGGGACATTTCTCCTGAGGAACATTTCTCCTGAGGAACATTACCAACTGAAGCAATCATGTTCTCTGGCCTTGGTCTGCTGCTTATATGTGCATGGGTCAGAAAACTCTTTCATTTGTATTATACACTGACAATTTCAGTGCCCCAGTGGCTATCTTCGTCACAGACTGGGCAGAATGTGTGTTTATTAAACTATATTATGGAAGTGTTTTTACCATGGTTTTTGACTTCCACTGACAACATGCATGGACTTGTTGAATGCCACTCATGGGTTTTCATTTAAATCAAAACAAAAAGTGTAAATACTGTAATGTAGCGATTACTGAACACCGTCAGAGAGAAAACGTTTTTTTGGATTGGCTGCTAGATTTGTAAAGCACTGTGAGTCCTAAATAAATGCTGTCATTTTTAATACGAGGGGCAATTTATACCGTTTTGTTCATTAAAATCATCTTCCTCTACTCCCACAAACACATGCTAATGCACACAGCTTTTTGGATAGTGAGTTAAAGGAAATAGTCTCACTTGATTGGATGAATTGATGTCGAGGCCGTTCTTCAGGTGATCGTGAGCCTTGTCCAGGTTACCGGAACGAGCGGCACGCAGGAAGCTGGTGGATGCATCCGCCTGCAATGAGGAGGAAGAGGAGGACATGTCAACTCAGCATGTCACACAGAGATACTGCTCGGAGCGAGAACACTTCCTACTATGGCTGCACAATTCATCAGAATGATATCAAAGTCGCAATATGGAATATATGTTTAAGGGTCCCTATTGTACTTTTTGGGGGGGGTTTTGCATTTTCTGTGGCGTGGTATATAGGTTTTTGTGCATGCAAATGGTCTGTATTGGGTTAAAATCAAATGGTCTGTATTGGGTTAAAATCCCAAAGTTCCCCCCACCCACCTTAAATGCCTTCATTGGACTCCTTTATTAACTTTAGTAACCTAATGACATCACTATGTAATACTTGTGTTTCTATTGGCTAGCGCTCCAACATATTGTACGTGACTTTTCCGAGTGGTTGACCAATCACAACAGAGCTGGCCAGCTAACCAATCAGAGCAGACTAGGCTCTGGTGTCAGGCAGTATGAGGAAAATAAAGAGCTTTTTGAACATTAAAGCGTGGAGACATGTCATAGAGGCATAACAACAAATATGAAGCTGAAAATGACCATAAAGGGACGCTTTAAATACTAAAAACTTGTTAAAATACCCTTTTGAATCAAGAAGTGGGTCAGCAGCAGAAATTCCTTCAATATAATGAATTACATATTTATTCCAAATTGTGCACCTCTAATTTCTCCAACAACGGTATAAACTGAACACACACATTGCTCATCAATATCAACATGAGCAGGTCTGAAATACACACACTAGCTCAGAAACCTTTGTTGCACTAAAAGCCCATTACGATCACCCAACGGGAAGAGACAAGGCTAAATGCAGGAATCACGATACAACATTCTGGGCTCTCCTGCCCTCGGTGAAGGCTGAAAATGTGACTCCTTACAGTGGAGCTTCGCCCACACGTTGAGTTTGGCAGGCGTTCATAGCGGAGCACACTCCGCCACGAGCTGCGCTGTCTGCCTGTCTGATCTCAGAGGAAAGCTCCTGCCGTTTGTTTCCCTGTGTGTCAGTGTTTGTACGCCCACCTCTGAGTTCATTCATCAGCCGTTAGTGTAACACGACTGACCCGCGCAATGAAATGTTTCCAATGCCCCGAAGAGGAAACACTGCGTGATGTACGGTATACTTTGAACCTCTCTCCACCTATGTCACGGGAAGAGTTATTATCTATTTAGCGGTTATTCTCAAGTGGTTTAATTACGCTGAATAGCCGAAAGATATGCCTGCCCTTTTTGAATGACTTGTATACATCTCTCATGTGTAGCAATGTATCAGTAGACAATGTTGTTGGTTGTTGTGAACCATTTATTGCATTTTATCTAACAAACAAATAGGATTTCTTTTTGTCAAGCTGTTTCCTATCCCCTTCATTGTCTGATTTCTTATCTTCTTCGTATGTTTGCTAAAGTAAATCAACACACGGTTCAACCTTCAAAGTTATTCCCATTATTTTCTTAAATCTAACTGTTGAAAATATCAGGATTTCCACCTCAGTTGAGTTCCTGTGACATTTTGCTAAATTAAATACTTCCCAGTGGACTGCCTAGAAACGTCTTGCCTGCGTGTCTTTAAAAAAACATGGTGGGATATGACACAGGATATAAACCGATACAGTTTTCAGAAAACCTAAACCATAAATCCATGTTAATCCATATTGTGATCGATCCGACTTTTAACTAGAAGAGCTCTATCAGCTAGTGCTGCTCAATTAATCGTATTTTAATCGCAATTACGATTTTGGCTTGCAACGATTATGAAAACAACATAATCATAATAAAACGATTTATTTTATTTTATTTCTTTAAAAAAAAAAAAAAATGTATTTTATTTATTGGTTTTTCAGTTGAATTATACTAAAAGTTCAGGGTAGTCAACTGTTAAAAACATAATGTTCACATTTGTTTTTTCAATAAATGGAAGTTTTCAAAGTAAATGGATAATCGTTTTTTAAATAATCGTGATATCAATTATTGACCCAAATAATCGAGATTATGATTTTTGCCATAATCCAGCAGCCCTACTATCAGCCCTGTGTTTCAGGTCAGCTCCGAGGTTTAGGCCCCCGCTAAAGCCTTCCAACAAGTTTCATTCAAAATCAGCTCAGTAGTTCTTACACAACCCTGACGTCAAACAAACCAAAAATAACATCTCTGGGAGAGGTAATTAACAATAAAAGCAACCCATAACAAGATGTTGTTCTTTTTGGAGAAAATAGCTGATTTATGCAGTCGTTCTTGTAATAACCCAGAGTAGATTAGCAAAAGGCTTTATGGCAGACGTTTCATTAGCTGATACTGAAGCCTATCTAACTTAACAACCCCAAGAGTTGGTGTATGATAAAGGTGTCACATTATCCAGACTTATGAATATTCTAAAATTATAAAACTGGCATATGAAAAAAAGGAATGTGTACAAAGTCTTGTTAGCTTTCTCAAGACTCTTTGAGATCTAAATATGAGTGACTCAATCCCGACACATTGCAGCTTTTGAAGCCATTGTGTTCACAGTAAACTCCTTTTATGATTTTCTTCTTCTGCACTATGAAGTGACCATGATATTTACTGTATTTCTGATCAGAGCCTCGCTCCACCTGCATCCCTCCTCCTCTCCCCCATGACCCCACCGCCGCTGCTTCATGAACCAGTTCTCTGCGTTCATTTATCAGCAAGATTTTTTTAATGAGTGTTGGTGATTTTTGTGAGTGTGTGTGTGTGTGTGTGTGTGTGTGCATATCGAGGCAAAATCAGCCTGAGTAATGAGCTGACCACAAATAGCAGTAAATGAAAAAATCTTGCAGCACTTTTTACAAATTCATTCTTTACCAGCTTGTGTGAGGCAGAATCCATGTTCCTCTGTACTCCACTATCACCTCTCCGCTTCTATCTCCCCTTTTTGGTTTTACGTTACATCGATCCTTTCTTTCCATTAGAGCTGCACGTCCAATCTTGGCAGTTTCACTTTATTTACAATCAACGAGTTGAGATAACTGGAACCTTGCAATAAAAATCACAGGTTGTACAAATAACATTTGTCTGTGTCTGAATCAGATTTCACTTTTCCAGGCTCTCATTCTGTCCATTTCCCTTTCTTTCCCTGACTAACAAATTGTGCATTCATTTCCTGTGCAGTTCATCTCACTCTAATTTTCACAGTTACAGTTACATCTTGATTTATTATTATCTATCTACTATACCTAATATATATATATATATAAATATATATACCTAATTAACAACATAACAATTTTACCACAACATATTTCCAGAGGGGCTGGTCTTGGACAAAACAGACTCGGTGGCTTGCTGTGAATTTGGGGAGTGTTTGTGTGTAATCCCTTGGCAAACAGGACTTCAAATGTTATGATGAATAATACATAACGAATTAACATTTCATAAAGTATGTAGGAGACGAGTTTCACTCAGTGTTTATCATGCAGCCATAGAGCAGATACGATCTTAATGGACAGTGTTTACCTCAGATAAACACTATTTGTAGCTTCACACTTGTTTTATTCATTTAACAGGGCCAAGCCATCTTTACATGTTTGAGAATGTAGGGAATTATGAAAAAGTTAATCATTTTTTTTTAGATTAGATGAAGGTTTGTCAGTCCGTAACAAAAGCCAATAGAATGACTAAGACGTGAGATAGAGTAGAATGAAAAAAAACACACACAAATAACAGTTGAGTGAACACATTATCCAACCTAGACAATCATAAATGCTAATGGTCTGAAATGAAAATCAGCTCACAGCACAATCTACACCAGGGGTGCCCAACCAGTCGATCGCGGGGAGATTCTCAGTCGATCGCGGGGAGATTCTCAGTCGATCGCGAGATGTGTCTAAAAATAGAACAACAATATTCTGTTTTATCGTTAATGTCCTATAACATAATCTTCCTGTGCCAGAATAATGCACTTGAACGCATCAAAGCTTTGTGATTGGCGTGACCCCATGTGTCGGGGCGTGGCTGGTGGGCAGTGGGCACTAGTTTGCTGACGTTGTCCGTGACAACAGGAGTGATAGTCCGCACACACACAAGACCATAATTATGGCAGAAGCAAAAGAGCCCAAAATATATCATTTTCACTCCGAGTGGGAGGATGATTATTTTTGTATCTATTCCAATTCAAAGTCCGTCTGTCTCATCTGCAATGCGAGCGTGGCTTTATCGAAGAAGGGCAATTTAGGAGCGGCATTTCAAAACAGTGCACAAACGCTACGAGACAGAATTCCCTCCTAACGGCCCGTCCACACAGCGGCGTGCGTTGAAGCTTCCAACGCTTCTGCCCATTCGCTTTGAATGGGGTGACGTCACTTTTAGCCGAACTGCATTTTGGGAAGCGACGTGGAGCGTTGCTGGCGTTGCTCGCTTCAAAAGTTGAGCAATGTTCAACTTTTGACGCCTCGATGGAGGCGTCAGCCAATCGAATCATATGCCAGTACAAGCTCTAGCCAATCAAACCGCGTGCTTGTGTGTCTGGGGCGGGAGATTCATGTGATTGGTTCTTGGTCGAGTGTCAGACACGCCCGCCAGCAAGCGTGTGTTGACGCTTGGCGGTGGGCGTATCTGAAGCTTGGGGATTTTTTGCGAGCAACGCGACCAACAACCAATCACATGAATCTCCCGCCCCCAACATACAAAGCAATAGCAATGTTAAAACGAAGTAAACTGGATATAAAATCCCCAAACAGGCGAAAACCTACCAGATTCATCCACTGTCTCTGCCTCCTCCCTCCATGCCTCGCTCCTCCGGTTTGTATCCCGGTAGATGAACAGAGACTGATCATACAGCACCGGGTGATTCACTACCGCTATAATGAATTTTCCCTCCATTTTTTGGAATATGAGGAAATGACCTGCGTAGTCTCTCCCAGCATACACGCGGTTTGATTGGCTAGCGCTTGTACTGGCAAATTTGCATAAACGGGATTTCATTGGCTGACGCTTCTGCCGAGGCGCCAAAAGTTGAACATTGCTCAACTTTTGAAGCG